TACCTCTTGGTCAACTCCCAACCCGCGTTCTCCCGTGTTCTCGTTCGTACGTGTGTCCTCCCCCCCCTTCCCCCCGGCAGGTTCTTCCTGTTCTTCCTGAACCTGGTTGTCGCGGGCCTCAGCAGCATCACCACCTTCCAGCTGCTGGGGGCGCTGGTGCGCAACGACGCGGCCACGCAGGGGCTGGGCGCGGTGTGGCTGATGGTCAACACGCTGGTGTCGGGCTTCCCCATCGCACGCAGTGAGTGGGGATGGGGGGTGCGGGGGGCCCGCCTTTGGTGATGGGGACTGGGGACGAGAGGGTCGTTGTTGCTGTCGCTGCCCTCGTTACCCGTCCCTCCTTGCCCCTCCTTTTCCTCCTCCTCCTCCCCTCCTCACCCCACCCACGATTGTCCTTCCTCTCCCTCTCCTCCCCTGCAGCCTCCATCCCCGGCTGGTGGATCTGGTTCCACTGGTTCTCCCCCATGGCCTGGACGCTGCGCTCCATGGCGGTGAGCGAGCTGACGTCACCGGACTGGCCGCTGGCCGACCCGGCAGCAGGCCCCGGCAGCCTGACGGTTGGAGAGGTAGGCAGGGATCAGGGATGGTGTTGTGTTTTAGTGAGGAGTGCTGTGTTACTTGTCTGGAGTCTCCGCTTTGCCCGCCGTGTCTTTCCCGCACTGCGCTTCCCCTCACGGTTCCTCGCCGTGTCCGCTCTGTCCCCACCCCACCTCCACCAGCGCGTCATCCAGTTTGTCCGTTTTCCTAACATTTTACTGGCTTCACTCTTTCGGGCTGGGCGGGTCGGGCTGGCTCACATGTTGCAACCCATGTTGACGCCTTATCCCTCAGTCAGTTAGTTGTTTCCTCTTTATCCCCCATCTCCCCCCACTACACCCCGCCACAGTCGGGGTTGGCGCTCCGCGGCATTCAGCGCGAGTGGAAGTGGGTGTGGGCGGGCATCGGCTACGTGGCGGGGGTGTCGCTGCTGCAGCTGCTGGGGCAGATCGTGGCGCTGACATACCTGGGACGTGAGTGAGGGAGGCGGGCGGGAGGGTGCGGGGTGGGAGCGGGGAGGTAGCATTGCAGACAGCCGGGACACTGTAGCACTGGGGCTTCCTGGGGTTTGCTCGGCATCCCATTCTCTCCCACTGCTCTTTCTCCCGATCATGGCGCAGGAGCTTAGACGCGAAACGCTACTTTGCCCTTTTACGGTTAACCCATCCTCCATCCCTCATGCCCCGCTGTCCTCCCGTCCCTGCAGCCCTGCGCGGCGGTGGCGGCGGCCCCGAGCACGAGGAGGATGAGGAGGAGGAGGGCCCGCTGCTGGGCGTCCTGAGCCGCCCCCTCGCCACCCTGAGCCACACGCTGAGCCGTCCTTGGAGTGCGCATGCAGCTCCCGCCACCGGTACCCTCACCACCACCACAACTGCGGGGGCAGCAGCAGAAGCCGCCCGCCGGTCCCACCCCCCGCCCGACATGCCAACCGACTCGGACGAGGTCGACAGCAGCGACTGCGCGTCCATCCCGGCAGCCGAGGAGGAGGTACGGCAGCAGGCGCCTGGTGGGCCCCTGGGTGGAGCAGTGGGGGTGCAGGCGGGCGCCCGGGCGGTGAGGGAGGCGGGCAGCGGCGGGCTATACCTGCATGGGCCGTCGTCGAAACCTGCGGCGAGAGCAGCAGCAGGAGCAGGAGGTGTCCCGGGGGAGACGCAGCTGACAGTGCAGACAGGCGGGGGCGGGAGGGACGTTATCAGCAGGAGCCTCGTGGTGAACGTCAGCGGCGGTGGAGTGGACAGCAACGGGGGCCAGGGCAGCGGTGCGGCGGCGGGAGGCCAGCTGCCGTTCGCGCCCGTGGTGATGGCGTTCGAGGGCGTGTGCTACGATGTGCCGCACCCCAGTGACAAGGGTGAGTGTGCGGTTACAGCGGGCGGTGTGCGGGGGCCGCGCCTTGCATGCAACCTTGGTAGGTTGCGGTGGGCTAGCAGGTGGCTGCTGGTGTGCGCTGGCTACCTTCCTGCACCATGCATGGAACATTATTGTGAAGTCCCTCCACGCGGCTCTTCCGGCCCCTGCGCCCCCCCCCGCCCGCCCCTTAGGCAAGGAGCTGCGCTTACTGAACGACGTCAGCGGCATCTTCCGACCCGGCGTGCTAACCAGGTGGGCTTGACTGGGGCAGCAACGCGGGGAAAGCGGGGACTGGGTAGTGGTACGGTATTGGCGGCGCATGGAACCGCTCACACGGTTTTTGCCCCCTCCTTCCTCCCCCGCTTCCTCCCCTCCCCTCGCCTCCTCCTCATCCCCAGCCTGATGGGTGCTAGTGGTGCGGGCAAGACCACACTGATGGACGTGCTGGCGGGCCGCAAGACGGGCGGCCGGGCCAGCGGTGTGCAGGTGGTCAACGGACAGCCCAAGCGCATGGCAACCTTTGCAAGAATCATGGGTGAGTGGTTAGGGGGTAGGGCCTTGGTGGTGGGTAGAGCTCTTGGGATAAAGCGCTGAAGATCCCAGCCCTAGTATGTGTAGCAGCGCGAAAAGGCTTACTCGAGATGGCAAGGAACCCAACTCGGGGCTTATATCTGGTTCCGGATGCAACTGCCGTACGGATCTTGTACTGCACCATTGCAGTATGAGTGTACGGTATATATCTCGCGCCAGCCCCTTCTCACCTTCCACCTCCTACTGCCCGCCTCACTCGCCCCCTCCCCCTCCAGGCTACGTTGAGCAGCAGGACGTGCACTGCCCCTTCACCAGCGTGGAGGAGGCGCTGCTGTTCTCCGCGCGCCTGCGGGTGGACGCGGGGGCGCTGCCGGCTGCCCCGGGGGCGCTGCGGGCCTTCGTGCACCGCATGATGGAGGTGAGGAGGGGGAGGGGCGCGGAGAGGGGCATGCAGCAGCGTTGGTGCTGGGGGGCTAAGGGGCATGCTGATGTTGTTTGTTTAAGAAGAGACCCATACACCGTGGCTTGGCTTGGATTGATTTGGATTGGATTGGCTGCCTTGCGCCGGCGTTGCTGGTACTTCGGAACGGCGTGCATGTGGGCGGTGATACGGGAGCCTCCCTGACCGGCAACCTCCTTATTGCCCTTATCGCCTTCTTGCTCGCGCAGGTGGTGGAGTTGGGTCCGCTAGCTGGCTGCATGATTGGCTCCGGGGGCTCGGGCGGGGGCGGTCTGAGCACGGAGGCTCGCAAGCGGCTGACCATCGCAGTGGAGCTGGTGGCCAACCCCTCGGTGGTGTTCATGGACGAGCCCACCAGCGGTGAGAGTGGGGGCAGGCGGGTAGAGCAGCAGGGTAACTATATACAGACCTGACTGGATACGGTAGTCACATGAGCGTGTGAGGTGACACGTGGCGCTCCGGAAAGGGCGGGAGCAGCGTTCAACCACCTCTCGTTATGGGGCGCTAGATGCAAGTTCTCCGGCTGCTGCCTCTTGCCTTTATGGTGCTAAACACGTCCCTGCTGCTGCCTGGCTGCATGCATGCATGCAGGTCTTGACGCGCGCGCCGCCAGTCTGGTGATGCGCGCGGTTCGCAACACCGTCAGCACCGGCCGCACGGTGGTGTGCACCATCCACCAGCCCAACCGGGAGATCATGGACTACTTTGACGAGTGAGTGGGGGGGGTGGGGCAGCGACGGGTGATAGCGGGAGAAGCGAGGGGCCGAGCGAGTGCTGCTGACGACCTTCCCTCTCTCTTTGCTCCTCCTTCGCCTGCCCAACACTCTCCTCCGCCCGCCTAACTCCCAACACTGACCTGATCACGCAGGCTGCTGCTGCTCAAGCCCGGCGGCCGTGTCATCTTCTTCGGCCCGCTGGGTCCCCGGCAGCAGTCCCTGGTGGCCTACCTGGGCAGCTGCGTGCCCGGGGTGCCCGCCTACGACCCCACCATGAACCCCGCCAACTGGATGCTGGAGGTGACGGCGCCGGCGGCGGAGGCGGCACTGGGAGTGGACTTTGCGGAGGTGTGGGCGAGCAGCGAGGGGGCGCGCGCGGCGGCGGCGCTCATTGAGTCTCACATGGGCCGCACTGCTCAGGCCGTTGCCGACGTGGAGACGGGCGGGGCTGCTACGGGTGGGCAGGACGCTGCTGGCTCCTGCATGCAGCAGGAGCAGCAGCAGCAGCAGCGGTTCGCGCAGCCGACCCACATGCAGTTGTGGGTGCTGTTGCAGCGCATGATGACGTGTCAGAGCCGCAACGGCGCCTACAACGGCATGCGGTTCGCCATCACGATTGGGCTGGCGTTGGTGCTTGGGTCGCTGTACTGGGAGGCGGGCAAGGACAGGTGAGAGGGGAAGGGAAGGGGAGGCCAGCAACTTGTTCCCTGCCCTATGTTTGGAGAACTCCTACACTTCTAGCTTCTGGCACGTTTCCTGGCCACCCTTCGTCACCCCCTTGACACTCTGCATCCGCCCCTCCTCCCGCCCATCCTCCTCGCCCCGTGCAGGAGTTCCGAGCTGGGTTTGATGAACATCATGGGCGTCATCTACTCGGCAGTGCTGTTCCTGGCCATGGTTAACATGCTCATGGTGGGTAGTGGGAGGGGGCGGGTGGCGGGTGGGCGGGTGGGCGTTGGCAGCCAGACGTTTGGGCGCCGGCAGACCGTGTCCCGTTGTGTTGTGTTTCAGACACTCATGTTTTACATATGCGCTCCTCCCTCCTTTCCTTCCGCAACCTCCCCCCCAGGTGATGCCGCTGGTGGCTGCCGACCGGGCCGTATTCTACCGCGAGAAGGCGAGCGGCATGTACAGCGGCGCGGTGTTTGCCGCGGCACAGGGCATTGCGGAGCTGCCCTTCTTGCTCCTGCAGTCGCTGGTCTACGTGGTGGTCCTGTACTGCATGATCCACTTTGAGTTTGACAGCGCCAAGGCTTGCTGGTTCTGGTGAGTTAACGGTCTCGGTTTTGGTTGGTTGGTTGCGACGATGGCTGCTGCGATGACGGGAGCGGAATTGAGCGCCATGTTGATAGAGTCGTGTTTCCTTCGCCCTCCGACCCGGGCTTCTGCTCCCCTCTCATCAGGCTCTTCAACTGGCTCTGTCTCATGTTCTTCACCTACCTGGGCATCGGAGCAATGAACGTGGCGCCGCAAATGCCGGTCGCAATCGCCGGCTCCTCCTTCTTCATCATGATGTGGAACCTCTTCTGCGGCTTCCTCATCTACCGCAAGGTGGGGGAGAAGGGAGGGGAGCTGGGGAGGGTCAGGGGAGAGTTGCACCGCATGCATGGCTGCAGGGGTGGCCGTTACAGCGGTCCCTCCACCACACTGCATTGTCATCCCTATCTGCCGTACTGCACGGCACTGCCATCCCAGACCCCACTCCCCCAACCGGACCACCCACCACCACCTCCCCACCTCGCCCCAACACCACCCCCACAGGACATCAAGGGCTGGTACCTGGAGGCCTACTACGCCAATCCCATCACCTACGTCATCTACGGATGCGTCACCACCCAGGTAGCTGCTGGGGGGGGACTTGCAGCCGCAGATACCCTATCAGATTGCTAACCGTTTGGTCCACTTGTCTTGCAACAGTACCTTGCCAGCCAGCACCGTACCTCATGCGTAGCGCGTACCGGGGTATACATGCATGAGGGTGCTACCTGTGCCTTTTCGCACTCACATGCTGAAGCGTGAGCAGCTGTCCCGTGGCCTCCGTCTCACCTGTTGTGCGCCCTCCCCCGTCTCTGTCCCCGCCCCCTTACCTGCACCGCCTGCTGCTACCGCCCGCCCTCAGATGGGGGACCTGACGGACACGAGCATCGCGGTGACGGGGGGCTCGACAGTCACCGTGGCGCAGTACCTGGAGGATACGTTCAGCTACAAGTGAGGCGGGCAGGGGCGGGAAGGGATGGCGTGCGTCCTCCTTGCATGGGGCCTGCAGCGCTGCATGCATGCGTGCACTTTCCGCGGGCTTGCTAGGTCTATGTTTTTGGTGGCAGGTCGCCTCTTGCATGCATGTTTGGACCTGCATGCTTGGCCTTGCAAGCATGTCCTGAATGACTCTGCTGCTGCCGCTCTGGAGGGGCGCTGAATGTCAAGCTGATGCGGGCTATGTCCCTTCCTAACCATCCTGTTGCTCACCTCTCCCTCCCTTACCATTTCCCTCCCGCTCCTCCCTCCTCAGGTACTCCATGCGCGGCTGGCTGGTACTCATCCTGGTTGCCTTCATCGCCGCAGTGCGGGCTATGGCGTACCTGGGCCTGACGCGCCTCAACTTCCAGCGGCGATAAAGACGATGAGAGCAGCACACGTTAGGGTCCGAACGTCCGATTGGGTCTGCGCCCTCATGGTCGTCATGGAGGGATAGTCGGGAGCTACGCGGGTTTGCATGTGCGCAGAGGGCCAAGGTCCGTTGGGGCCTCATCCCTGCACCATTAATGCAGCAGCGCTGGTATTCGCTCTGAGACTGGTTTTATACTACATAAGGAATGAAGACATAATCGCATGATAGAGCAACTAGGTTGTGTTAGTTACTGTCTTCCAAGAGCAAGGGAGTGTGGTTATTGCTGCTGACGGCACTGGTTGCACGGGAAAGGGGGACGTCCGGAGGGGGACGCGGAGAAGGGAAATGAGTCTTGCATGGTCGCATGGATCTCTTTAAGCGGTGTAGCTGGCCGCGTAGGTTGGAACGACATGATCATTGTGTGGGGACTGGGGGTGCGTTAGACTTGGCGTGCGGTTGCATGTTGCTGTTGCCTGCCGGCAACGTGACAGTAAGCATGACGTAAGGAGGGTGCGGATATCATGGGGGCGTGCGTTGCAGCATGACGGAAAAGGAAATGCTGAAGCATACATGCACAGGAGTGGAGCGTGCTTGGTATTTTAAGGTGTCCTGTCGCGTACTGTCGTTCAGGATTGTTAGATTGTCGTGCCTTCTTGTATTGTACGGCATAGTTTCATCCGGAGATGCGTTGGTTGGTATGTCATGTGATTGACCATGGGTACGGCGAAGCGTACGGCAAACATGTAGTGGATTTCGAAAGAATGAGTGAAACGTGAATAAGCAATGCTTCGACAGTAAAAAGGGTCATATTGCCCGTGACTACAGTGCATGTAAGAAACGTCCGGGGGAATTCGGTGGCACTATTGCAGGTTCAGGTCGGAGACCGTACGCAGCTACAGTTTTTCCTTCACGGGTGTTCTGTCTATATGTAGACAGCTACAGCGCAGTTTCCTGTAAACAGTGCCCCGGTTTTCAAGATCCACAATGCAGCCATTGCAAACGTCAAGATGGAAGCAACCCCCACCACTGATACACCGTCGCACGTTAGTCCTACCAAAAGGCATCTGCTAAGGCCCCCTGAACAAAGCACACGAGCTTACATTGTACTGTGGCGCCGCAATTGGTGGGTCACAAGCCTCGTCTGTGTGTCATACGGAACTATCTCAGTTGTGGCCTCACTGTGCAGCCCCGTGTGCTTTGCAGCCCCATCCTCAAGGCATGCGCCACCATTGCCTTCGCTCCAGACTCCTTGCCAGCATTACCAGCAAGGAAGAATCCCAGGTATGTAACCAGCAACCCGTCTACTTCATCGCTACCTCATCTCTGTCTCATCTCTTTCCCTGCTGGGCCTACGCCGCTAGAATCCTACCTAAGCCGCTGCGGACACAGCCCTTGCCCCTCAGGCGGCATCTACTCTCCCCGTCTGCCAACACAGCTAGGGTAGGCTGGAACTGCGGCATTTCACATACGTAGCAGTCCCATAGTAGAAAACTGCTCAAAAACATGACCAGTGGCTGAATCCTATCCATCCCACATCACCTCACAGCAGCAATGCATTCGGGGGATCCTGTGGTAGCGGCTGCCATGACCCACGGGTCAGTGGAGGCCAGGCGGCGTTGTAGCGCCACAAGTCCTCCACGCCACTCTCCCCAGGCTTCACCTTGGAACCGTTCGGGACCGCAGCCAGCGGTTTGTGGCTGGCTAGGAAGGGCGCCAACCCGAACGTGGGCGTGAAGCTGTCCGGACTGTCTGGGGAGCGTGGTCGACCGAAGAGGAAGGGCGTGGGCATGAGTCCAGGTGCCGCCTCCCCCTCATTGACCCTGCTGTCCCATTCGGCTTGTGCAGTCGACGGTGCTGCCCGGACTTCTTCCTCACCGGCTGCTGTGGCGGCCCCAGGCCCTGCTGACACCGCTGCGCCGCCCTTGTCGCCGCTGCTGTTACTGCAGCCCCCGCCGCCACATAACGATAATGCGGCGGACATACTGCTCCCGATCCCACCGCATCTGCTGCTGCCGTTGCTGCAGGCGCTGCCCTTGTCAGCCGCCACGCCAGCCTCCGCCTCCGCCTGCTGCTGCTGCTCCGTCAGGCTCTCCGCGAGCGACAACAACTGCCGAGCAGTGGTCACCAACACCTCCGCCGTACGTCGCCGCAGCGGCTGCGGCGGCAGCACCCCTGCTGCCAGCGGATGTGTGCTTTTCCAGGCCAGGGGCGGGAACCCCGACGTTGCAGCGTCACCATTCGTGCTCTGGATATCGCAGGGCGGCAGTCCTGAAGATACTGAGAAGCCGCTTGCAGCCGCCTCAATGGTTGCTTCATCAACGTCAACCGGAATATCGTTCAGGAGTCCTTGCAAGAGAGCGGAATAGTCAATAACAGATTGCGTTGTAGCACAGCCATCAGTTGTGGTGTCATGGCCCGCCAGCAACGCCGAGAGCAGCTCAGCAGCTCTGAACTCCAACGCATTGTTCGCGCCATCGGCACTGTCCGTTCCTGTTGCTGGCGGTGCAGCGACCCACGGCACAGTGCCGCCGGTGGCGGTGGCAGCCTCCTTCAGGTGACCCTGAAGTGGCGACGTGGGCTGAGGCAGGCGCGGCGGCGGCGGCGGGACCACCCCTGAGGCCAGCACGCATGGTTTCCAGAGATCGCCGCCATCGGTGCCACCACCGTCGCGAACGCCAACAATCTTACCATCCCCGTAATTCCAGATCCTGACCCCACCGCCCCCACCGCCCCCACCGCCGCCATTGCCGCCGCCGCCGCTACGCATCCGCTCCTGCCGCTCATCCTCCGCTGCCGCTGCTTCCAGAAGCGAGTTGGCGACCTGGGCCGCAAGCGAGCCATCTGCCTCCTCATCCCCGTCGTCATCCTCGCCGTCCTGCAACCGAACGCCCGAGGCGCCGACACCCACAGCACTTGCAGCACCACAGGAAGCGGCCCTACCACCGCCACCCTCATGCATGTTGGCATGAGAAACACAGCTTGTGGCCTGATGGATTAAGGAATCGTATCGGTAGTTGTCTTGCGGAGGTAGCTGATCGATCACTGCTAGGCCAGGGAATGCGGTCAGCATCCCAGGATATGCAAACGCTTCTGAACTTGGAGGTGGTGGAAATAGTGGCAATAATGGTGTTGCAAGCCTTGAAGGGGGCACAGTGCCTGATCCATCCCTCGCTTCCGGAGTGTCACCGGCAGCAAAAGTGCTGGCGGCAGGGGTCGACGAGGAGACGGATGATGAAAAGGATGAAGAGGATGAACCGGTGGGCGGGATACTCGAGGCATGTGGGGGTCCCAAAGGCGCTGCCCACCGCAAATCGCAAGGAAGAGGCTCCTCCACTAACGCCGCCGACAGCGGCCAACCGGCAGCACAGGTAGCGGCAGGGATGCAAGCGGAGCCAGCAGAGGCGGGGACAGAGGGCGCCAGGCAGGGGCCTGGCCAGGAGTGTGCGGCCGGCAACAGCAGCGGCGGGGAGTGAGGCCGGCACGCCTCCCCGCCGACGCCAATACTGCTGCTGCTGCTGCTGCCGTGCAGGATGGCGCCGGTGGAGCCGGCGATGGGCAGCAGCGGCGGGGGTGGCGAGGGAGGCGATGAAACCGCTGCCGTACTGGCTGTGTGGGGTGCCGTACTTGCCTTGGTGTCGGTACCCCCTTTGCAACGGTGCTCGAATCCAGGTGGCGGATGCAGCAGTGGCTTTGCATGGGCTGCTTGCACCCTGGCGCACGGAGGGGTCCCAGGCGGTGACCTGATTGCGCCGGTTGCGGCTGCACTTGTGGTGCGTGTACTGGTACAGGATGCAGCTGTTGGGTTCAGCTTCGGCTGCTGTTGTTGCTGACTGCAAGTCTGTGCGCTCTTCTTCTTTTGTTGTTGTTGTTGTTGCTGCTGTTGCGGTTGTGCTCCTTGCGGTGGATGGCTTTGCTGTGTTTGTTGCGGCGGCGGTGCCGGTGCCGGTGGCAGTGGCAGTTGCGGCGGGCGCAGCTGCTCCTGCACGCGTGTGGCAGCTGGCGGTTTGGAGGGCGGCTTGGGCGGCTGCTGTTGCGGCGGCGGTTGCCGAGGCTTGGAGCAGCCTGCAAGCGGCAACAAGTGAGCACCGTGCGCATGTAGCTTTGGTTTAGGCATTAGGGGGGACAAGATGGGCCTTGTTAGGTAACGTACATCCTCATCCTCTTCCTCATCCCTGGCCTGCAAGCCTCCATAGGCCCATGTCGGGTACTAGCCAGCCTCATTCCTCTTTCCCGACCTAGCCATACCCACCGCCACAGCCGTGCTACCCACCTCCTTTCATGGCTGGTGCAGCCTTAGCCTTCACGCACGCCGCTGCTGCTGCCGTTGCCGGCAGTTGCACCGCCCTTTTGCTGCCCTCGTCCTCGACACCAGCAGCGCCGATGGCACTGTGAGGTGCCCCGGCAGCGGCCCCCGGGGCCTGGTGCCCAGACTGTTGAGCCGCACGCAAGTCAGGGAATAAAACACCCACAGAGGCAAGGTGTCAAGCCGCCGGACAGGGGAGTGAGCATAAGAGGAAGGGCACAACGTGCACGGCCATGCACTCGCGACCAAACGCGGGGAGTACGGCGGTAGTAACGGCGCTGGCACCAACAACCCTACAACAACCTATAATAGAGAAAATGCAGAGACGAATCCAAGATAGGACGAACGAGCAGGGTGGCAAGCGTAGGCGAGGACGAGCACTGAGTGCCGACCGAGGTTTACTTCCTCCTTCTTCTTCGTCTTTCTCCTCCTTCTCCTTCCCTTCCAGTGTAAGGCAGGAGCAACCAGCACACCTGCCCGCTCACCTTTGCCAGGGCGGCAATCACAGCAGCGCCGCACTTCTTCCCTCGCCTGCGCTGCCGCCACCGCCGCCGCAGCCACCGCACCAGCCCTGTCGAAACCAACCCCAACGCCGACAGACTGGTAGCTCCCTCCATGATGAGCTCCGCCACGTTTACCTCATCAACCACCACAACCTCCACATCTCCCTCATCCGTACATGTGGTGTCGTCGCCATAACCATCATCACCACCGCCGCTGTAGCTACCGCCGTTGTAGCTGCTGACGTAGGGTGCTGTTGTCCTGCCGCCGCCGCCGCCGCTATCTCTGAAGCTGCCGCTGCTGCTGACTGGCATGTACCTGCCCTCGTAACTGTAGCTATCTGAGCCGTGTGGGGGTCTGAGGTGGCCGCTGCCGCTGCCGCCAGTGTTCGCTGAGTCGCTTCCGAAGGCAGCTGCAGTGGTGGCGGACAGGCATGCAGGGGAGGCGGAGGAGGAGGATGCGGAACAGTCATGAGAGGCGGCGGATCCGGCACTTCCGAAGGAGGAGGTGGTGTGGGGTGGTTTGAGCGTTTGGGACAGGGCCAACATGGCAAACCGGAGGTCTTGCGCGGTGTTGTAGGTGCGCCCGTTGAGGTTGTAGGACACTCTGGGGGAGGGAGGGAAGGGGAGCAGGGCAGGGCGAGAGTGGGAAGAGGGGGTATGTTGGCACGAATGTTTGAGTGTGAGTTGCAACGTACGAGGGTAGTCAGCTGGCTCGGCACACTGCCAAGAAGTGCGGGCAAGAAGTGTGAAGGGAGGAAGGCAGGAAGCAGAGGGAGGGAGGAGAGGAGAGCGGGTGGTAAAACGAAATAGCAGGGTGCACAGGGCATTAGTGGGGAATTAATACTGCCGTACTCACTTGTATCGGCCCTCCTCGGTCACTGTGTAGCTAACCAGCCAGTCCTCCAGAGGCCCCAACTCCTCCGCCCCCACCCCCGCCCCAGCATCGCTCCACATAGCAGCACTCCAGCGAACCGTGTCAAAGTGCTGCCGCTCAATGCCGCTGTAGCCGACCCAGTACGGCACAACCTGTTAGCGGCACATGTACGACATGAACCAGGAGCGCAGATTGAAGAGGCGGAGAAGTGTCTAGGGATGTTAGGACTTGTGAGCAGGGCTTTCATGCGTTACAACATGTGACCATGCATACATGTGCCATGCTTACCGTCCCAATTATATGTGCAATACAACTCAAGGTCGGGAGCTGCATTGTGTATAGTGCGGTTATGCCTGGGATCACAACAATGTCGTACGCTCGTACCTCTTGTACGTCAAGTTGCAGCTGTAGGTTGCCGTACGCGTCCAACCAGCCTTCCTCGGGGTCCAGCAGCAGGTGGCAGGACGTGAGCCGGTTGTAGCCCCAAGCGGTGGACTGCCGGCTGAAGTTGTGGGAAGCCTCTGCAGAAGGAAGGGGTTGTGATTGGGCACCGCACCGCAGCTTTGGTTTCGAGTTAAGGTTTTGCATGGGTCAGCATGTATGTAGACTTGTGCTTGTTTTTGTAGGTGTACGACGGGCGTGCTTAAAACATCCCGTACTAACCTGTTACGACATCTTGCCGTACCCCTTGCATGTTCATAACTGCATGCACAATGAAAGGAGGAGGGGTAAGGACGATACCAAACCGCAAGAAGGAGAGGGCAAGGCAAACCAGATAGGACATGCATGAGGTAAGGGAGCTGCACTACATGAGCAATATGGAAAGCACGGAACCCCCCAGGTGCAAGACGATGTCGCTACTTCCGGCGCCGATGGCAATTACTACAGACCAGAAGCGGTACAATGACTTCGCCTTACCTCTGAAGCGCCATGAGCTGTAAACCGCCTCATCAGGGCCCCAATGCGAGGCGAGGGCGGCACTTATGTAGAGGCTTAAGAAGCCCGAGTGTCCTTCGTCCCCTTGCGGGAAGAGTATGAGTTGCCTGGGTTCGCAGCGCAATTGAAAGGGGAAACAGGTTACGATGGTACACTTGTTGACACGTTCTTATCCCAAATTGCACGGGATGAAATAGTCGGGGTGCAGGTGAGGACGATGCGGATGCTCATCGGCAACATGTTTGCGGAATTTACCATGGTGCGCGACAACGCCCGCTTACCATAATATGGCAGAAGTCCGGAACACACTTGACACTAGCCTCCGCTCCTGTCGGCCTTCGTATGCCTGGATTGTCCACTGGGTAGGAGCATGGCCGACATGCCTGTCAGCCCCAGTAGGCCAAGCCGAAAACCAACCATTTGGACCAACCTGATATGACGCCAGGTTTGCGCTGTCGTCATTGTCATAATAATTAACTGATAGCTTGGTACCGGGGCTGCTAAGACCCGCGTGCTCCAACACGGCATTGTGACGCTGGTGCAAAATTCTCTCTATTGCTTTTGGAGAACGCACGTGCAGGGCTGGCGCTACTATATTACACATCACGGCAAGGAGGAAAAGGCATATTGCAGGTAGGGCCTGCGTCGCCATCCTTGCGCTTAAAAGAAAATCGCTTTGTAAATATACAAGACCAATACAGTAGTATGTCGCATACAATAATCGTTCAGCCTTGTATGCTGCCTGCTACTATTAGTGCCGGGTCAGACCGCGTCGACTCCTTTTGTAAAGCAATACCGGTAGTATCCTTTCGGCATTCTTTGTGTCAATAAAAGCCCATCATAAAAGAACGTGATGGGAAAGTGGACGGCAACAGTGCCGCCTGGTTCGTATGGGTTGCGGCTCTGCTTGCTCGGATATGCCATGTCGGCTGTACGGCAACGCCGGATGGCATTAGTAGTAGAGCTGTTCCTAACACGCTTGGTAGTTTCCACGGGTAGGGAAATACTGGTGCCAGTCATTGTAAAGGCTAGCCACTACTATGTGGCATCGCGCGTCGTATGCAGGCTTATGTTAGTTAACGACTGAAGTCAGCGCGGCTCGCGATCACCAAGCCTACCTGGCTTTCCAATTCCAATTAATATGCATAGCTCGCAACAAACGACGAACATCTACCCCGAACCCGGTGACCAGTCTTCCCCACACAAGAAATCGTGAGCACCCATTGACATGAACACAACCTGCCTGGACGCCCAACAACATGCAACTCCTGGCCGAACAGCCGCCAACACGTACGAAATCATCTACTAAGCGATACACGGCGCTACCTAGCACGCTGTCCTCGTGTTCCTGTGCTACTACCTTACATGTCTCCAATAATGCAGCGACGTACTGTCCTTTGCTGCTAAGACCCTGTCACAGAGCCTTGCCGCGACGCCACATCTGCGTCCCAGTAACTGACCGTTGTGCTGAAACGAAGCCGTTCTACTCCGGCTACAGCAGCTGCTCATGCTTCTGCTGCAGTTCAGCTAGTCATCCTGCTCCCACTTATGCTGGTGCGGCTACTGTTGATGTGAATGCGAGCGGCAGCGGCACTTCTCCTCATGGTGCGCCTGTCGCTGTCGCTGCCGCACATTCAGGTGAGTGGCGACGGTGCTCCAGCTCCTGTCGGCCGCCGCTGCTACCCGCTGATGTCGGCCCCTGCCCCCACACTCCCCTAGTGCGGGTGCAGGGACTCCTCGTCCATGCTGCTCAGGCTGGGCAGCCGCACCACCTTGCGCCGCCGCGAGGCAGTTCGCCACCGAGGCGCCCGCGGCTGGGCCGCCGCCTCCCTCCCAGCACCCCCCGCACCCGCACCTGCAGCTGCGGATTGCTGTTGTTGTGGTTGTTCGACTGCTGCTTCCGAACGCGCTTCACAACTGCCTTCTGAGGTAACATTGTCTATCACGTCAGCAGCAGCGGCGGCGGCGGCAGGAGCATCCAGAGACGCAGCAGCAGCCGCAGCAGCAGACCTGTCCCTGCTGTCATCCCTGCTTGCGACGCTATCCGCCGCCGGTACGCCCTTGTGGCTCATCCCCGCGACGGCATCAGTGGTTTGTGACCCGTGGGTCGCTCCCGTGGGCCCCGCCGCCACCGCTGCCAAGGGTGCCTCCTCGGGGCTCCTCGGGGCCGCTGCGGTGGAGTCCACAGCCGAGGATGCCGCCGCTGCTGCTGGCGTTACGGCTGGGATTGGGGCCATGGAGGCTGCTGCCTTCCTCCGTCCTCTCCCAGCCACCGCCTTTGATGCCCCCACCCCGTTGCTGCCCGCCTCAGTGGGACCCGCACCTGGGGCGGTCCCAGACGCAGGATCGTTCGGAGCAGCAGCGGCGGCCGGGGAGAAGGCGCCGCTGCTGCTGCTGCTACTGGGTGCTGACGTGCCATCGCTGCTGGCTGCCTCCTCCTTCCTCATCCTCCCGGCTGGAATGTTCCTCCCCTGCCGCCCCTCCTCCACCTGCCCTTGCTCTTGCTGCTCCTCCTGCTGCTGCCCGTGTTGCTCCTGCTGCTGCTGTTGCTGGCTCCACGGCTCCGGTCCCGGTCTTGTTCGCAGTTGCCACTGTTGTTGCTCCTGCTGGTACCACTGCTGCTGCCGCTGCTGCTGCTGGTGCGGCAGCAGTCTGAGGCCGTTGGGTGCGGTGGCTGCTGCCGCGCGTGCCGCCTGCCAGGCCGCGAAGGCGGGGTAGCGCTGCAGGAAGGCGGCGGGGTCCCAGATGAGGGCGCTCATGAAGGACTGCCGCCACTGCAGACCCGAGTCCTGAGTCCAGGGGTAGCAGCAGGACAATGGGGGGAGCGGCGGGGGCAGCGTTGGGGGTTGTATACGTGTATTGTATTGTATTGTACCGGCAGTCAACGTTGGACGCACAGCCCTCTTCCTCTCAATCCGCATCATTGCTCCCCATCGTTCGCCACACCGCCCATCCCTCTGATCCACACTAGCGAGAAGGTCCTCACCAGCTGGGGTTTACCCAGAACCCCCACCGCCTCCCCGCGTCCCAACCTCCTCCTCCTCCATGTCCTCCCGCCCACGCCGCCTCCTCCTCTTCCTACTGCCCCCCCGCCCTACCAGCAGGAACTCCAGGTGTTGCCGCGTGCGGTTGTTGTGCCCCCGCAGGCTCTTCCACAGCGCCTCCGGGCCGCCCGCCGCCAGCTGACCCGCCCAGCCCGGCCACCGCCGCAGCAGCGCCAACGTAGCGGAGGAGGACCTGACGCAGCGGGAGGAGGTGGGGGGTGGGTGGGTGGGGAGGGGAGGGGGGAGAGGTCGTGAGGGTCGGAGGGGGGCGGCCTGCGCATGCGGGGCTAGCCTGGGGTGGCCCCTTCCATGGAGCACGGTTGTGTTGGACTCGGCGGGGGGGGGGAGCCCACTCCAGTCCGCAGCTCTCCTCCCGCCCCCAGTCCTGCTCCCCCCCTGCCCCACCTGGTCAGCTCCTCGGGCTGGTCCGCCAGCAGCGAGGGGTGCGCCACCGCCGTCGCCCGCACCGCCTGCTGCCCCACCGCCCCCGCCAGGCAGCCGTCCAGCGCGGACAACACCGCCTGCCAGTGGCTGCGCGGAGGGAGGCGGGGAGGGGGCGATGGCAGGATGGGGGAGTGGGTAGGGGAAGATCGGGGCGTGCGAAATGGCTGTGCGGAGGACTGCGCGACTGCGACCCGCGCCCGCAAGCTGTTCTCAAAGCTGCAGTAGCTGCTTCTCACCCGTGCATCCATTTCCCGTCATTCGCCCTCCCGAAGAGTGCCCCAGCCACCCCTCCCACCCCTGCCCCACCCCTCCCCCACCCCTGCCCCACCCTTCCCCACCTGGTGCTCTTGGTGATGAAAGCGGGCGAGCGGCCCAGCATGTCCCCCACCGCCACCTCCGACACACCCAGCAGCCGGGCGGCCTCGGACACCTGGGCACCGGCGGCGTGGGAGGGGAGGGGAGGGGGGGTTACGTGGTGTGCACCTCAACCCTGTCCGATTCCCGGCCCGCCTGCCCCAACCCCTGGCAAGCACCTGGCACAGGTCCTCCCTGCCCCACCTACCCCGCCTTCCCCCTGCACCTGTTCGTCTAGCACGGCGTTGCCTACTACCTGGTGTCAGCCTCCTGCTCCCGTATCCCTCCCCGCCCCCCGCCCCCACCCCCTCACCTTCTCCCGCAGCACGGCGATCTGCTCCATCAGCAGGGAGGGCTCCCGGCACACCAGGCGGCCCAGCGCGGCGGGGGGCAGCGGGATGAGCGAGGACAGGAAGCGATGCTGGCGCTGCGGAGGGAGGTGGGGGAGACGGGAGGCAGGCTTAGTGGAGGTTGCGTTGGAGCGGGGCGGGAGGGGGAGATGGAAGTGGAGGGTGGGGTAAGGGTGGGGCTGAGGCCGGACAGAGGATGGGAAGAAATGGGGTTCTGTGCCATTCCCAGTACATCAACCCTTCCACAGCTAGCCGTTCTAAAGCCGCGGATCCAGGCCCGGACCCATTACCAACCTACCACCACGCCCGCAGAGCAACACCACCCCTAACACAACCTACCCCCTGTGCCACCCCATTCCCTCCCCTACCTTGAACCTCTTGTCCGACATGGTAAGCAGCGCGGGTCGCCCCACCACCAGCAGCACCGCACGAGCCCGCGGCAGCGCAAACGTGGCCTCCAACGCCGCCACCTTGCTCGCCAGGCTGGCCGGGGATTTACACAGCAGGTTGGGTTGCCGTACAACCATGGCCAGGGCCGTCTCAAACGTCACCCCCAGCAGCCGCTGCAGCGCCGCCCAGTTATCCGCCAGGGACTCCGTTTGGTACATCAGCAGCTGCGGCTGCCGTACAACCATGTCCAGCGCGTCCCGGCGGGGCACCATGAGGGAGAAGGTGAGGGCCTCCAGGCGCTGTCGTACACGGGCTGGGTCCACCAGCAGCAGCCGCGGCTGCAGCAGCAGCATGGAGATCACCGCGGGCAGGTCGATGCGCGCCGCGGCGGCCAGCGACACGAAGCGCCCGCGCAACGTCTCAGGAGGCAGCAGCAGCACATGCGGGCAGGCGAGAAGCGTGTCCAGCAGACCGCCGCCGCCGCCGCGAAGCGGCTGCGGTGGTGCCTGCGGTGTCTGCGGCGCCGCTCCCGACGCCGCCGCTGGCGGCGGTGGCGGCGCCTGCGGCGCCGCCCCTGCCCCCATGGCCGCCTTTGTTGGCGGAATGGTGAGCAGCGTTTCCAGCGCCGCCGCCACCCCCTTGAGCGGCGCCAGCAGCAGCGGCGGGCAGCGAGCCACCAGCAGCGCCACGGTGGCGGGGGCGGCGCGCTTGGAGCCAAAGGTAGCCGCCAGCAGCCGCCGCAGCCCGCGCAGCCGCTCCCGCAGCATGCCCGCCCGCCAGCCAACACCACTCCCACCACCTCCTCCTCCTCCTCCTCCGGCACCTCCTTCTGGTGCAGCAGCTGCTGCAGCGCCTGCTGGAGGGGCTACTATGGGCCCGGCGGCTTCCGAGGCCGCCAGCAGGCCGCTCAGGTCCGCCGCCGGCAGCTCCGCCAGGAAGCGGAGTGCGGGGCCCGGCCGCAGCCGGAGCTCGCTAGACACGCGGCGGGAGAGGGTGCGGAGCGCGTCAGTTGGGATGTCCAGGAAGGCGGGCTGGGAGAGCAGCAGCTTGAGGGCGTCGGCCTGGGTGAGGGAGAGGGCTCGGGCGAAGCCGTCGCAGCGGGCTTGCAGCGCGGGCGGTGAGAGCTGCAGGACGCCGGGTCGGCGGGCCGCCATGTAGAGGAGCTGGTAGGGGGGCAGGCCGGTAACGCGGGAGTAGGCGAGAATGCGGTCGGCGAGGAGGGTGGGGCTGGCGCGACGGAGGAGGGGCTGGCGTTCTAAGATCATGCGGAGGCGGTGGCGGGGCAGGGGGGCGAAGGCGGCGGCTAGCGCGTCGAGTACGGCATCTGAGTCAGCTGGGGAGTCGGAGATTGGGGAGGAGGAGGAAGGCGGAGGGATGCTGGTGAGGGTGCTAAAGGAGGAGGAGGAGGAGAGGGAGGAGGAGGTGGCTATGGGGAGCTGCGTTGAGGGTTGGAGTGGGGAGCTGCTGGGACGAGTGGGCGGTCGTGAGAGGGTCGCAACCGCTGAAGGTGGCGGGGTGTGGGTGGTGCTGGTGTAAGCCTCGCCTGAAGGGTAGGGGAGTTGGGACAAGTGAAAGAAGTTTAGGCGAGTAAGGCCCGTGTGTTTGTGGTAGCATGGAAGGACGGCGTAAGCTTTGCAGGAAGCGGGCTGGTGGGAGGGAGGGCATGTGGGCTGTGTGAAGTCTATGTGAAGGGGCATGCGCTGCTTTCAAGGAAGTTAGGTAGCCTTACCTGCTTCGCCTGACGTCATCACCTGCCCCGCCGCTCGATGCGAGCCGGAGGCCGTAAGTCGCCTTGGGCATAGGCCAACTACGAACGCATGCGTCAGTGTGTGAGGTAGCGACAACCTTACGCATCTGCTCACGTGCTCCGACGGTAGCCCGCTACGCGACAACGGATCTTTCGCAGCCAAAGTATTTATAGCTTGTCCGAACTCTTAAGAAGCAGTGCATACAGCATCGTAGGCACCCACCATGGCGGCTTGCAAGCGGACGACCGAAGCAGCTGTCAGCTGCAAAAGCCCATAAAATCCGGCAAGAAGAAGAACTAGTGCAACGCGAAGACTCTGCCACCGCGGATCTGCGCCCCGCTGCCGCGCAGCTACGATGCCCTTGCAAATCGGTAAACATCCTGTTCTTGCGCTCTCGTCACCAAGGTGGTTCATAGTTTTGCATATTCGATATCATGACTCTTAGAGATTCTCATAAAAGGCACAGATATAAACAAGGTTGCAGTGGACGCGGTTAGCTTAATCTTGAGGCTTCAGTGTGAGCCTAGGAAGCGTATTTTCAGGTTTAATGTTATGTTGGCAGCAAGGAAATCCTGCTTTCACGCATAAGACCATAGACATTAGGATACTAGAACCGTACCGGCCCAAAAAAGATCCACTTGCCCTCGTTGGGCATCTGGCAGGCAATGCCGACCAAAAAGGAAAGCAAACACCAGAAACCACCCATATACATGCGTTCAATAATAAGCTACAACCTTTCCTACATCGCGACGAACGCTCATATGTATTCCGACGCGGACATTCCCGACTCAACCACTCTGCTTACTCTATTCATTCCTCTACCATCCTAACGGCCACGAAAAAAATGCGATACAATCACACGAAAAGTAAAGAAGACTACGTAATGCGGCCTCAAAATTGTTTGAACGCTGCCAAGATGTGTAGAGTTGGCTCCGTGCTCGCTATCTCTGGGCCTCCCTAATCATTCAGTTCAACGCCATCACTGTCAAGGCACACAAGGGTCAACACTACCTGTATTGCGCGCTGCACACTGGCGACAAAACGTTCGAAGGGCACGCTTGCCTTTTTAAATCAAAGCGCCGCACGGGGTTGACAGCCACCGCACTATGAACCTGCACTCAATACCCTTCAAACACCCACAGCATGGTTAATGTCACACACATTGGTCTGTCTTCCTGTCGAAATACGTCCCAAACAAATGCTCAGGGTAATAGGTTATGTGTTTGGCTGGTCGCAGCCTCATAGAAGACCACCAGGACCCCAGGACGGGGATCCGAGGAAGTCGTCAGCTCCGGGCGTGTACGATAGTAGGCCGTAGAAGGGGTCCAAGTTTTGCGCATGCCGCGCGGATGCTGTCCCGGCTCCTCCTTCACTCTTGTCCGGCAACCGCATCCGAGCTGGCCTGTGAGGGGAATGAGATAAGAGATTGATATTCCTTCGGGCAACCGTACACTCCATCCTTAACACCACTCCCTCAACCCCACGTGTTACGCACGCACCCGCTGCCTCCGCCGCATCCATGCGAAGAAGCGCCTCCCACAGGTTGCAACGTGATGTACGCCTCTGCGTCATACAACTGCCAGCTACCACTGCTGTTGTTGAGTTGCTGCTGCTGGTGATGTGGATGTTGCTGCTGCTGCTGTTGGTGGTGGTGGGAGAGGCAAAGCGGCTGGTGATGACCGGGGCCGCCCGGGGGCTCCTTGCTGCCCTGCCCGCACCCCGCTGTGGACGGCCCGGCATCGTAGCTGGAGAGGGGTCCCGCACCAACCGTGGCGCCTGCCTCCTCCACCACACCGTCTGGGATCTGCTGCCCCAACCCTAAGGACGCGGCCAGCAGCTCAGCGCTCCAGGTGGGGCTGCTGAGGTGGTTGGCGACGGGCCCGAACGAGGGGCTCTGGAGGCAGTGCGAGGGCGGGTGCAGGAGCGAGGCGGCGTCGTAGGCGTAGGGGGACGGTGGGGAGCTCGGCTCCTCGTCCACCTGGGGGCGGCGGGGGACCGGGAGTTAGTGGAGTTGGAGGACGTGCAGGAAAAGAGGGAAATCAGGGTTCTGGCTGACACGGGTGGTGAGAGGTTCAAGCTTGCAGCGTAGGATCGCGGCTAGGTTGGGGACGGGTAGCGCACGTGACCATGGGAAGCCGTATGGATGGGTATTGGTTAAGCAGATTACGTGACTACTAGGAAGCGGGAACCGGCAACAATCTTGGCAAAACGTAGGATTGAAGCATTGAGGAATCGCAGTAGTGCAGGTACTCCTTGCAGCGTTGCAAGGGGTAGAATTGTCGGCCATTCGCCAACCCAGCGTCGGGATCCCGTACCTCATGTTGCTGCAGGGCGTGCTGCGGACTGGGCGGCGAGGGGCAGATCACCATGAGTTCATGCCCGCGTTGCAACTCTAGCTCCTCTTGCTGCCACAGCTGGTTAGCTCTGCAGGCAAACGGTGTACAAGGCGGCATGGGTTTTGGGAACGGGAGTCAGTAAACCCGAAAGGTATAAATAAGCTGTTGTCTGCATGTTGTTGAAAGCATAAAGGATGTGCTGTCTACAGGCTGCGCAAGAAATTTGCAATTTGTAGCGGGATTCGCGTGTATTCCATTTGGTTGCGTCACCTGGACATAAGCTGATCCACGAGAAGGAGGAAGCGTTCAGCAGACATGGAGGGCCCCGAGCGGTGTTTGAGTCGAGGGGGGCTGTCCAACGCCTGGTAACTGCGTTGCCCCCCGTGGCTCTGGCGAGCACCGGAATTGGAGCGATGGTACCTCATGGTTGTCGGTGCGGCTGTCCTAGAGACCTCCACAGCAGGCGCAACAGGTGCAGACTGACCGGAGCCGCACTTGCACGCCTGCCGGCCGGCACGGCCGGCCGGCTTGAAGAAGACTGGTGGTCAGGTAGTGAAGCTTGTAGTGCACCTACGCAATGTCGCCCAGGAAGTCCTCCCCGGCGTCGTGCTCTCAGGAGGCGCTTTAGCAGGCGCTAACAAACCAGACTAGAGAGTATTATTGCACTTGTTGCGATAAACAAAGTCTGTAGGAAGCTGTGCTGCTTAGCCTTGACTGCGCACGCCTGCAAACGAACTTGCAGTTTGAACAGCTACAACTTCGCGGGGTCCTCTTTCAAGTAGATAATTGAGGCCTGCAGTGCGAGGTATGAACGTAGAGCTTGCTGTTAATCACCCTCTTGCGCGGTTGGCAGCCGGACAAGTCTCGATGTTAGAATGGACAGACCCGTTGTCTGGCCAGCAAACAATAAACGAAACTGGTGCAACATACATATCACAAAAGTAATGCTTAGAAAGGAGGTCGGTGTGAAGCGGGCAACAGGGTTGCGTAGGAAACGCCCATAAGCGTGGGGGGAGAAGTTGAACATTGTCATTGGTGGGAGAAGCCGGCTAGCGGTATTTGTTATACGGGTTATAAGCGGGCCCACCTTCAGGTAGCGTTTCCCCGCGGTGCTAGCAACTTCGAAGCAAAAAGTGCCTTAGGCCGTGGGATTTACCGCAGCCCCAAACGAGTTTAGATCGAGAAATTAGATGCAAGGACTTGCTTGAGATAGCGGCCCGACTTCTTGGCGGCCGACCTGCCTTTTTCTCGCTCCTGCACCTCTCCCGCCTCCCGCCAAAGCCGTAATGGTACGGCTCATACGGTGTGATTCTCGAAAGCGAAGACCTACCGTAGTGTTTTTCTCTGTAAGCGGTTTTAACGTTTATGTTATCACCTGGTTTCCCGTAGCTGCTGGACGCCCAACTCGTAAAGGAAAATCTCGGTTGGCATGTCTGCGCTGAGCGCAGCGCAGCTGCCTAGGGCACAATTAAAATGCGTCATCGCCCCTGACCGTTTGGGCCATGCTATGCCTCAGCGGCGCGTCGTTGTGGCTCGTGCAAAAAACAACCAGAAGAACGAGGGAGTGTATTTTGAGTACGAGGCCATCGACCCAAATGCCGCTAACGAAATTGCCGCATTGCAAGGTCAGTCGGGGAATGGATTGACTGGAAACGATGGTTCGGACCGAGGAATGACTACCATTCCTCATACTCGACCATGACGGGCGACCCTTTCGCCTTAGCAGCACCGTCGATGCGCGTCTAACACGCATCTGCTGATCAATGGGGTCATTGCACTCGCATGCTGGTCAATTCTCTTCAATTGTCAGCCCCTACGTTCCTCGAATTCCCTTCCATCCCACCTCGTCCCCCGCCCTGCCCAAAACAATCAGAGGAGGAGGCTGATCAGTTTGGATGGGCCCAACGAAGTCGCGAGAAGAAGAAGGAGATGCAAAAGCGGCACCGCTCCATAGACCAAAAGGTGTTTGGTGTAACAACAGGCGATCCACGCAAGGCAGCCAAGCGTGCAGCTCGTGCCAGAGGTGAGGAAGCAGTGGGGTGGCGCTACAGGGAGGGGAAGGTCAGAGGTGAAGGTCAGAGGAAGAGCGGGAAGATTGGGGTTGGTCGGGATTGGGAGGCCTTTGGCACGTTCGCACGCGTTCATGGAAGCCAACACGGCGGTTTATGGGTTGTGGTCGGCTTGGGACCGCCCACAGCACGTACCAGGGAGGGGGGCCCGTTGCCCGGGGCCAGTTGCACGCACTTCTCTCATGCACACCATGACCAGAGCCGTCCGGCGCAACCCCTTGCCCGGAGCTCCCCACGTCCTCCCCTCCCTATACACCCGACCCACATCCTCCCCTGCTCTTATCCGTCCCTGCCTCTCACCTGCTGCCGCCTTGGCCCAACCTCCCGCCCTCTCCATCCGCTGTTGCTGTCTCGGCAACGCTCCTCCCCAATTCACCTTCTACACACCTACACACCGCCACAAACGATACCCTAACCCCTCCCCGCCCGTACTCCACCTCTCCCTAGCCACGCTTCCACCTCGCCCCTTCCTCCCCTAACCCCTAACCCCACTCCCCACCCCCGCTCCCACCCCTACCCCAACTCCCACCCCCAGCTGCCGATCGGCAGCAGGCGGCTGCGGAGGCGGCTGCCCTAGCCGCCAGCGACGGGCCGCTGCTGCCCTCCTTCAGCCCCGTGGAGACACCCGCCATGCGGAAACACAAGATGGCAGCGACACCCGCCGCTCCGCAGCCGCAGCTGCAGCGGCCACCACCTCCGCCACAGCCCTCATCACCAGCAGCAGCACCAGCAGCACCAACGCCCGCATCCCGACCTGCGCCTGCAGCTGCCCAAGGGACAGCCGCGGCAGGGGCGGGGGCGGCGGCAGGTGCACCCCCTGCGGCCGCACCTCCGTCAGCAGCAGCAGCAGCTCCAGCTCCGTCCGGCCCGCAAGCGAGCCCCAGCAGAGGCAGTGGCGAGGGCAGCAGCAAGGCCGCTGCCGGCGCTGTGGCGAGTGTAGCGGCGGGTTCAGGAGGAGCAGGAGAGGCGGGGGCAGGGGGCGCGGCAACGCCCAGCAGCGGCAGCGGCAGCGACCGGCGCATGCGGCTGCTGCAGCGCATGAAGGGCAGCGCGGGGAGCAGCGGCAGCGGCGGCGGCAGCGGCGGTAGCTCCTCAGCCCCAACCGTGGCGGGCAGCGGCCGTGATAGCGCCGTGGATGCGGTGGCGGTGGCGACAGCAGCCCAGCAGCAGCAACAAGAGCAGGTGGAGGCGCAGGCGGTAATGGGAGAGGCAACGACGGTTGCAGCTGCCACTGCCGCCACTGCTGCAGCGGCGGCCGCAGGAGCTGCCCCGGCGGCAGTGGGTGGCGGCGTTCAGGAGGGCAGTGCGGCTGCTGTTTCCGGTGAGCACCTGCCTGTGTACTGCACCTCGTTTTGCATGTCCTGTGTTGCCCGACTGCATAGGCGGTTGCACGGGAGTGGCCCATAGGGCATTGCCCAGTACCGCTAACATCCCTGCGTTACTTCTCTTCACCTTCTACCTCTGTCCTCCCCTTCCTTTCCTCCCTCCTCTCCCTCAGCCGACCTGCTGCGCCAGTTCTCCTCCCTCGCCTCTCAGCTCCCCGCCGCCTCCGAGCTGTCGCCCGAGCTGCGCCCGCTGCGCGCCTACCTGCAGTCGCTGCTGGACCCCGCCAGCGCCGACGTGCGGGAGGCCACCGCGGGGGATGCGGCGGACATGCTGGAGAGGGACCTGCGGGAGGCGGCGGAGTTCAAGGAGTGGCTGCGGCAGGCGGCAGCAGCGGAGGAGGAGGGAGGCGGTGCAGTGGAGGGACGTATGGAAGGGCTACTGCGGGAGAAGGAGGAGGTGGAGGGGGAGGAGAAGGGGGAAGGTGTTGGGTTGGAGGGTGACGCTGATTGGGATCCGGAGATCTTGGCGGCCATGAAGTACGCGTTTGGCAGCGGGGGTGTCGCGGAGGGTGCGAGCGGCGCTGCCAGCGGTGTCGGGGCCGGGGGTGGCGGTGATGCGTTTGGGGACGGGGCGGTGACGTCAGCTCTGGATCTGATCTCGGAGATGCGGGAGCTCATGGCGCAGATGGATGCGCCCGCATCAGTGGCGGCGGAGGCAGGCGGCGGCGCGGCTGAGAGGGACATGACGGATGAGGAGGTAGGGGGTTGGACGGCTTCAGGCATGCTTGGAATGCATGCATGCAATCAATATACATTATGCATGCAAATGTAGTGTATGTAGTATGCGTGTGCAGTGTAGCATAGACGATGACCGCGGTACACGCGGTACTTGCACAGTGCAAGCTTCATGCATACCAAAGCGGACGTGGGGCCTCCCTTACCTCGCTAAACCATCTGCCCTTGGCCGTCCGCCACATCCCTCCACGCTCCCATGCTCTGACCTACATGCCGACCTGCCTGCGTGCCCACCCGCAGGTGCTAGCGGCGCTGAAGACCTCGGACCCCGAGCTGTACGAGCTGCTCAAGGACGTCCCCGAGTTCGACAAGCTGGATCTGGATCTCGGGTTGGAGGACTTTGGCGCGGACCTCATGGACCTGGCGGCCACAGCGGCGGAGGCGGGTGCAGGTGCAGGTAGCGCTGGTGGGGCGGCAGCAGGGAGGGCGGCCAGGAGCAGTGGGGGGCCGGCGGTGGGGGAGGACGATGGCGGTGATGATGATGATGAGGAGGAGGAGGAGGATGCGGCCGGAGGGGCAGCGGGAGATGAGCGGGAGCTGGAGGAGCTGCTGCGGGGCATGCGAAGCCTGGGACTGGGTGAGGAGAGTGGGGAGGGGGGGGCTGGGGTGGGAAGGGGTAAAAAATATATATATAGTGAGACACTGACGAAGGGAAGGGGTGGGGGACACACTGCTCGGGGTGAGGGTAAAAGCTGCGATTGGGGACGCGTTTACAGGCTGAAGGGGCCATGTCTTGAAGCAGACCGCATGTCCTCATCCTGCTGCCCTTGCCCTCAACCTGCTATGCCAACCAGCCCACCGTGAAAGTCGTTTCATTATCCACAGCCTGGCGCCCTGCCATGACGTGCTGTACCTTCCCCTGTCTAGTCTTCCGGTGCTGTACACGCTTCGCCGCAGCCATTCCTTTCTTGCATGCATGTGTGGCCTCATGGCTTTACCGTTACCTCCTTAACCCCAACCGTCCGCCCTCTCCCACCTCGCCGCCCCTCCCCTGCTCCCAGACCTCCCGGGCAATGTGGAGGATGCGGTGGAGGCCATCAGCAGCAGCAGGCGCGCCAGGGGAGGGGCAACCGCCGCCTTACCAAGCACCACCAGCAGCAGCAGCACCGGCAACAGGGGTGCTGCTGGCGCTGCTAGGAGCCTCCGCGTTGACCAAGACGACGAGGATGGGGTCTTTGATGATGAGGATGATGACGAGGATGATGAGGAGGGGCCGCTGTCTCTGGAGGACTTGTCACTGGGAGACGTCCTGGAGGCGTTGGGTGAGGACGAGGGTCTGGACCCACGGGTCAAGCTCCGCGCGCAGTTTGCGCTGCAGTCCATGTTTAATCAGCCGGCGGACGAGCTGGCGGCCAAGGGCTCCCGAAGCGGAGCGGAGGGGGCGAGGAAGGGGGCTAAGGGGAAGGAGGGGGGCAAGAAGAAGGGGGCGGGGCAGGGCGAAGCGGAGGTGTTGGTGCCACCCAAGAGTACGACGGGAATGGCTCGTGAGGCGCTGGGGCCGGATGACTTGGATGGGGGCGCTGCGCCGCCGCCGATGCTGCCCAAGCCGTCTCGGCCGCCGCGCAGGTGATGGGGGATGCGGTCAGTGCGGGGTGGTCAGGGGTGAGGTGAGGGGTAGATGGTGTGTGCTGCTGGTGCCGTTGCGGGATTGTAGGGCCTTGTTGGGTTGGGGGGGCATGAGCGTGAATATGGAAACTTGGGTAAGGAGGGGTGTTGCCGGTATGCAGGTTAATGGAGAGGGAATGAGGGACGAGGCGGCTGGTGAGGGATGGCATGGGCTGAGCCTTGTGTCAGCTAGCGGCCGGGCGGCGCCAGGGCGGATGCTCGGGGGGCTGAAGGCGGGTGCGCATAATGACAGGCTGCATAATGACAGGTTTGTGAAGGCTGCACAGCAGCAGAGGGAGGCTGTCTGGGCGGGGCGGCACTGCGGAAGCGCCGCGACTACTGGTCAGGATTTGAATTTGCGATTGCCAAGTGAGCGGAAAGTCCCCATTTTTGCTTGCTTTGTTGAAAGGGGATGTTGTTTAGAGCGAGAGAGGGTGGAACAATGAGTGGACGCGTTAGGTGTGGTGAAGGTGGTGTCTGCTGCCAGTGTTTACAAGGCAACATTATTAACTGTGGGCTGTACGGCACGCCTATCCCCGCTGTCGTTCACGTGGATGGTAATGGTATTTGTTGCCTAGTTTGTTAATGTATTCAGCATTACAATCACCTTACGCACCACCTGCCACAGTCTTTTACGGGTCTGCTGCCATGTAAGGCCAGTTGTTGTTGCGGATTGTACGCTTAGGGCCGGCCGTGTGGGATAATGAGGGGGAGGCAGCCTGCCGTTGCTCGCCCTAGCGCTGTGCCATGCGGGCCGCTGTGCGACCAGGCATGGCGCTACTGGCCTACCATGCAATGAGCCTGCTGCTGCGAAGCCGTTGGCCGGACGTTGAGGGCGCAATGGCAGCTGGGTTTGGCTGCCTTCCACATGTGGTGCTATTCTGTTTACAGCGTGTGGTTGCCTCACATGACTTGTGAGCAAACATTCACTTCGCAGCTATAGACGTTGTCCGTCTCACTGTTGCAACGCGGGGTACGCAGTGTCGCCTTGGCATCATGGTGTTAGCACCCACCGCATACATACCAGACCGTAGACACCCTTGACGCACGCAGGGAGGAGAGCACATCCCCCAGGGATCCAGATACGTAGGCGCACATGAAGCCTGCACACACCCCTTGCAGTGGGTGGATGGTAATGAAGCCGACACACCCCACAACCACTCTCCGCTGCAGCCAACCAATACCACTGCTGCTTTATTCTGTTCCATCCACCCCTGCGCACGTTGCACATGCAGCACACCTGTACAGACCCCCTTCCGCCTTCACTTACTAGACTTCCACCAACTGATGGGACCCGCAGCGCTCTCTCATTACGTCAGCCGCGCCCATTCGCTTCCTTGTTTTCACGTCTTCGTGATGGGAAGTGGTGGTAAGACACCCTGCGTGTTGGCCAGCAGGACCCTTAGTCGCTGTCGCTGCTGCCCCTGCTTCTGCTGCCACTGCCGCTGTCGTTGCCCCAATCCAAGAACCGCTTCACGGCCGAACGCAGCACATCAAAAACACGGGCGCGCTCCTCCTGCACCACTACCGTGTCATCCTCAATCGTTAAGCGCATGTCCCAACGCCCATTGCACGCCTTGCAGATTGGGTCCAGGAACATCTGGTGCACCCGGTCAGCACCGTCCAGCCAAACGTGCCTGGCCACCTGCGCATAGCTGTTGCCATCTGAGTTTGCGCAGCAGTAGTCTCGGACGTAGCCATGTAGATGCTTAGTTGTCGTCCAGATCGCCACGCTGAATGGCCTCCCGGACGCTCCTAGTCCAATACGTGCCGGGGTTACCCCCGCCGATTTTCGAACTGCCCCTAATGTTTCGGACCTCCATTGCCTCATCCTCAAGCCAGACGTTCATGCTGGGCGGCTATCTGTGACGCCCTGCTGTGACACGGGAGGGGAAGCCAGGGGCCGGGTCAAGCTTCGGACATGGACGGCTGTCAAAGTTGTACGTTTTATCGCCACAAATGACCTCGATTATCATGCATGCAGAAGGTGTACTTCACATAAGCTGATCTTTAGCGGTTTAACCGTCAAATCATCCCCGGCAAACAGAGTGAGCGGAGACACCACGCTGCCTAAATTGGCCAACACGGCCGAGAAGCCGTTAGATTGAACGCGCGCAAAAGGTTCCTTCCATATCAAAGCAAGAATGTTGCCGATCTGATTCCAATACTACTTATCCTTAGAGGGCAAATGAGGTGACGGCTAGACAGCACAGTACAGCAAGGAAAATCACCATTTGCCTTGACTGATCCAGCACTGAAGTAGCCTATACCACGTGTAGCAGGTGAGTGTGTGCCCCGGGGCTTATTATTTGTACCTGGCTAGTGCTGCGAGATGCACGTTGGTCAAACATTTGTACAGCAGATCGTTGCCGTACGTTGAGAGCCTGATAAGGCGATAAGGCTCAGAGGAAAATGGACGGTTACGAGCTACACGGCAGGGTCGTGTTTCTTGCGTCAAACCGAGTACGCTATCACCGCATGATGGACCTGCAAACATTGTTTGGACGGACAATAATTTGTCGTACCGGTACACTCTTCGCTAGGAATCTGGCGCATAAAAGGGACACTGCAATAGCAAGGAACCGTTCTTAAAAGGATTGCAAGAGTGACGCCTTGGTAAAGTACGGTTGCTTATTCCATGTATTTTGTTCTTTCGGGGTTCTGCCAAGTCTAACCATATAATATTTTAACGCTAAATACCAGTGCTGTTGGTCTGTTAGGCAAAGCCCGCAATGCTCTCGCGTCTCTGGCTACCGCTAAGGTGCTTTGGGCGCTCTTTGGGCTGTCGCAGCGCAGCTGTCCTATATTCAATACAACCTCCGACATGTAGTAGCGAAGCTGAGAGCGGCGAGACCTCACTCCGCAAGCTTGAACGGGTTGCCTTCCGGAACAATGGCAGTGCTGCCAGCGCAAGGGCCTGGAAAGAATGGTACCCGTCGACTGATATGTCTAAAGGGACCATCGTGAGGGCCTTTGCGGGGGCGGCGCGGTCGAGCATTCGGGGGCGCAACACCCCTGGCGTTCGTGTTGATGGCAGCGTCATCCGTGACCTGCCTACGTTGTTGGCAAAGGCAGAGGCTCGAGCAAAGGCTTGGCACCCATCAGACCTACATGCCGCATTCGATAATGTTGTAAAGGTGGGACCTTGCTACGCAGGCAAGGATTGGGGCCTAGTAGGATTGTGTGGGTGTTGGAGGCCATATGGTGGAGATGCATGGTGCTAGCATGGGATATGCTTTGACCACTGGCTGGCGTTAAAGCATGGCCCGTTGATGCGCAGGCTGGGATGCGTGGGGCCTCTTGACATCCAAAGCTGTCACCTGTACCTGTTACAGTGTAGAATGATGCATTGCGCAGGGACTCCCGTTGTGTTTATGCGAAAAGCAAAAGTCCACGGCGACGGGTTCACTGCATGCAACTCCCACCTTCGAAGCACGGTGTCCCCTGTCCTCTGGCCTCCTCATCTGCCCTACATAACTTCTGGTATGACCCTTTCCAACACAGAATTGTGCCCTGCCCCGCAGTTGCCTGGCCAAAGCGCTGATGATGCAAAGCTCCTCCACCGTGTGCTGGCAGTGCTCTCAGCCGCCTACCTGCCACACATACCCAACCTGGCTCAACCCCATCTCTGCACCATCCCGCTGTGGGCGTGTGCCAAGGCGGACTACTGGGATCGCCAGCTGGTGACAGCACTGCTTGGACGGCTGGCGTGGGATGGTGGAAGGCTGCTGGTACAGGCCAGCGGGCAAGAACATGCCAACCTGTGGTGGGCAATGTCCAAGGCACCAAAGGAAGTAGTAGCGGAAGCAGATGGACTGCTCCATGCAAGCGCAATCTTCGTCCAGCACATGAGCGCCCAGCAGCTCAGCCCCCAGAACTGCTCCAACATCCTCCTGGCTTGTGTCCGGCTGCAGCGTCGCCACGACCCCCTGCTGCACCACCTGGCCGCCTGCCTGGTGCAGCTGCTGCCCAACACCAACTGCCAGGACCTGGCTAACTCCCTGTATGCATTGGCTGTGCTGGGGTGCTCAGGAGGTGCTCATGCTGCTGCTGTGCAGCAGTTATGTTACGAGGTGCACCAGCGCCTTCGGGGACCATCTGCGCGGGAGTTTGTACCTCAAGCGTTGTCCAACCTGCTGTGGGCCCTGGAGAGGCTCCGACCAGATGACACGCAGGAGCTCGTACAGGCCTTGGCTGCTGAGTGCAGGAGACGCAGCTTTGCTGGCTTCAATGCACAGGACATCAGCAATGCTGCCTGGGCGCTCGCTAAGCTGTGGTACAGTGAGGCGTGTGCACCCAGTGTGCACCAGCAGCAGGACTGGTTCAAAGCCGCTGCCATTGCAGCAAGTGCTCCTGGTGCCATGAGTGGTGCCAGTGCCCAGGCTTGGTCCAACCTCTGGTACGCATTCGCGCTCGTGCGGCATCGCCCTGGTCCTGGCCTGCTGCAGGCGGTGCAGGCTGATGTGCACCTGGAGGCCCTTCGCAACCGCGCAAATTCCCAGGCCTGCGCCAACCTGCTGTGGTCTCTGGCAGGGCTTGGCAGCTACGATCAGCGGCTGGTGGATGTGCTGGTGAAGCGGCTGGGGGAGCTGGTGGGGCGGCCACAGGGGCCAAGCAAAGGGGGGGAGGGACCAACAATGCAGAACCTAACGAACAGCCTGTGGGCGCTTGCAGTGATGGGCCCTGACGTGCTGTCTCGCCACAGCGGCCTGGTGGAGGGGCTGCTGAGGGAGGTGGTGCGGAGGTGGGAGCGGGAAGGAAAGACAAGCACTAGCATGGAAGGTCTGGTGCAGTTGTGGCAGGTGCAGCAGGAGCTCGAGCACATAAGCAGCGGCAGGGGCAGTGGTAAACAGCTGAGCCGAATCCTTGCAGCAGCTGATGGTGAACGCACCACTTCATTGCTGCATGCCATGAAGCATGCTGTTGAGGAGGGACGCGCGGCGGATGACAACGCCAATCCACAGTTGCTGCCGCAGGCGGCAAACACCCTTGTGCGCCTTCAAGGACAGTTAGCTGGGCAGACAGCAAGCAAGAGCAGCAAGGCAAGCAACAATGTCACGGGTAGCAGCTGCACCACTACTGGTCCCACCATCCTTGCTATCCAGCAGAAGCAGCAGTTGGATGGGATCTGTGGCTGTGTAGACATCGTGCTTGAAATGGAGGGAGGGAGGCGCGTGGCAGTGGAGGTAAATGGGCCATTGAACTTCCTGGCCAGCCACCGGCGCACCAAGACCGGCCCCACCCAGCTGCGGGACAGGCAGCTGGAGCGGGTGTTTGGGGCGGGGAACGTGGTGAGCGTGCCGTACTGGGAATGGGACAAGCTGCAAGGACCTGAGGCCCGGGAGCAGTACATGGCGCGCTTGCTGGGCCTGACGCTGCCGGGACAACAGCAGACTGCCGGGACAACAGCAGAGGTAGATGAGTAGGCAGGAACCGTCGTGCATCTCGTACTGTAGGGCCATACGCAAATGCAATGCACGAGCGTCTTGGAAAACGTGTTGTATGTGTAAGCAACGTTTTGTGCAGGCATGGTGGCGGCATGGTTATTGTGAGCGCATGATTATGGACGTGCATGCTTATTCCTACATGTACGCAACTCGAAATTTGCACCTTTTCAACAAGTTGTGTTGACACATTTAGTACAGAAGCAGACTTGTGATTTCTGTTTACCAGTTCATGTAGCTGGTTCGATGGCAGCAGGCTTAGCTGCTGCCAGTAGGACCGTGGGGCTGTAGCTGTATTGAGTCAGTTGTTGCCAGCCAGAGGGATGATAGCGGCATCTGCATCCAGTCGACCCAGTCGCCTGCCGGACACTTCACCCTGGTTAGCTGTGTGGACGTCTTGGAACCTCAGCCGTGTAGGTTGTTGCTTGTGGGGGGCCGTGTGCTAGCATTCCGGGGGCACCAAGGAGCCATGCGTGGTGCACATAGCGCCGCCCTGTCAAGCCCCTGGCAACGGGGAAACGAGTCTTCCTTCACATAACCTCCAGGCTTTGCTGTATGCTAGCATCATAATCCATAAGAGAGGAGGCATAGTTGGAGAAGAGGAACACCAGTGCAGGGCCAGCATTGGCATTATGCAGTGAATTTAGATGTCTTGTCATGTTTTTATTTACTTTGTCTGCCGTACATCAATAGCCTGGGCCACACTGGCGAGGGGCGTTTTGGGGATGTATCCACCCACCCCTGGTGGTAGACATTTGCGGTATATTACGGTACTTCACTATCTTGGACGTGCCCGTTAATGCGGTCTGCAGACGGGTTTCTCAGTGCGGTTGGGTGCACACCTGTTGTACGACAGCTCAGGACCGTATTTATATAATAGCCTTACCACCTAAGTATGATTTGTCTCTCCTGAACCCTGACCCTGCCGGGCCCCTACCATGGCTTTCGTCTTGGGCAGGCATTACGCTGTTGGGTTGTCGTTGACTCTGTGGCTGTACCGGTATGTCCGACCAGGGTTGGGCCATGGGCTGGTTGTGGTGGTGGCGTTGCAAGCACATGGGCCGCCGCTGGGAAGGAGCTTTGGTCGATAGCCTCCTGCCGTCCGGCCATATGTACCGCACGTATGTCTTGGATGCCGTACAAACACTTGCCGTACACGAAAGCCGAAACGTTTTGCCAAGACCCGGGTCTCGGTTGGGACCTCCCATGCATGTCCTTACCTCAGCCAGGTGTTACCCAAGCGCCACCAGCAGATCCGAGCTGCTGCTGTGCTGATGGACCCTATTTGGACGCAAGTATGTAGCTAATTTAGGAAACTATTTTGGGTGCTTTCCGTGCGATACGTGGCGGGCAAGTGGAGGCGCATGCTAGGTTCCCTCCCCTGCGCTTTCGCTCCGCCCGCATCCAGTTTGCCGCAGTCCCCAGTCCACAGAGGAGCCCGTGCATGTTACACAGGTAGACGTTGGCCATGTGAGCTCGGCCCCGTTTCTTTACACCTGTTTCCTTTTCTCTACGTTGGGTGTCAACCTAGCTGCCGTATGTATACGGTAAGCTGCCACAACACGATGCCAACGTTACACATCTCTCCTAACGGCCATCCCTTCACCTTTCCACTCCTGTAGCACCCTAGCGCCAGTTACCTAGCTTGCTCCCGCAGTCTGGTACACACGGTCCATCATCACAGCGCCACCTCTCATCAGACCTCACATCTGCGCATTCTGGCAACCGACGTCTCCGCGGTGGACGGCAGCAGGTGCGCAGGGAAAGGTACAAGCTGGGATGTAAAACAGAAAGGGCAACGACCCTAGATCACAAGATCATCAAGGGATCACAGCCACACACCCAGCGCACCACCAGCAGCATCGCCGCCGGCAGCGGACAGGCACAGTCGCTAGACAAGCCAGTGCGGTCGCACGAGGTCACACAAGCAAGTCACACACATGCCATACTGGAGGAATAGAGGGACTTGAGCAACGATCTGTCACAACGGTGCATCGGTGTCATGGTTCACTGCATCCTCCCGGCTCAGTTGAATGCGAAACCAACAGTACATGTGCCATTTACCACAGGTGATAGCAAATTATTGGCTACACCGATCGCCTTTTCCTTATGTTACTGCTACTCCTAACAACTACGCCTAACCCCTCACACTAACACTCCGTCCATTCCTCCCTCCACGCTTCCAACACCCCCTCCCTCCCTCCATAGCGCATGTGTCCACCAGCCCTGCCCCCCCCCCTCCACCCCCACCCCCCAACTAATCATCCAACATGTCATATCACCAGTGTCTTGCCCCAACCTGTGGTTTCCTCGGTATGGCCTCTGACCCCCCCCCCCTAGTCATCCAGCGCACACAGCGCCGCCACGCCCTGCATCACCCAAAAGTCCGGGTGCGTGTCCGGCGGAATGCCCAGCCCCAGGTACAACACAAAGTTGGTGCTCTGCCCTGTCGTACTCAGCACCCCCGCTCGTACACTCGTGCGGTACAGCGGGCAGGCGTACCGGTGCGGGTCGGCCTGCGGGTCCTCCTCCGCTGAGGGGGGGAAGTCCCCTTCCGGCGGCGGGGAGACGAAGCCGCCGCTGAAAGGACGCGGCAGCGGCGGCAACGGCAGCGAAGCAGGTGCCGGTGCAGCTGCTGCTGCTGTTGTTGTTGTCACGGTCGCAGCAGCAGCACTCGCGGGAACGGCCGCAGGAGCAGGAGCAGGAGCGGGGGAAAGCGCAAAGGCAGGCAGGGCGGAGGCGGTCGAGGTTACGGAGGAGGGCGGTGCAGCCAAGGCGCCAGCCGCCGCCGCCACCACCGCCGACTTGCTGTTGGGGAAGGCCAGGTTCACGGAGGTCAGCACACCGCTGCCGCTGGTGGTCGCGTGGGCGCTGCTGCTGAGGTTGCCGCTGCTCACGCCGCCGTTGGGATAGCCGCTGCCGTAGCCATTGCCGGTACCCGTGCCTCCATGGGCGCTGTAAGCGTTGTAGTTGCTGCTGATGCTGGCGGCGGTGTTACCGCCCCCGGTGTAGTTCCCGTTGCTGCTGTTGCTGTTGCTGTTGTCGTAGCGCGCGGTGAAGGAGGCGGAGGTGGGGTCGTCCAGGGAGGGGAGGTCCGGTGGGGCGGTGCCGCTGTCCGCCCGGGTGCCGCATGAGGGGTCGGAGGCGGGGCGGGGCAGCAAGTGGGCGGCGGGCAGGCGACTGAACATGTCACCCGGACGAGCCTCAGCAAGCACGCCTGGGGAGGCGGGAGGAGGGGATGAGGAGGAGGTTGGGGGAGAGAGGGCAAGGGGGGCGGGGTTAGTTGGAAACGGGGTCGCAAGGGCCACATGGACGTTTCCTAAGCCGGAGCAAAGCATGAGGGAAAACACGGCAGCAGCAGCTGCTGCCCTCCTTCCTTGCTGACCCCACTGCCCGGCCTTGCGCCACCACCCCCCAGCCGGTGAACCTCTCCCACCCGCCATCCATGCTCCCCGCGCACCTTCCTTCTCGTCCCACCGAGCCCCCTCCAGGAAGAGCCCATACACATACACGCCGCCCTCCGCCGGCCCGCTGTTGACACCCACACCGGGCGGCACCGCGCCCCCGCCCGAACCCATCGTCGTACTCCCCCCGCAGCTGCGATCCCCCTGCTGCTGGTCACGGTCTGCCAGCAGGGATACCCGGCTGCCCGCGCCGCTCAATACACCCGTGGCGCCGCCCGTGCTGCCTCCTCCTCCGCCGTCCACACCCCCAACCCCCACCCCTCGCCGACTGGCGGCGTTGAAGGAGTTGGCGCTGCTGATGCGGCTGCAGGGCGCCGTCGCGGCGGCGGCCGCTGCGGCCGCCGCCGCCGCCGCCCTACCCGGCGCCCCTCCCGGCGCCGTCGCCGCCGCCGCCACCCTCTCCATCAGCGCTTGATCCTCACTCGGAGCGAGCACCCGGAAATCAAGTGTGAGGCGGTCGATGGGCACGCGTGTACGGCGCGCGTGGTTTTGCAGTACGGCCGTAATGAAGCCCTGCGGGAAGAACAGGCCGGGCAGCCAGAAGGCGGGCGGCTGGCCCCGGGTGAGCCAGGTCTGCAGCGCGTCCACCCGCTGTCGGAAGTCGCGAACCCAGCTGGCGAGCGGCTTGGTGGAGGGGTAGGAGGCGCGGCGCCAGGCGCGGGGGACGTGGTTGTTGAGGAGCGCGGTGGCCATGCCCTGCATAGGTGGGCGGGCGGTTGAAGGGGTGGGCGGTTGTTTGAGGAGGGCATGGATGCAGTAAGACGCCGGTAAGGAGACACGTGAAGCCAGGGAGGGGCTACTGCAGAGCGTAGCAATAAGCGGCATGGAGCATGGGTAAGGCAAAAGTGCTAGTCCTACGCGCCGTGCTAACCCCAGCCCTCGCCCAGGGCCCTTCCCCCCCGTACCTCCAGCTCCGCGCTCATCACCGCCAGCCCCCGCAGCGCCCGCAGCAGCTCATCCAGGCTCTTGCTCAGCACCCCCCGCAGCGTGTTGGCGCGCTCCATCTCCTGCGCCAACACCACCCCCAGGCTGTTGTCGTGACCCGAAGGCAGCGGAGCGAACGGGTTGGCGGCGCCCGCAGCGGCGGCCTCCCGCACCAGCGGCGGCGGCAGCATGTCAGCGATCTCCGCTGCCAGGTCCGCGGTGGCGTCATCTGTCGTACCCTCGCCCTGCCCGGCGGAGTGCTCCAGCCAGACGCCGGCGCCGCTGATGGCGCCGGAGGGTGCCGGCGCGCGGTTGGAGCCGCGGGAGGAGGAGGTGAAGGGGCGGTAGGTGGGGCCGGAGGCGAAGGCGCCGCCGCCGGAGGACGCGGCGACGGTGTTATGGAAGCGGTTGAATCGGTCGCGGCTGAAGGATGCGGATTTCATGGTGGCTACAGCAGCGTTGGCGAGGGCGGCGGCGCCGCTGTTGACACCGGTGGCCATGCGACGCATGCTGCCGCTGACGCTGCTTGGTTCGCCGCCGGGGCCTCCGCCGGGGGTGCCCACGGAGGTTGCTTTGGAGAGCATGAGCGATGGTGTTCCACCACCTCCGCCACCGCCACCGCCGCCGCCACCGCCGCCGCCACCCCCGCCTCCGCCGCTTTCAGAGGACGAGGACACGACTCGCGGCTGTATGGACAGCACCGTGTCTAGTAGCTTGCGTGTTTCCTGGAGCTGCAACCTCACGTCGGCGTTGGCGTGCAGGCCGAATACCTCCGGTGCGTCGGAATGCGGCAGGGACTTGCAGAACGACAGGTAGGAGTACAGGTCGCCGTCCATGGGCTGGCGGTAGGCCGCCGCGCCACCGCCGCCGCCACCACCGCCGTTGGGCCCGGTGGCAGCGGCGGCGGAGGCGGCACCTGGATTGCGGCCGGGGATGAAGACATGTCCGTCTTGCAGCACGCTAGGCTGGTAGAATTGCCTCAACAGGCAACTCAGCAACCGACGGTCGTTATCGTCGGTTACTCTCCCGCCGTACACAATTTCCCCAGTGACGTACTGTAGGGCCTCCCAGGGAATGCCCGCCGCCGCCGCCGCTGACGTCGATGTCGTTCCGCCGCCCATGCCCAAGGCGGCTGCTGCTGCAGTCTTAGCAGCGGCGGCGGCGCCCCCCAGCGGCCCCTCCAGCAGGAACATCTGAAGCGTGCGGACCGCCGCCGCCATGTCGCCGTCGCTGAACTCGTACCGCGCGTTCCAGCCGCGCGGCCCGAACCTCCGCCGCTCCTGCAGCACTGCATGGAACATGGCGCAGCTGAACAGCAGCTTGCGCCAGTGCGGACCCACCGCCGCCGCCACGGCGGGAGACAGCCCGCCGCCGCAGTAGCTGTCACGCGGCACGCCGCCAGCGCCCGAGGCAGCGGCGGCGGGATTGGCGGCGCCAGTCTTGGGTGTCGCGGGGGTCCTGGGTGTGGGAGCGCCGCCGGTATGGCCTGCCTTGGGCGAGCGAAGATCCGGCGGTGAAGGGTCCCTACCGCCGCCAACGCCGCCGCCGCCGCGGAGGGCGGAGTGGCTCCCGCTGCCTGTGCTGGTCGGGCCGCCGCCAGTGCCCGTGTTGCTGGCGGAGCCCCCGCCGGTGAGGGTGGCGGAGGTGGAGCCGCCTCCGGTGGCGGTGGCGGTGGGCAGGGAGGCAGCGCGAGCCATGCTACCGCTGTTGGCGCCGCTGCCGCCACCGCCACCGCCAGTTGCTGCTGCTGCCGCAGTTGCCGCTGGTACGGATATGACGGGCGGTGTGAGGTCCAGCAGGGATGAGTTCATGTCGTTGTAGATGCGGAGCAGGTTGGCTCGGATGCCTGGTGAGTGGTGTTTGAGGGGGGATCGGGGAGGGGAGGGGGTGAGGAGGGTGGGGGGTGAAGGAGAGACTCCGCGCCATACACAAAGGGAGGCATACAGATGCAAAGGAGGGCTTGCCTACAGCACCACCCAGTTGGCGCCTGCCCCAAACTGCAACCCGCTGAAGTCCCGGCCTACTTGGCAACCGCGAACCCAGCCTTCAACCCAGCCCAACCAAGCCTGCAAAGCTGTGGCATCCCATCCCAACCCACCCACCCTCCCACCCACCCTTGGGAGGCTCCATGGTGGTCTTGACGCCGCTCTGCAGCACCGGCACGGGGAAGGAGCGACTCGGCATGGACGTCAGCCACAGACGGAACCCGGGGTGCACGTCGTACAGCGGCTGCGGGGGAGGCGACACAGGCGCATCACCACCACCGCCCCCACCGCCACCAGCTGGTGCTGCTCCGCCGCCGCCAGTGCTGCTGGTGGCGGCACTGGCGCCGCTGCTGCTGCTCAGGTCGCGGCCGCCGCCGCCACTTGCCGTACCGCCACCGCTGCCGCCGCCCAGGGATGGCGAAAGCGGTGAGGCGGGTGGCGGCGTCTGCTGCCGTTGCTGCTGCTGCTGCTGCTGCTCTCCTTGCTGTTGCTGTTGCTGCTGCTGCTGAGGAGGAGGAGGTGGTTCCCTGCCGTTCCCCAGGTGCAGCGCCAGTCGCTGGCTGAACTGCTGCTGCTGGCTGTACCTCGCCTGCAGGTCCTCGCACAGCCGCTCCAGCCGCGGCATCCAGCTGGCGGCCAGATGGCAGTTCTGCAGACACACCCAGTCGCCGCTCTTGATGGCCGCCTGCAGGGCAGCCTCAGCGCGGGGACCCTGACCCTGACCCAGACTGATCATGTGAAGCCGCCGACCGCCCACTCGAGCTGTAACACTGCCGCCGCCTCCAGCACCACCGCCCCCGCCTCCAACACCGGAGAATGACACCTGGCCCATGGACATGCTGCCGTGACCCATGGGTCCTCCTCCTCCTTGCTGTTGCTGCTGTTGTTGCAGCATGTAGCTGCTGGTGGAGGCTGCGAAGCGGGTGATGGCGGGGCTGGGGTCGACTCCCTGGGAGAGGATGAAGATGATGGGGGTGGCGGGGGTGGAGTCGGCGAGCAGCTCGGCGAGGGAGGCGGGCGGCGGGTCGGTGAAGTGGGGGCCCTGCGTGGTGGCCACGTAGCTGGGGTGGGGGTGGCGGGAGGAGGGGAAGGAGGGGGGTCGGAAAACTTATATAAGTGAAACAACGGGGGGTGGGGGGGAGGGTTGAGGAGGCGCAGGGTAGGGCGGAAGGTAGGATCGGGGCCACTGGGCGAGGAAGAGGGCGCACTTCCAAGTCACAAAGCCCCTTGAAGCTCCACGTCTGGGCCATCCCGTTCACCTTTGCAGAAGGGTCCCCTCCCTCCCTCCCCCTCCCCACCCACCGCTGTATCGCGCCCATCAGCCGCTCCTCGCAAAACACCTTGACCAGCAGCAGCACCTGCAGCGCACTCAGACGCGCAGGAGCCGGAGCGGCCGCCGTACTGCCGCCAGCTAGGGAGCGCACCGACCCGCGCACTGACCCGTGGGTCGCCACCTCCGCCGCCTCCTCTCCCTCCGGCACATCCTCCAGCACCCCACCCGACATGCCGCCTGCCAACATTCCCCCTCCGAACGCGCCACCACCCACACCGCCTCCCATTCCGCCCAACCCACTCAGCCCTCCCCCACCGGGTGCTCCCCCCGGTCCCACCAACCCCCCGCCTCCCGGCCCCCAGCCGCCCCCATGCCGCCGGGCAATGGTGGCGGAGGGCGCCAGGGGCGGCGGGTGGGAGCGCATGGGCACGGGTGAGGCGAGCGAGGAGTGCGGTGCATGCGGGGACATGTGGGCCGGCGAGTGGGTGAGGATGGGGGAGTGCGGGGTGGAGTAGGAGTGGATGCGGGCGAGCGGCGGTGAGGGGGATGGCGAGGAGGAGCCGTCGGCGGTGATGGAGGGGGAGGCGCTGGAGAAGGGAGGCGGAGGCGGGGGCGGGGGAGGCGTGAAGAGGGAGGAGAGGTCGTAGGTGTCTGGGGTGGGAGACTCGGCGAAGGCCTGCCAGCCCTCGGGCTGTACGTGGTGGAGTGGGGGGGAGGGGGCAGGGAGGTGGTGGTTGGGCGGAATTGATGGGAAAAGAGAGATCCTAGACAAACCAACCTCTGGGTAAATACCCGTTTCAGCAACCCAGCACCATACCCCCAGCCCGCCCTCTGCAGCAGCCCCCCCGCTGCCCCACCTTGGCCGCCACAGCCGCCGCCAGCCCGGCAAACACCGCCGGCACCGCCGCCTCCAGCGCCAGCACGCCCTCCCACACCCCCGGACCCGCCCACGACCCCAGACCCGCGGGTCGCGGCGGCGGCGGCAACCCCCCGTACGGCTGCGTGGAGGAGGGGCGCTGCGTGCCGCTGGGCGTGTCGCCGCTGCCACTCAGGCTGGCCATGTGCATGGCGGCGGATGAGGGAGCACCCGGCCCCGCCCCCGCCCCCGCACTTGCACCTCCCACCGAGCCGGAGGGATGCATGCCCGCCAGGGTGCCGTGCACGGAGTGGCTGGCGGTGGCAGAGGAGGATGCGCCGCGTCCGCCCCGCAGCAGGAAGCTCCACTCGGCGTGCGAGATGGCTCCCGAGTGGCGGCCGATGGAGGTGGCGATGAGGAAGGAGTAGAGCAGCTTGTGGCTGTCGAACAAGCCCCTGCAGGGGGGAGGGGAGGGGAGGGGAGGAGGGCCACCACAGGGGGGGTGCAGGGTTAGCGTGCGCATGTAAGGGATTAAGCTCCAGGGTTCTCGTGGTCAAGCCCCATGTCCTGCCCTAGCTCTAGTGTCACCAGTGTCACCAGCGCTACTTTACTGCTCCTAGCTTACCGGTAACCCATCTTTCCTTCAACCTTCCCTCCATCCCTCCGACCCTCCCGCCCTCCCCCCACCTGTGTTTTCCCATGATATTGTATGGTCTTTGACCCACCTGCACACCATGCGGTATACATAGTCGGTGGTGTGGTCCATCAGGCACTGCAGCCGCGCGCCCAGGTCGTCAGCGGGGTGCGCCGCGGTGTCCAGGCAGTGACGGAACATGCGAACAAAGGCGGCCAGGCTGGTCTGGTACATGGGGTCGATGAGGGAGAGCTCGGCGGTCACAAAGTAGAGCAGCGACCCGCGGGTCGGCACGGGTCGGTACACCTCGCGGGCCTCGTTAATGGCGCGCTCGGTGGCCTCCGCCTCCGCCACTCGGGTCTGGATGATGCCTGCGATGAGGGGGTGAGGAGGGGAAGGGGGTATAGGGATGGGTACGGAGGGATAGCGGTCGAGAGATGGCTTTGCTGTTCCTTCCTAGTCCCCCCTCCTTCTCTAGTTCCCTCCTGCCCACCCCACCCCTCCGCCCCCACCGCTGGTCTGCTTGGCGTTGTTGAGTGTGGCGATGAGCTGTTCGTCGTCCAGCAGCGAGGCGGGCGCCGCCTCCTTGAGCAGCGCCAGGATGCGGTCCTCCAGCTCGCTCAGCTGCCGCTTGTCCGCACTGAGGCTCACCTGGGGGGGGGAGGGGGAGAGGGAGGAGGTCAACCATGCGTTGAATGATATCGGGCATGTTGGGTAGGAAGGGAAGAGAGGACGCATGATCCCATGACTACTTCGTATTCTGTATGAGCAACCCTACCGGTATCATCCCCGCACCCCCCCCCCCTTTCCCCCCCGCCCGCCCCTATCCCGTTATCTTGCCCCAACCTGTGGTTTCCTGTGGTTCGGTATGGTCTTCCCCGCCCCCTCCCCCGCCCTCCCGCACCCACCACCAGCCTGTCCTTGGCCTCCTCCAGGTCGGGTCGCTCCTGCCGCACCACGTCACCCAGCAGCTGGTCCTCAAGACCCTGATTGGGGGGGAGGGAGGGGGGAAAGGGAGATAAGGAGGGTATATGGACGGGAGAGCGGGGAAGTGGTGGCAGTAAGAGGTGCAGTGAGGGGTATTCACGGCCCCGCCTTCCCCCATCCGGTGTGCCCCCCCTCCCTCCCCCCCTGCCCCCCCTCACCTTTGGTGTGACCGTGAAGTTGATTAGGTTGACCTTGATGCACACCTCGGGGAGGTAGTGCGGGTTGGGCAGGCGGGTGGTGAGGTAGAGGCGGAAGCGCGGGTCGTAGTCCACCTCCACGTCACCCAGACGGATCAGCAGGCGGGAACCTGGGGAGGAGGGTGGGGGGTGCATTATGATGGAGGAGGAGGAGGGCTCAGCTCCCAACATGGGGTGTCAGAGCAGCACCGACACACCGCATGTTCACGTCCCCAGCCCACTCCCTACCCCATCTCTTTATGATCGCTGCGTTAGTGTGCCATGCTCACCCCCTCCCTTCCCCAACCCCCCCCAACCCCCCCCCACCCTCCTCCCCCCACCCACCCTGCATGTAGGTTGCCTTGGTGAGCAGCGGCTCCAGCGCCGGGTCCAGCGGCCCCTCCCCCACGTCCTCCAGCAGCACCGGCTGACCCAGCCGCACGCACTGCTCCAACACCGACAGCGGGACACCTCCGCCGCCGCCACTACCACCACCGCCTGCAGCAGCGGCTGCGGCTGCTGACACGGCGGCGGCGGCAGCAGCTGACATGCCCACTCCCCCTGCACCCCCCGTGACACCGCCCGCACCACCCGCAGCCGCCTTCTCCGCAGCCAGCAAGCCCCCTGCTGCCCCGGGCGCCCCCCCTGCCGCCACCCCCACCCCGCCCGGCCCCCCGGGCAGCCCCACCCCGGCTGCTGCTGCGGAGGCCGGTGGCGGGGCGGAGTCGGCGAGGCGGATGGAGCGGATGTTGTTCTTGAGCTCCATGGCCTTGATCCAGCGGCAGGCCTGGTCCTGGGGAGAGGGAGGGAGGGGGGGAGGAGGGGGAGATGGGGAGGCGGTTGGAGGCAGAATTTGGGTTGGGGTGAGGATGTTTGCATTGGGATGGGGTGTTGGGGATAGGGTGGCCCCCCTTGCCGCCCCCGACTGCCCTCACAAGGTACATGCATGCGTGCCGACGCCGCACCTCCCTCCCTCCCTCCTCCCTCCCCTCCTCCCCCCCCTCCCCCCCCACCTGCGGGTCTATGCACAGCGGCCACCTGCTGCCCCGGGTGACCAGCACCCCGTTGTCCACGGAGAGGCTGTCGGTGGGGAGACCCTGGGGGGGGAGGGGAGGGGGGGAGAGGGAAGGATTGGGAGGGGTTAGGAGGAGCGGTGCTGCTTTTAAGGAGCGAGTTCACAGTCGGGTTCCCAGCGGCTTGCAACGACCCCACCGCTGCTCCCCCCACCACCACCCTCCCTACCTGCATGCTCCACTCGCGGATCTCCACCGCCGACACCAGGGTGGCAGCCAGGCTGAACGACTCGCCGTCCGCCCCCCCTCCACCTCCTCCTCCTCCTCCGTAGCCCCCATGTGCGCCCCCTCCCCCTCCTCCCCCTCCCCCCGGCCCCGGACTAGGTGCGGAGGGGGGCGGTGAGGAGACGGGGATGCAGGCGGCGCGGCAGCGGGCTACCCAGCTGCGGATGAGCGACTCGCGGTAGGGACCTGGGGGGGTGTGTGCGGAGGAGGGGTGGGAAGGGGTGCGGTAAGGGGTGCGGAGGAGCGGGGGTGGGAATGGGGGGTGTTGGGGCAGGGCTTGCAGTACCGTACCGCTGTCGCTCTTACGACAGCTACGCAGCACCCCTGCCCCTGCCCCCGCCCCTTCAGTGCGCCTGCACCCCAGCACGTGTCACCACCAGGGGCGGCAAACACGCATGTCAACACCCGCTCCTTCAACTCCATCCCCTCCCCTCCCCCCCCTGCCCCCCCCCTCACCCGTGAAAGCCCCCAGGTAGCTGATCGCCGCCGCCGCCAGGAACACGTCCCCCACCAGCGAGTGCAGCGCCGCGGTCATGCGCTCGCTCTGAGCCTGCCACCGCACGCTCTCGTCCGCCAGCGCGCCCGTCAGCTTCTCCGCGCGCACCAGCCGCTTCTGACTGAGCTCCGCCTGCTGCTGCAGGCTGTGAAGCTCCTCCTGGGTGGCCTGGGGGGGGCAGGGGAGAGGAGGGGGTGCCTTGCCATTTCCATCACCTACTACCTACCTACAGCTTATTGAGCATAGCTTGGTCCAGCTAAGCCAGTCCCTCCCCGCGACAATACAACCCCGTCCCCCCAAGCCCCGTCCCTTCTCCTCCCCCACGGTTCGTTGTCGTCTCCTCTTTACCCCCCCCCCCCCAGCCCCCCACCTGCAGCTGCTCCTGCAGCGCCGCCACCTTTGCCTCCAGCTCCGCCAGCTGCGCCTGCTTGGACGCCAGCGCGCCGTTCATGGCCGCCAGCCGCTCCTGCGCGGTGGCCAGTGCGGCGCGCTTGGGCTCCACCACCCGGATGACGCGGCCGTAGGTGTCCATGGCGCGAACCCACAGGCACAGCGACTGGGCGGCCTTGGACTGCTTGGCAACCTGGGGGGAAGAGGGAGGGGAAGGGGGGAGGAACGGAGGGGAAGGGAGAGAGCCGTAAGCTCCTTGGGGGGGGGCGAGCTACACGCCACGACAGCACACACGGCCCCCGAGGTGGCCAACGGGACATACCGCCGGACCAGCTAGGCAGGCAGGGCGCCTCCTGTCCGCCTCCCTCCACCTCCCCCGCCTACCTGGTCGGGTGTGAAGTAGGGGTCGTCGATGACCCTCTTCAGGTTGCGCGCCACCTTGTCGGGTATGTTGTCCCGGTCGTACTCCATGAGGCGCTTGATGAAGGTGGTCTCACCCAGCAGCCGCTTGGCGGTCTCCCAGTCGGGCTTCTCCTGGGGGGGGGAGTATTCCCAATGCGTTGGGGGAGGGGGTGGGGGCAAAGACGTTACCAAACCAGGAGCGGGGCGGGAAGGGAACCTGGAGGTTCAGGTTCGGGCACATGGAGAGGGGGCTGCTGCCGCTGATACGAAGTCTATGAGCTGCATGGAGTCGGAGATAACGTAGCCTCCCACGTCCCTTCCTCCTCACTCCTTCATCGACCCCACACCCGAGGTGGTGTCAGTATTGCTTCCCCCGCCTCCTCCCCCCTCACCCCCCCCCCCCGCCCCCCCCCCCCCACCTGCAGCAGGATGCACACCCCCTCCATGGTGACCTGCACCAGCGCGGGCGGCTTGGTGAAGGTCTTGATCTCGATGATGTCCGTCTTGTTGAGCGCGGACAGGGCGTGCTCAGCGGCCTCCAGCGCGGGAAGCACCTCCTCCAGGTCGGCCTGGGCCTCGTCCTGGGGGGGGGGTGGGAGGTGGAGGGAGGTGGAGGGAGGTGGAGGGGTTGTTGGTGAGGTTATCGCTATCCGCGACGGGCTGTGCTGTTGTAAAAGTGCGATAGTAGCAGCATGAGTCTCCTCCCCCTGTCGGTATGACGCCCTCCCTGCTCTTCCCCCTCTCCCCCCTCCCCCCACTACCTTGAGTGCTGCCAGCTTGGCCGCCTGCGCCTTCACGTCCGCCTCCTCACCCGCCACCGCCGCCCGCACCCGCTCCGCCTCGTACTGCTCGTGAGTCACCTGGGGGGGAAGAGGGGGGAAAGGGAGGAAGTGGAACACAGGAGGACAGGAACGCCCCTCCCTCAGGTACGCCCCCTAGGTCTGCGTGCATCTCTGTGAGCCTCCCCTCATGAACTCCCCACCTCCCTTCGGGTCCGGCGTCGAGCGCCTACAGCTTCTTTCCCCTCTCATCCCCCCCCCACCTGCTCCAGCAGCTTCTGTGTGGCCACCGTCTTGTCTGCCAGCACGGGCTGCAGCAGCCGCAGCTGCCCGCGCATCTCCTCCACCGTGCTGTTGGTGGTGGTCAGCTTGGCAACGCCGCTCAGCAGCCGCTCGCGGGCAACAGCGGTCTCCTGGGGGGGGGGGGGAAAGGGAGGGAGGGAGCGGGGTATGTGGGTGAAGAAGAGGGGAGAGCTGAGCTCACTGTATCCGCCCACCCCCACCTACCCTACCATGCACCCACCCCTCCTCCGCCCACGTGTACCTTAACCCCACCCCCTCCCGCCCTTGCCCCCCTCCTCCCCTCCCCCCCCTGCCCCACTTGTCTCCTGGCCGCCAGCAGCGAGGTGTACAGGTGGATGAGGTCCAGGTAGGCGCGGGGGGTCACGTAGTACCTGGGAGGGGGAGGGGGCGGGGGGGGTTAAATGGCATGAAGAGGAGGAGGACAGGCAGAGTCCTCAGCGCTGCGACTGAAGGCCACGGAGCACGTGGAGGAGGCGGCAGGAGGCAGGTGCGCTATGCAGAGGCTGAACGACATACACACATGGTCCATCCGGGGACGTGTGCGGGTGCGGGTGCATGCGACCTCCCCTCCCTCCCTCCCCCACCACCTCCTCCCCCCCCCTCCAACCCCCCCACTCATGCACTCACTGCACGAGTCGGGATATGGGATTGGAACTGCAGTTGTTTGCACTTCATATATAATTGTACTTTCATATAATTGCACTTTCATATAATGCTCGCCCCCCACCTCCTCCTCAGCTCCAAGTAGAACTGCGCCGCCGCCTCCACCACGCTGGTGTGTATGTCCACACACGTCTGCGCCATGGCGCGCACCACCCCCGGGCCGCCCAGCTCCTGCTGCTCCAGAAAGCGAGTGCTCACGGACAGCAGAGCCTCCTGGAAGCGGGGAGAGGGGGGAAAGGGAGGAGGAGAGGAGGAGGGGTGCTCAGACTCCTGATTGCCCGGTGGATACATGTGGAGCATGTCAAACTGCCCCCGTCTGCGCACGCCCCACACCTTCCCATGCTTGCCTCCTCCTTCCCCCGCAAGCAAGGGAAGGAGGAGGCAAGCAACACCCCGCAACCTCACCGCAACCCCTTTCCCTCCTTCCCCCCACCTGCGGCCACTCGCTGAACCAGTCCACGGTGGTCGCCGCCAGCAGCGAGGGGAAGCGGCGGCAGCGCCCCCGGAACGCCTCCCCCACGGGGCTCAGCGCCAGCACCAGGTGCAGGTTGTCGCGCGCGCGGTCGATGAAGGCGCGCCACAGCGCGTCACGCGTATCGTCCAAACCCTGCAGAGGGAGGAAAGGGGCGGGGGGGAGTGCAAAAGAGGTGTTAAACTGTGTTAGTGATGCATGCGTGCGCTCACACGAGAGGGCAGCATCTAACAGGAGAGCTGCGTACCATAACACAATTGGCACGTCCTGGTACACTTCTCCCCCCTTCATGGGTACCATCCCTCCCGTCCCCTCGCCCCCCTCCCCTGGGGCTAGTTGTTTAATTATCTAATTTCCCCCTCCCTCGTCCAACGCATGCTTACTCTCCCCCCCACCTCCCCCCCACCCACCCCCCTCACCTCCTCCGCCGCCCAACCCCGCAGGTCCGCGAACACCTTCTCCCGCTCCTCCCCCGCGAACAGCCCCGTGATCTCCCCGCTGCTCAGCAGGTTGCTCACGTCCTCCACGAAGCTCTCAGCCAGGATGTGCTGCTCGGGAAGCAGGAAGCTAACCGCGCGCCCCTCAACACCAGCCAGCCTGGGGGGGAGGGGGGGTGGGAAGGGGGGTGGCGGAGGGTAAAATAGAAGAAACCTGACGAGAGGCGGAGGGGCGGCGGTGGGATGCGGAGAGGGGTGAGGTGTTTATCAGCCATGCCGGATAGTGAGGGCCGCCATCACTCACCCTGCATTTCTCTTCGGGGCCAGTTGTTTTAACACCCTCTCCCCCCCCCCCACCTGTACAGCTTCTTGAGGTCGTCCCGCCACTCCGACACCCCGTACACGCGACTCAGCTCCAGTGTGAACACCTGCGTGCCCGCCAGCCAGGCGGCGAAGCGGGCCAGACTCTGCTTGCCGCTGCCGCCCACACCCACCAGCATGGCGTTGCCCCTGGGTGGTGGGGGGAGAGAGGAGGGGAGAGGGGAAAAGGGACGGCAGGCGGGGAGGGTTGAGAGGGAGGTCGGGTGAGGTTGGCCTCCTCCTACGTAAGGACATCCGGGTATGCTGCCATCCTGGCATGCCAGTACGTCAATACGGTACTACAACCATTCCTCTCCCCTCTCCGCCCCCTTCACACGATTAGTCTTCCCCCTCTCCCCCCCCCCTCCCCCTCCCCGCCCCCACCTGGGCTGCCTGAGTATGCGCGCGATGCGGCTGACGTGCTCCACCGCATCCAGGAACAGCACCAGGTCCAGCCGGGGTCCCGCACCCACCGCATTGTACTCCTCCAGCTCGGACTGGGGGGGAGGGGAGGGGGAGGGGGAGTCAGGGAGGGGGAGGGGAGGAGGGGAGGGGGAGGGGGAGTCAGGGAGGGGGAGGGGAGTCAGCGAGGGGGAGGGGGAGGGGAGTCAGCGAGGGGGAGGGGGAGGGGAGTCAGCGAGGGGGAGGGGGAGGGGAGTCAGCGAGGGGGAGGGGGAGAGCAGCGGGGTTGTTTACAGGGTTATGTGCTGGGTGGTGGGAGCAGGGCGCTAGGGTGCGGACTGCGCCCCCCCTCCTGCCTCCCACCTCACCCAGCAGCAGCACACCTCACGACCACCTCACGCGTACACCTCCCTGGCAAGCCTGCTCCTTCCCTACCTACAACCCCCATCCCGGCCTAGACCCCCAACACACACCCCTTCCCCTTTCCCTTCCTCCACCCCCTCCTGCTGCCCCCTCCCCCCTCCTCCCCCCCTCCCTCCACCCCCTCCTCCTTCCCCCCCCGGCCCTCACCTCCAGCACCTGCCCCAGTCGAGGCACGTCCCGCACCTCCGCGTACACCCGCTCGTCCTGCGTGATGCCGCGACGCAGGTAGTCACCTGGGGGGGGGGGGGTGGCGACGGGGGGCAGCAACAGCAGCAACAGCAACAGGGGAGAGGAGGGGGTTCAGTGGGGGTAAGGGCGGCAACCGGGCGGCTCCTTGTGTGACACAAAGGGTTAGCTTGCGGCAGGAGGCCTCCCCTCCCCTCCCCTCCCCGCCCCCACCCCGCCCCCTCACCAAACAGTATGGGGCTCTCTGGCGAGAAGAAGCTGTCGTACTCGTCCCTCACATCGAACCGCAGCAGCAGCAGCTCGTACAGCAGCCCCTTGAAGTAGTCCTTGTCGGGCTCGCACACAAGCCTACAGCGAGGGGTGGGGTGGGGGTGGGGGTGACCCCCATAACCACAATGGGGTTACTAAGGACAAATACAGGCGCAGGCGCAGCAGTGGGAGCAGGAACTCTAGCCGCATCCCCCCAGCCCAACCCTTCCTCTCTCCCCCCTCCACCCAGCTCAGCCCCCCTCCTCACCCCCCCACCTGTCATGGTACACCCGCATGTGTTCGTGCACCCACAGCCGCACCAGGGTGGCCCGTGGGTCGCCCGGGCCGCACTGCGCGGGCCTGATTGCCAGCATGCCCTGGAACACCTTGCTCACGTCGCGCAGGCTGAAGGTGTAGTGGCTCTTGGCGGGGGTGGGCAGCAGCTCGGAGGAGACGTGCGTGTAGACCTCCACCGAGGTGTCCACCAGCGGGCGCAGCAGCCGGGACTTGACGTCTGGAGCGCGGGGGGGGGGGGGGGAGGGGGAGGCGAGGAAGAGATGGGTTATGGAGTAGGAATGGAGGGCGGCAAGGCCGGGAGGGGGCGAAATGCTGTCAGTAGAGAGGAGGGTAGCAGGTAGGTGGGAGGAGGATGGCGGTTGCGCCCGGGGTGCCCCCCGGCTCCCCCCCTGTCCTACCCGGTTGGAAGTGCAGCTCCAGGAATCCGCCCAGAATGGCTCCGAAGATGGTCCGCAGCGCCACCTCGCTGGCGGGCGGCATCACCAGCAGCGAGAAGTGGCGCACGAAGCGGGGGGACATCTCCTAATGGGCGGGGGAGAGGGGGGAGGGTTGGTAAGGAGAGTTGGATTGGGTGCTGGAGGACAGCGGCTGCGACGAAGCAGCAGGCAGGCGAGTCAGGCTGGAAGGCATCACCCACCAGCCCTGCTGCTCGCATCCCGCAGCCACCAGCCCGGCACCCGCTGCTGCTGCGGGTACCCGTATAGTGTCGCGGACCACCACCCCACCACCACCACCACTACCGCAGTCTGTGCCTGGTCTTCTCTATCCTTTCCCCTCCCCCCTCCCCTCTCCCCTCCCCCCTCCCCTTCCCTCCGCCCCACCTGCCTCCCTCCCCCCGGCGGCCCGCACGCCGCCAGCAGCACCGTGTCATCCACCTCCTTCCAAAACAACTTCTTGCGGTCGTACAGGCCCCTGGGTTGCGAGGTGTGGGGGGGGTCACACGTGGTGGGGTGTGTGTGGGGGGGGGGGGATGAAGACGACACTCGCGGTGTGGTGTGGGAGGAGGCACCACGCATGGGGGGAGGAGGGAGAGCCATCACAGCGGCCGTGCAGCTGGCCCGGCAACACGCCTGCCGTGTATAGCCGCAGTGTGAGCATCAATACACAGACGCACGTTGGGTATAACTAACCCAGGTCTCTATCAGGTTCTCAACCCCTCCCCCCCACCCCCCCCCCACCCCGCCCCCCCACCTGAAGTCCTGGAAATGCCTCAGCAGCTCAATGGGCGGCTGCGCCCCCGACGCCGCCTCCCGCGCTGGCAGGTTCACGTCGTCCACAAACACCAGCAGCCGTCGGCCCGCGGGGGCGGCGTAGCGGCGCTTGCGCTTCTTCTCCAGCCGGCTCTCCAGCTGCGCCTGGATGGAGGCGGCGGAGGTCTGCGCGGAGAAGTAGACGGTGGCGGTGTTGGCACCCGTGGTGGCCTGTGCGGGGGAGGGATGGGATGGGAGGGAAGGGGAGGCATTAGAGGGGTAGAGTCCAGGACGGCCCGTCTCCAACCTAGCGTCCGGGCACAGCGCCCAAACGCGCCTCCATCCCTCCAAAGAACCACCGCTCTGCGCATCACCACCACCACCACCCCCTACCTCCCCATGGTGGAGCCTTGTCACACAGCTCGTCAGTTGCCTTCTTTTTACCCACTTCCCCAACCCCCCACCGCACCTGCAGCTGCGCCAGGCAGCTCCGCACCAGTGCCGACTTGCCGCTGCCGCCCGGCCCCGTCACCAGCACGGAGCGGTTCACCGCCAGCAGCGCCCCCAGCAGCGCGCCGTAGCGGGTGGTGTCCACAGTGGGCACCAGGATGTGGAAGTAGGGCAGGTGCGGGTGGTAGGTGTACTGAGGCACCGCGGCCTCCCAGGGGGTCAGGCAGAAGTTCCTGTTTGGGGGGGGTGCGGGGGGGAGAGGTAAAGAAGGAACTGGCTGCTGACACAAGGTAGTAGCGCGTAAGAGCGCGTGACCCCAGCAGTGGGCATGCGTATACAGATGCCCTGCCCCACACCGCTCCCCCTCGAGACGCCCACACAAATCCATCCACACGTCCATCCACCCATCCACCCATCCCTCCCCCCATCCCTCCATACCGGTATCCAGCCCCTCCACACCCACCTCCCCACCCCACCAGCCCCACCCCACCTGCGGTAGTCCAGGTGGTAGTCAAACACCGTACCCGAGCCGCCCGGGTAGTTGGCGTACCCCTCGAACAGCTCCTTGGCCACACCGTCGAACTCCTCCCAGCAGCTGGGCTCCAGTGCACCCCCCACACCCCACACCAGCGCGAACGCGAATATGTAGTTGAGCGCAACCTGGGTGTGTTCTGACACCACGTGGGAGTGCAGGTCCAGCAGCGGGCGCTTGTAGGGTACGGGCTCGATGAAGTCGGCAGCAGCGGCGGCCGCGGCGGATGAGGCGGGGGGCAGCATGCCCAGGTAGGTTGGGGGGCGGCTGCTGTTGCCGCCGCCGCCGCCGGCAGCAGCTGCTCCGGAGTTGGTACCGGCGGCGGCAGCGGCGGCAAGCGAGGCGTAGAGGCTGAGGTAGTCACTGGTGTTGTTGGAGCCGCCGCCACTGCCCTGACGCATGCTGCTGCTGGCCACAGCAGCGGCGGCAGCTGCGGCGGCGGCAGCCGCCGCAGCCGCGGCAGCGGCCGCGGCTCCGCCGCCATTTGCCACCCCCCCTCCTGCTGTGCTGCTTGCTGCCCCATGCCTCCTGAGCGAGCCCCCCTCCGCCCCGGGGTGCCCCTTCAGCTGCGTGCTGAGCAGCAGCGTCTGCAGCAGCGCGCAGGTGGAGGCCACCAGCGCCACCTCGCAGGTGCCCAGCGCCAGCGCCCCCCGCCGCCGCACGTGCTGCATCAGCGGCTCCAGGAAGCGCTCAAACAGGCCCGACAGGTACTCCAACACGCCGGGGGTGGGGCGCTGCCGGGGCTGCGGGGAGGATGTCATGGAGCGCCGCGGCCCCCCGGGGGCGATCATGCCGGAGCCGGTGCTGCGCGGGGAGGACAGCGGGCTGATGCTGGCGGCTACCACGGTGCCGGCGAGGTGCGACAGGGTGGACTGGTGTTGCAGCAGGGCGGGAGGTAGGGGGGTGTTGATGTAGGGCGGCGAGGAGAGGCGGTGGCTGTTGGAGGGGCTGACCACGATGTGGTCCGCCAGCGACATGTCGGAGTTGGTGGCGGGCAGCAGCAGCTCCTCCGTGGGGGGCAGCAGGTGGCTGAAGGCGGCGGGCAGGTGGTCCAGCCAGGACCTGGGGGGGGGAGGGAGGGGGGGGAGAGGTGGGTTGGTGAGGGGCGGGTAGGCAGGAAATAGTACGGGTAGGTAGGACACATGTCCATATGCCGACCTGAGCACAGCCGAGAAAGAGAGATGATTGCACTCCAACCCCCCTCCTAGGACCACCCGGGTCACCCGTTACATGCCCAGAACACCGGTACCCCTGCCTAGTTGGGGCAACATGAGGAGGGGGAGGCACATGTCGTACAACGCACCCCCCCCCCCACGCAGTCACTCACTTCACGTACGGCTTCCAGCCCATGTCGTCCGGTGTGACGTACACCATGCCGCACCGCGACACGGTAGCGGGCGATGCTGCTGCCAGGTCCGCCACCTCGAACAGCACCCGCATGGTGGCGGGGTTGAGCTTGATGCGCTCGCCGTTGGGAAGGCACAGCATGCAGTTGTCGTCCAGGACTGGGGGGAGGGGAGGGTGCGAGTGGGGAGGGTGCGGTTGGAGTGGGGAGGAGTGGGGGCTGCGTAAGAAAGATTGCCGGTGGACTCTCCTTATGCGCGGTTCGTATTGCGGCATGCGCGATACATGCGGCATGTACCGGTATCAGACTGTGCAAGACAGGCAGGTGGGCATGAAAGACAGAGATACACTTCTCTGAATCTACCGGTATGAAACCCAGCGATCGCAAGTCCCAGGCGAGAGTGCCCAGGTAGCCCCCAGGCAAGACGCGCCCCCACCTGTGTTCATGTTCTCAACCCACACCGCGTCCACCGGCCCGTCAAACACCACCCACTGCAGGTCGCCCCGCTGCTGCCCCTCCCGCTCCGCCGCCGCCGCTCGGATAATGCAGGAGGCCAGCCCGTCCTGCCACTCGTTGGTGGCGATGTTGTACTCGCCGTACAGCTCGCCCAGCGTGATGGACTTGGGATTGACCACGTAGCTGTGAACCGGCTGCCAGGGAGTGCCGCTGCCGCCGCCGCCGCGGCTGCCGCTGCTACTGCCGCCGCTAGCCTCCATCTCCGCAAGAGAGGGCTCTGAAGGCAGGCCGGAGGCAGCCGCCGCCGCCGCCGCAGCAGCAGCCCCTGAGGCGCTGGTAGGGTCCACGCGTCCGAGTGTGGGTGTTCGGAACATGCTGGTGGGGGTGGAGGGCTCCGCGGTCACGGAGAGCAGCTGCGGGTTGTGGCGGTGGCTGAGCAGCGTGACGGCGGCGGCGAGGGTGCGGTAGATGCTGGTCTTGCCGCCGCCGGAGGGACCCACCAGCATGGCTCCGAAGCGCACGTTGAAGGTCTCCCACAGCTGGACCGCCTTGGACACGAAGTGGGGAACAGCCTGCGAGGGAGGTGGAGGGAGTCGGGCGGCAGCCAAGGACAGCAGCAGCAAGGCAGCAGGCGCGCCAGTGGCAGCTGTGTAAGGCGGCGCAGTCGCCCGAGTGCCCGAGTAGCGCATACATCAGCAAACAAGGCAGCAAAGGCAGACCCCACCCAACTCCCACCCCGCTCCCCCTACCTGCAGCCCCAGCTTATCGCAAGCCGCCACCAGCGCCTCCTGGAGCTCCTCGTCGTGCTGCGGGGCGGGCGGGAGGGGGACGGGTCACGGGGGGGGGGGTTGATGGAAGCAACGATGGTACCAGCGTGCATGGAACACAACAGCACGCACTTGCCCCTAACATGCTGCCCTCCCCTCACTCCTCACTCCTAGCCCCAGCCCTAGTCCCTCCCCGGCATGCCAGCCAGCTCCCCCGCCCTCCCCCCTCGTCAGTGTCTCATTATACTTTTTACCCGTCGCCCTCCACCCCTGCCCCTCACCTCATCCGGCAGCTCCACCCCCGGGAAGAGGTCCCTCACGATGGCGTCGAACAGCCGCGCATCCTCCGACAGCAGCTTGGGGATGTTGGACTCGCGCATAGCCCGAATGAGCACCGTCTCCTCGGCCACGTGCGGGGCGGAGCGCTTGAGGCTGCCGGCGGTGACCAGCACCGACTTGAGCGCACGCATGCCTGGCGGGTGGGTTGGGTGCAGGATAATGGGTAGGGTGGGAGCAGGGTGGTTGAGCCAGGGGAGGAGGGAGACAGGGGAACAGCAGCCCTCCATTATCCTATGTATGTTTATCCTTCCTTGAATTGGCGGCTCGCTGTTGGTAAGAAATCAGGCGAGGCGAACATGTAACGTAGACGACCGGGGGACTACCCAGTTACTGCAGTTTCTGCGTGTATCGCACATACAATGACCCATGTCCCATCCTCCCGCCCCCGCCCCCGCCCCCGCCCCCGCCCCCGCCCCCGCCCCCGCCCCCGCCCCCGCCCCCGCCCCCGCCCCCGCCCCCGCCCCCGCCCCCGCCCCTCCCTCCCTCCTCACCAAAGTCGTAGTGGTCCTGCTGGCTGAGCTGCTCGGATGCCAGCTTGTACAGAAGCACCATCTTGCGGCTGAGGTGGCGCGCGCCGCTGAAGCCCTCGCTGAACAGCATCACCTCCGACACAAGCGCGTAGTCGGGAACCATCATCGCCATGGGGCGGAACAGGGCCTGGGGGGGGGGGGGAGAAGATTACCCAATGTGGGGGGGAGGGGTGGTGGTGGGCGGAATAGACAGACCAAAGCATAGGAAGCAACAAGTTAGGGCAAGACGATGGGGAAAGAGGGGGAGGGAGCAGAGGAATGGAGAGGGGAGAGGACTAGTGAGAAATCTGACCCCCAGTTAGCCGCCACTCCTCCCTTCCCATTCGCTTACAACCCCCTCTCCTAACCTCCCCCTTCCCAGCCTCCTTAACCCCCTTCCCCCCGCCCTTCACGTCCCCGACCTTCAACCTCCGCCCCCGCCCCCCCACCTGCAGGTTGTCCGGCAGCTCCGTGCGCCCCGAGTAGGAGGGGTTCATGGTGACGAAGACGCCGCACGACGCCAGCAGCCGCATCTCACTGCCCTCGAACACAAACCGCTCAGCACCCGCACGCAGGGCGGTCTGGATGGCGTGCAGCTGGGGGGGGAGGGGGGAGGGGAGGCGAGGGAGGGGGGGCAGTTACATACCGAAAACAAGCAAGCCAAACCAAGCCAAGGTGCATGTTTCTCCCGCCACAGTCCATAACTTCGTGAGCCCCTCAGATGCCGTATCACCATCCTCTAAAACCCCTTCTTTTCCGTTCCTTCCACAGCTCTTCTTCACTGTTAATGTTATATTCTGGTGCCTAGCCTATCCCTGTTCCCCCGCACCTGCTGCGCCACCACCGACAGCACCTCGATGTCGATGCGGTTGAACTCGTCAAAGCACGCCCACGCACCCGCCTGCGCCAGCCCGCTGAAGAACTTGCGCATGAACCTGGGTGGACGGAGGGAGGCGAGGGGATGCACAGTGCGTGGTAATGAAGCGGGGGGCATGAGGAGAGGGCCAAGACAGCTGTGGGAAAGGTGGCCGGCGGGTAGACGTTGCGTATCGGGTTGGAATGGGTGTGGGAGCCCCCTCCTCCCCAGCTTGTTATACGCGCCCCTCCTTCCGCTTTTCCTCCTGCCCTCGCTTGTGGTTCTCCGCCCTCCCCTCCCCTCCCTCCCCTCCCCTCCCCCCACCTGAAATCCAGGTTATCTCCGCAGTTGAACACCACACACTGCACCCCCAGCGCCTTGGCAAGGTCCTTCACCGTCTCCGTCTTGCCGGTGCCTGGGTGTGGGGTGGGGGGGAGGGAGAGGAAGTGTGGGTGTGCCAGCGCGAGGTATGGCGACACGCGGCGGGTGGGGGGGGACCAGCCGAACAGGAGATCAGGGAACCCCATCATGGTTCTCGACGCAGTCCAAACACATAAACTGTGTGAATGCCTGGCTGAAAGGGCGCCGAAACACACCCCTAGACGACGTGTGACCAGGAGCCGCAATAGTGTATACTCGTACGCTACCATGGTCCAACGCACCATCCCACCACCCGCACACACCCGCCCCTCTCCCCCCCCCCCGCACCCCCCCAGGACCGACCCGCGGGTCCCGCCGGCGCCCCTCCCAGCCTCATGTGCAGCGCGCCGGTGAGGGTGAGGTAGGCTCGCTCCGTCATGGGGGTGATCACCAGGCGGGGCTGGGCGCCCAGGTACTCCCAACCGTAGTAGAACCTGCGGGGGGGTGCGGGGGGAGGGGAGGGTGGTTGGGAGTTGGAAGGGGGGTTTGGAGGGCATGCTGTTGCTGTGTTGTGGAGGCGTGAGGGGCTACATGGGGGCCATGCGAACAGCATCAGTACCCGCAGGCATGTGAAGGTGCATGTAGGGTGTTGAGTAGCTGGGGATGCAGGGTGAATGTCAACATGCACAACATACCGGTACAGGAGTGCCTACATATCAAACAGCGTGTACATGGCACACCGAAAAGTTGAAGGAAATAGAGGAAGGAAACCTACTTGGCATTAACCTGTCGGATGACCACATCGTCTTGCAGTATGGGCGCGCCTCCGCCGCCCACACCCACTCCTCCCACCGCCGCTGCTGCCGCCCCTCCATGCTCCAGCCCTCCACCGCTCACTCCCACTCCACCTCCTCCCACACCTCCCACTCCTCCTCCCGCGCCGCCAGTTGTAGCCAACGCCTCATACTCGTACCGCAGCTGCATGAGCCAACTGAAATCGGTTGCTGACGTACAGTTCCGTTGGATCAGGAGATCCACGACATCGCGGTTGTGTACGTCAGTGGTGATGAGGGTGACTAAGACCTTGCGCTCCAGGGGGGTGATTCCCGCGCCCCGTACGACAAGGGTGAGGTCGTACAGCTGGGAGGCGCAGGCGGAGTAGAGGCGCTCCAGGGAGGGGAGGGGGTCGCGGGCGCGGAAACAGGACTCTACCGCCTGGGGTGGGTGGGGGGGTGAGGGTGGGGGGGTGAGCGGGCGGGAAAGGGGCGAGTTAGAGGGGTTGGCGCGATGGATTGGGTTGGGGTGGGAAGGTTTCGGATCCGAAGGTACCGGTCGTGGCTAGCTTGCGGCTTGCGTGGGCCTGCCAGTTAAGAGGCCTCTTGAAAAGCAGGACGAGTCTCTGAGAGTGAGCGGGCCTGCATTAACAAGAGGCCCGACCAGCAGCCACCATCTTGTAGCCTATCCACCTCCCGGTCGACCCTCCTCCCCCACCACCCACCCTGCACCAGTGAATGTTGGAGCACACCACCGCCAGCTGAGCCGGAGTGGCCCGCAGCCAGTCCAGCCGGCTGAGGGGCCCTCCACCCCCTCCACCCAGATTGCCTCCATGACTCGGCCTGCCCAGCGGCCCCGCTGCTGCCCCTGCCGCTGCTCCCGCTGCCCCTCCCGTTCCCGCTGCTGCTGTCCCTGCTGCCGGCGGCCCCGCTGCCGCCGCCAGCGCCCCCCCCGGGTAGTCCCGGTGCGCCTTGCGTGCGGCTGCGCGCACCGCATGCCTCATGGCCGCCTCCACACTGCCCAGCCACTGCTCCACACTGCCGCGAGCCTGAGGGGGCGGGGTGGAGGGTGAGGGGGAAGGGGAAGGGGAGGTCAGCGTGGTAGGCGTGCCAAGCAGGGAATGCGGAATACGGATGCCAGGTAGCCACCACCAGCCTGCAGTCACCACCCACCTGCACCCCGCTGCATGTTGCAAACCATGATGATGCCTTATCACACGGTCAGTTAGTTGTTTCCTCTTTGCCTCCTCTAAAACACACAAACACGCCCTTCCCCACATCCATCACCTGCTTTCTCCCCCTCCCCCCTCCTCCCCTCTCCTCCCCTCCCCTCCCCTCACTCCCCCCCCACCTTGAGGTTCTTCCCCAGCGGCACCCGCTCCCCCTCGCCGCTCATCATGGCCAGGATGTCGGTGGCGCGCGCGTCCTCGCCAAAGTCCAGCGAGCGGATGCCGTCGAAGCACTGCAAGGGGGGAGGGGGAGGGGGAGGGGTTGCGTGGGGCGAGGGCGTGTGGATGGGGGTTTGGCAAGCGGGGAGGGCGTGAGGAAACGGGTCCGCGCCCCCCTGCCGCCGCCTCGCTGGTGGTTCCTGGCTCCCCGGGTTCGGGTTACTGGAAGCCCTCGAGTTTCCTATGATGTACCTTCCCTTCACTTGCAGTTGTCCGCCCCCTGCTGCCTCCCTGCACTCCCCCCCTGCCTCCCTGAACTCCCCCCCTGCCTCCCTGCCCCCCCCCCCCCCGCGCCCCCCTACCTTTTGCAGGTGGGGCTGCACCGCCTGCGGGTTGCGCGCCTGCGACAGGATCTGCAGCAGCTCGTCGTTGGACAGGAAGTAGAAGCGCGGGAAGGCCATGCGCTTGGCCTCAAGGTAGGCCTGGGGGGGGGAGTGAGGGAGGGGAGGGGAGGAGCGGAGAGGGATTGGCGAGTGGGGTGGGGCCAGCAGAGACGTGCGGAAGTGAACGGCGTGGGCGGGGAGAGCACAAGCAGAGCAAGGCAGGGTGGCTGACTGATGTGTGCCTTGGGTGAGGCTGCCGGGGTGCTCCCTGCTGCCCGGGGCAGCACGCAGCAGCAGGGGCGGCAACCGCTGGGAGCTCCCTGCACCTGGCGTACCCTCCTCCCCCTCCTCCCCCCCCCCCACCTCCAGGTTCTTGGCCACCCCCTCCAGCGCCTCGTTGCAGCGGTGCAGCTGCTCCAACAACCCGGGCTGGGTGCCGGCCTGGGGGGAGGGGAGTGGGGAGGTGGGGTGTGGGTGTAAGGGAGGTGTGTATGTAGGGGGCGAGGGCGTCAGGACGAGACGGTGTGCAGGGAGTTGGGAAGCTTCGTGCTGGTGTGCGGACCCCCACCCGCCCCATCCCCCCTCCCCCCCCACCTGCAGCGCGTTGGGTCTGTCCTTGACCTTCCTGTTGATCTCCTTGAGCTGCCGGTCCACCGCTGCGAAGGCCCGCGCCTCCGAGGGCAGCTGGCGCTGGATGTCGGCGGTGGTCAGGATGGGCTCCAGGGCCAGCCACTGGGGGGGGGAAAGGGGTGGGGGGGGGGATTGAGTCAGATATATTGTTGTTAATAGGGTAACACACACTGGGATGTCGGGGGATGTCAGCAAAACGCAAACAGCTCCAGTCACAGGGAGGTGCGGGCAGGGCGGGGGTAGTGGCTAGGAAAAGCAGGAAGAGAAGACGTCAAGGTGATGGGGCGTGTTAAGGTTGGGACTGAGGAGAAGTGTTTTCTGGTTAGGGGTTCCTTCCCCCTCCCCTCCCCCTCCCCCTGACTTCCCTCCCTCCTCCCCCCCACCTGTCTCTGGCAGTCCAGCCACTCATCCAGCGTGTCACCGAACAGCCGCAGCTGCTTGTCCAGCCGCTCCACCTCGGTGCTGGGGGGAGAGGGGGAGGGGGGAAGGGGGAAGGGGGAGGGGGGAGGGGGGGATGATGGGGAGGGAAGGGGAGACAGGGTCAACGCATTCCCTAGTCCCCTCCTTCTGTAGTCCTCTCTCTCTGCCTCTCAACCCCTCCGCCCCCTCCCTCAGTATCTCTCATCAGCCCCGAGCGGTCCCCCCTCCCCCCCCCCCTCACCGTATTCCCGCCACATATCTGCTGGCGCTGATGGTCGCCATCACCGCCGCCGAGTCCTCCAGCACCGCCAGCACCTCCTCCACCCCGCCCAGCACGTACGTGTCCTTCTGCGCCTTGTACGGCTTCAGACTCAGCTCCACGTGACGCCACTTGTCAGCCACCTTGTCCAGCAGCGCCTCCAGCGCCGCCTCCTGGGTGGCCTCCGTGGAGATGAGCGACACGGACTCGCGAACTTCCAGCAGCTGGGGGGGGGGGAGGGGGAGAAGAGGGGAGGGAGGAGGGAGGGGACGGAGGTTAGATCCAGGCACTTCATGCGCTAGCCACTGTACTCCCGTCCTACACCATTCCTATCAATCCCACCCAAAGGCCTTTGCAACCCCCTCCCCACACACACTCTGCACCCCGCACCGCCCCCCTTCACTTCCCTCGCTTTCCCACCTCCCTCTTCCCTCACCAGGCACGGCTAACGAGCCACCACGGACCACATTGCCTCGTGCATCAAACATTAGGACCAATAACAGCACCCCGCTGCTCCCCCACCCTCTCTCTAGGTGGTGCCTCCCTCCCATCTTTCATGGTAACGGCCATCACCCCACCGCTCCCCCACCACATGGTTTGCTCAATCTCCCCCCCCCCCACCTGCATGTCCAGCAGCGCCTGCAGAGTGAGCTCATCGTTGCGCTCGATGAAGCAGCCCACCGCGGCATTAACCTAGGGGAGGGGGAGCGGGCAAGGGGGGGGGAGGGGGGCGGGAGCGTGTGTAAAGGAGTGGGGAGACGAGAACAGGCAGAGCCGTTACCCCTCTACCCAAGGGGCGAGTCCATCTCGCTGCAGCAACCCCCACCTCCTCGCCGCTCTCGCAGCAGGTTTTGGGTGCTTCGCTTATCGTACCTTTCCTCACCCCTCATCCCTCGCTCATACTTGTGTGTCACCAAAACTAGCTGCCCCAAATCTTTACCACCATAACATGCACACACACACACTCCGACCCCCCAGTCGTCTTAACACACACACACCCTTCGCAGCCCCACACCCCACACCCCACCCCTCGCCCCTGTCCGCCCCCCCCTGCTCCCCACCTTGACCCAGTGCCGCTCCTTGAGGTGCGGGTTGCGCAGTGCAGCCACCAGGGGCACCAGGTCCCGCCAGTAGTTCACCTCCGCACGTAGGCGGGGAACCAGCTAGGGGGGGAGGGAGGGAGGGGTGTTGTGTTGGGGGGGGAGGTTACCTTCTAGTCCCAGCCTTGTACGACCCCCGTTGCCACACCGTGCCTATGCACCCCTTTGCCGGGGACGTCCTTAGCACCTACAGGTTACCCAGCACACAGCAATCCAATCCCATCCCCAGCACCCCCAACACACATTGTCCATGCACCCACCCCGCCCCGCCCCGCCCCCGCCCCCCACCTTGTTCGGCACCAGCCCCCTCTCCATCTTGAACACCGCGCGGCTGTAGCTGCCTATCTGCTCCTCCATTGCGCCCGGCTGCAGCTGCTCGAATGGGCAGTCCAGCCAGCCCGCCGTCACCTCCACCCAGTCGCGCACGCTGGTCCACAGCAGGTGCCGCAGCGACACGTCCTCCAGGCAGTCAGCCAGCTCGGAGAAACTGGGGGGGGGAGGAAGGGGGAGAAGGGAAGGAAGGGGGAAAGGAGAATATCCAATATGATGATGGACATTCACAAACTAGGTGATAAGCCAGGAGGAGCAGGAGGCCAGGAGGACGGAAGAAGGGGTTGGGGAGAAGGGACGGAGCATGTCGCGATCTTGGTGTTCAGGATGGTGGCAATCTCTTAAGCAGGCAGGAACTAGGCGAGTAGGAGGGTCGGGAAAGGGGACGAAGCCAGGCGGAGAGAGGGAGGGGACGGCTGCGATGGGTAGCACAGGCACGTGCCGCACCGTCAGGCCCTGCAGACACAGTCTGCAGAGGTTGGCGGGACGCACCGTGTTTCATCGATCTTGAAGGTGCGCTGGTGCTGCTGGATACGTTCCGCTTGCATCTAGGCCGGGGGATGAGGTATTGGAGGGGAGGAGGGGGCGGGGAGACAAGGTTGGAGGTTGCGATGTGGAGGTGAACGAGGTGGGGAGGAGCAGCAGCAGCAGCAGCAGCAGGACCGGAAAGCTTTATACCAGAGCGACAAGACATGGCGCCCTGCCTCGGTATGCTTACAAGCCTGCATCACTACCGCCTGCCGCCTACTGTGTGTGTGCCCCTACCGCACCCCCCCCCTGCAGCACTACACGGGCGCAGCACTACACGGGCTCCCCACCTGCAGGGCCCTCACGCGCTCCAGCAGTCCCCCGGTGTACGACAACACGACATCTGGATCCGAGCGCTCATCCAGTATCATGTCGTGCTGCGCCTGGAGCGAGATGGCGGTGACCTGCTTGATGATCTGCTCCACTTGCCGATTGAGATCCGCGCCGTACAGCTCAACCAACCGCTCCCTGCGTACGGCAGTGCAAAGTACAGTCACACGTACAAGTACTTCTCAAGTACGTTAACACAACAGTAACTAGCGACCCGTCACATGTGCATGCTGCAAGGGCACACGGCGCGGGTGGGTTCCGGTATTGCAAAGCCTCCCGGCACATGGGCCATACACGTCACACAACATGCACATCAGGGAAGCCCCCCACCCAACCGGAGCCCTGCAGGCTTCACCGGCATATGACACACCCCATCATCCGGCAGTATGCCCCACACCACCCCCACCCCCACCACCCCCACCCCCCCCACCCGCCCTCCCCGCACATCCCCACCTGGACCCGTCCGCAGCCCACATGGCGTCACGGAGGGCAGCGTAGTCCCGGTCCAGGGAAGCGTAGCTGGCAGCCTGCATGCGGGCGGGGTGGGTGGGTCGTGCAGTGGTACCGGTTCATACCGGACAAAGCGAAGCCGAGTGACAGCCGAACTCAACCCATACAGCAGAAAAACGCAAAAGAGGCAATTCGTCGGCCGCGATATGACATGACGGTAAACGCCTCAAAGGATAACATCTTCCATGACGCAACTACGTTTTCCAACCTGCCGTCAAGCCGCTTGGAGATAGCCCAGACATGCATGCTGCCTCATTCCCTGACTGCATGCAGCCCCCCCCCCCACCCTCCGTACGCACCTGCATGTCGGGGATCCTGATGCCGAAGTCCTCGATCAACTCGTAGTGCGCCACAACCTGCGGGAGCAGCATGTGTGCGGAGGCGGCCAGGGGTGGCAAGGTCAGAACAGATGACGGCGGGGGTGGGGAGGTCAGCTAGGAAGCGCGAATCCTGGCAGCCCACACAGGTGCCACGTCCCCTGCCCCCTGTTGTCCCACCATGTCGTACTCCCGGTCCAGGGCCGCCTTGCGCGCCTCGCACTCCGCCAGGAAGGCCAGGTAGTCGGACAGGTCGTCCGCGGAGGAGGGGACCTGGCGGGGAGGAGGGGAGAGGGGAGGAGGAGGGGAGGGGAAGTGCATGGGAGTGCATGTCAGGCAGGACCGGCGGGCAGCGATGGGGGCAGCTCCGTCTTTGCCTACTTGTGCTCGTGTCCGGACCGGATTCAGTTGTAAAGTCACCGTACAGTACCTGGAATCCCCCTCCCTGCCCCCCTCCCCCCACCCGCCCGCCACCGCCCACCTGGTTGAGCCTGCGTGTCGCCGCGTGCACCCCGCTGATGAATGCGTTGTGGGTTGCTGCGGTGAGGCGCGGCAGCAGTGCGGACAGCGCCTGCAGCGCCTGCTCGGGTCCGGGGCGCAGGGCCGCCACCAGCTCGCCCAGCTCCAGGCGCAGGACACCCAGGGGGCTGGGAGGGGGGGGGGGGGAGAGGGGAGGGGGGGGAAGGGGGAAAAAAGGAAAACTGACGAACTGGAGAGGGGGGTGGGGGGCGAGGTGGGCAACGGGTGAAACCCAAAGCGCGAGGGGTGATTGGAGTGACGGGGAGTGAAGGCAGGGTGTGGTTGACATGGAGACATGGAAAGAAATAGGATCCGGACTCTGCCATCTAGCCGCCTTCCCTTCACCTCTTGACCCGTTTTCCTCCGCTTCTTCCTCCCGACTGCACTTGTCCATCTCCCCTCTCCCCTCCCCCCCACCTGTACGGCGGCAGTGCCAGCACCACTCCCAGCTGGTCCCGCAGCGCCGTCATCTCGCGGCGGTACCAGCCCAGGTCCCGCTGGCCCGCCTCCCACAGCAACCGCACAGCGCTCTCGTCCACCGGACGACACGCCAGCGCGGCGTCCCTGCAGGGAGGCGGGGAGCGGGAGGTGGGGGAAGGAGAGGGGGCTTAGAGGGAGGGCGCAATCCCTGCTGCTGCCAGCTGCGACAAAGAACATGCCAGCCAAAAAGCCCCGCATGAATGGCAATGTAGTCAGCCCACCCCACACCCCAGGCCTGCTCACTTGATGCCGTCAAAGGTCTGCTTGTACGCCTCCGCCGCCTCCATGGCGCATCTCAGCCTGTCACGTACGGCACGCACCACGCCATGGAAGGACGCGCCCAACAGGATCTCGTTGAACCCCTCCATGTCCAGCACCAGCCCGCTGTCGATTGGCATCTCCATGTACTCCTGCGCGCGCGCAAAGGAGGTAAGGGCCGTACGGCATCACTATACCGGTAGAGGGGGTGAAATACGGTATAGTGAGGTATAATCACAAAGGAGGGCGGATTCCAAGAGACACGGCCCAGCCGTAGCCACGGCGCGCTTCGCCATAACGTGCAGCTCCCCTTTACATCGCCATTCATACAACGGGTGCTGTCACCCATTTCACCCACCCACCTGCAGCTTGGGGTGTGTGAGCAGGCGGTTCACGGACAGGATCTGCGCCACCCAGGTAGCATGGATGTGCTCCAGCGTGGAAAGGAACTCCCCGGGTGCCGGAACCAGCACCAGCGAGTGCTGCTCCACCAGGCCGCCGCTGACGCTCACGTTGACGCTGGCGCTCATGCTCACGCCGCCGCCGCCGCCACCCAGGCTGCGGACGCTGGTGACGCTAGGGCGCGCGGCGGTGGCAGCGGCGGCGGCTCCGCTGACGCTGACTGCGCCGCCGCCGGGGGTGAGGCCGTGACCGGCGCTGACGGCGCCGCTGACGGAAATGTGGCCGCCGCTGACGCTGACGCCGCCGGCAATGGTGCTGCCGGCGACGGTGCCGCCGCTGCTGGGGACGTAGCCGCTGCGCAGCTGGATCTCGAGCTGCAGGAACTGCCCGCCGTCGACGCCCCAGTCTTTCGGCTTGGCTTCCTCCTTCAGCCCCAAACCCAGGGCGCTAAGGCTCAGGCTGAGGCCTCGCTCGCGGGCCAGGGAGCGGCCGCCGGTACCGTTCAGCGCCTGCGCCTCCTCGTCCGCCGCCGGGGGTGTTGGCGGAGCTGGCGGCGTGGGAGGTGTGGGTGGCGTAGGCGGCGTTGGCGGCGGCTGCGGCGGGCTCAGGGCTTGCAGGAGGTCGGCGGAGGAGTCCACCAGCACGTCATGCAGCGCGCCGCAGATCATGTAGTCTAGCAGACGTACGAAGGCGTGGATCCGGCGCTTGTACGACCGCCGAGCCGCGTTCAGGGCGTAGCTGAACTCGCCGCCGGAGAAGTCCGCCCAGAAGGCGAGGACCGAGCGGCCGAAGCCGGTGCCGCCGCCGATGCGACCGAACGTGCCGCCGAAGATGCCGGCGCCCCCGGCGGTTGCTGTTGCGGCAAACATCGGCGATGCATCCGTCGCCGTCACCGTCGCCGCCGCACCGACGCTAGCGTTAGCGCTGTTTTCTTTGACCGGGCTGACGCTGCCGTCATCGCCTGCAGAGCCCTCCGCAGCTGGCGGCGGCGGGCGACCGTCGCCGTCAGGGCTGCCGCCGACGCTTCCGCCACCGCCGACGGCGCCGCCAGCGCTACCGCTCGTGACGGCGACGCCGCCTCCGTCAACGCCGACGATACCGCCGGCTGCTGCTGCAGCGGCGGCGGCGGCAGCGGCTCTCGCAGTGCCCCCCTTCACCCCCATGAGCTCATCTTCCATAAGCTGCAGCGCCGCCTTGCACGCCTCCTGCACAGACAGGAAACCCAATTGCATGGCTTCACCAGAGCCCTTACGCCAACGCCCTACTGGTGCACATGCAGACATGCTGACACGCACCTCGTGTTCTGTGCCTGAGCCAAAGGCACAGCAGCACGGCGACTGCAGGCGCATCCATCTCCATTACCCGCCTGCAGTCGCCCTACAAGTCCTCTCCTTTCCAGCATGGCTAGTTGGTGGTTTCCTTCGGGGGTTTCCTCTCCTGGTTTCCGAGCCTAAAAGTATTAGTTGAGTGCCTGTCTGTCCCCTCTCTGTAACAGCCCACATCGGGCAACTAGCCCCATTGCTTTGCCCTAGCCTCTGGCTCTGGTATATCTGACACCCCCCCACCAGGCCCACCTGCGCCTGCGCCAGCACCTCCAACTCGAACCTCTCCAGCACCGCCTCCGTCTCCCGGTGCCGCGACTCGTGCAGCGCCAGCAGCTCGGGCAGCCGGTACAGCCGACCGCGCTCCACGGCGTGCAGGCGCAGCTGCTGCAGGCCGTGACAGGCCTGGGGTTGCAAAGGGGAGGAAGGAGGGGTTGGAGGCGGAGACGTCAACGTAGGCTTCAACCGCTCCACAAGTAGTATCCACCTCGTGGCAAGTCCGCATCCTGAGCCGCCATAGCATGGCAGCTTTCTCAGCTTCCATGCACATGGAAGTCTGTCCCCGCCCCTGGCCTCCTCCCGGTATGTACGTTTGCGGGCTCACAGCATTAGTTAAGACTAGGCCTCCCTGCTGACCCCCCTCCGCTGCCTCCGCTGACCCCACCCCCGACCCGGTACCCCCCCCAGGGAGATGCGTGTCTTTAAAATAGTGTCTCCGAATGCGCTCACTGCATGAGTCGGGATATGGGATTGGGACTCGTTGTTTCACATATTTAATTTTTTTCCCCCAGGGAGCCTCACCGTCCGCATGCGCACCAGCGCGCTCCTGAACACCGGGTTGAGGCTGAAGAGGCTCTTCTGCAGCACCTCCTTGGCGCTGCGGGCCTTGCGACTGCTCACGAAGCGGCGCCAGGTCTGGGGGGAGCGGGGGTGGTGGCGAGGAAGGGGGGAGGTGTGGGGAGAGGCGGGTGGCAGGGTGGGGTGATGGGTGGTGGCAGTATGTGGGTGGGTAGCTACTCAGCAGTATGAGCTCAGGGTGTTGCGACGTCCCGAGGAGTACGAGTCGCATGACCGCAGTACGATGACACTGCAGCAACCAGCCTTAAACAGGAAAGGAAGGCCGCAATCCCTTGGTGCTCGAAACCCCCACTGCCTCCCTTGCCGCTGCCTCCCTCCCGCTCCGCTGCCTCCCTCCCGCTCCGCTGCCTCCCTCCCTCCCTACCCTGAACGCCTTCCACAGCCTGTACTGCGCAAACATCTTGAACCGCAGCAGGTGGCGGTACAGGAAGTACTCGCGCTCAAACTGCTCCAGCGACACGAAGTCGCCCGCGCCGTCCACAAAGTGAGTCACACCCTGCACGTCGAAGTGTGCGGTTTGGGGGGGGGGGGGGCGGGGGGGGGGCGATGATGAGTATGGGCGAGGTGGCGACGACGGTGGCGTATGGTAGGGAGCCGCAGCGCGCACCTCGTACCTCGGCGCAACTTCACTTCAGAACTGCAGGGGCACCTCCTTTTACCTTCGTATAACATGCAGGCACGGCATATACCCCGACAACCGCTTGTTGGCAACGTGTGTTTGTGACCCCATCGCGGCTTCTGGCTACACTTTCCCCACCCCTTCCAGCCCGCTTACCGCCCGTTACAAGCAACCCTATACTGCTATCCACAGTGCACCACCCCTCCCCCCACCTTTGCCGACATGGTGTAGTAGTTGCTGCGGGTGGCGGGCGAGGCCTTGATGTCGGTGTGCTCCACCAGCAGCAGGTTGTAGGGGCTGCGGGCAGCCAGCTCGGGGTGCGCGTGACGCATGTACACGAAGCCAAGGGAGTCGGGGGGAGCGGACTTGAAGTCCTGGGGGGAGAGGGAAAAATATAGATAAGTGCATAAGGGGAAGGTGGCAGGAGGCGGGATGGAGGAAGAGGAGGAGAGCAGCAGCAGCATTGAGTTAGCTCGCCCACCCTCACCCGCCTCGCCACCACCACCACCACCCTCACCTTTCACCTGCCATCCACGTGCCCTGCACCCCCACACCCCCACCCTGCCGCCCTCACCTGCAGCACCTTGAACCACTTGCGCACATTGGCCTGCGTCTCCGGGTCCTCCTCCGCCGCCGCGCGCCCATCACCCAGCATCCCGGAGGGGCTCACGGAGGGCGGCCGCGGCAGTGGCGGCTGCTTCAGCAGCAGCGCGGCCTGCTGGGAGGAGGAGGAGGAGGGCGGAGCGGCGCCGGTGCCACCAGAGCGCTGCTGCTGCTGCTGCTGTATGAAGGACGCCGAGGTGAGGAACACGTCGCCCAAGTTGCCGGAGGAGGGCGCGGAGGCGCCGCCAAAGGGGCCGCCCCCGGCAGCGAATGCGGCGGGGTCGGGCCAGGCGGCGCGCACCTCTGAAGCGTCCCGGGTGGTGTTGAGTGGGGAGGCGGCGGAGAAGGAGCCGCTGCCCGAGGGAGGCCGGTGCCGTACTCCCCTGCGCGCCGGCGTGACACGTGTGTATTAAGGAAACTGGCCGCGACTGACGCGTGTGTGTATGTGAGGGGGGGAGGCATGGGATGCGAGGGACTGTACGTCTGGGAAGCGGGATGAGCCATGAGGTGCATGAGGGCACACACTGCTACGCACAAGCCACGATTGCGTGGCCTTGCCTGGCCGACCCCTTTCTCCCCAAGCTGTTTGGAGATGTGGAGCGAAGAGAGGAATGACTAAAGGACCACCCCAGCTTGCCTCCACCGCCACCGCACCTGGGAGCGCTGGAGAAGTCGTACTTCCCCTCCACGCCACCGCCGCTGCCACCACCGCCGCCTCCAGCAAAGTACGACACACCCGGCGGGCTGCCATAGCCTCCCCCGCCTGCTGAGAAGGAGCCGGGCCCCCCTAGCTGCTGCTGCTGGCGGGGCCGCGTGATGAGCATGGAGGCGCCATGCACCGCCGCCCGGGCAGCGGCAGCAGCAGCCGGACCATCTGCGCGACAGGCAGAGAAAGGGAGGAGCTTCAGTTGTGGGGAACAGGGTACGACGGGCAGGGGAAGAGCCGGCATGCCAGCAGCTGTCACCAGGGCCCAGCTGCGGCGCCGATGGACGCTGGTTCCCCTCCTGCCGCTTCTCCATCCCGCCCGCCCAGTGCTCCCATGCCCCCGGCGCTGGTAGCGGCGGAGCAGCAGACGCACTGCAGGACTGCGCCGCGGACCCCCAACTCTGACCCCTGACAGAAAGGCCCGCCATGCCTGGCCCCTGGGCAGCTGCTGCCTGCCAGCTAAGTGCTGGCTGCTGGCGGGTTGCTGCCCGCCCGCTGGGCTGCCCGGCTCCGAGGATTGCTGGGCTTCACCCGGCTGCTGTAAGAGTTTGGATGCGTGCGTTCTTCAAGCACTCTTTGCCGACGGGCGGCACTCGTGCTGTCTGCGGGCCCCTCACAGTGCCGCTGCAGCCAGGAAGGCATGCAGGCGGGCGGGCAGGAGGGGAATCTCCCGCCGGGGGTGGGGGCTGCCGGCGACGCCGTGGCTCCTGTGAGGCTGATGCTGTGATACAGCAGCTCCAGTACGGCATTTGATACTGTTCTGCAGTGGATACTCTACGTGCTGGAGGAAGCCTAGCAGCCCCGGGCGATTCAGGCAGATGGAGCAGCCAACCCGGGCGATATGTTAGAGAATATTACGGCCAGGGTCGCGAGAAAAGGCTGATGGTAGCGGGGCAGGCATGCCCCCCTCCTTTGGCACGCCTGATTGGCGCGTACTGATACATGCACTGCTGGAAGGCAACTAACCCTCGCATGACGCCTATGTCTATTACCTTCTGATACGGACTTGGCACGAGCAAAGCCTTGCCGCACCCGCAGCGCTGCAGGTGCCGGCCCCTGCCCCCCGCCAGCATGTTGAGGCTTTGGGGCTAGACTAGGACGTGTGTTCCCAGGGTTCTGAGGGATTGTGCATAGGGGTTGTGCAATACAGGAAGCGCGTGCAAGACAAATTGTTGGCGGTCGGAGCACTGACATGTGCATCGTGCTGGTCCTGGAATGGTACGGGCTAGCGAAGAAGCGGTTGCACACCTGAGCTCCAAGGTATAAGCCAAGCTTAAGTGGTTGTTGTGGATTGTCCTTTGCAGCTTTATCCTCTGCTTCGGTTGGCATCCGTCCAAGTTTCTCCCAGCCGTGAGTAAGTAAATCGCTTATTTACATACTCGAACTACACGCTCGTAAGTAAAAGATAACATCATTTCGGCAAAGCTATGCTTTTCGCTAAGTCCATTCTTCACGATGCATGACGACGTAGGAGGACATTGCGTATGCTGAAAGCGGGTTCATTTCCTAATCCAACACATCAACAAGCAATAGGCATGAGGACAATTTCACTTTGAAAGTATCAGTACATCCGTACAAGGCGAGAAGTCGGTGAAATGTTACGAGCAGCACGCCACCAAATATTCACTAGAATAGCGTGTACCCTCAGTGTGGTTAGCAGACAACCGCACCGCTTCCAGCGTGGATCGTGTCAACCGCTCGCGCCTGTGACATGGACTCCCATGTAAAAAATCAAATCGCATACCCTTAGGCCTGGCAGAGTAGCACGCAGCCGAAATCTGATGCTAAAAACCTTTGATAGGGCTGCAATACAGATCGTCACCAGGGGTTCGCACGTGGTCCCCCACCGTACTACTGATCTGGCCCAATGGTGCTTACGTGCCCAGTGCTGATGGGATGGGCGGTTTTCACCATGGTATGAACGATCCATGACAATAGAGGTAGCCTAATTTTACATATCTTCGATAGAGCGAAAGGGCCTTATGCCCGCAGCCCCACCCAGCACGCTTTTGACATGTGCTCCAAGTGGAGACGTTCGCCACAATGTCAGACCACCAACATGCCCTCCACACTTAGTTTCCTTCGTTAGTTTTCTCGTTGCAAATTGAATGAATGAATGACCGTTAGGAACCCAACCCTACGCAAGTACTGCTTACCCGGAAAGTACCCTGCCACATTCCTGCCCGCAAGGTGACAGCAACAGCGCGGCAAACTGCAGCGAGTATCCTGCGCAGCCTCCAAACTGCACCAAACTGCAAAGTACACATGATGCATGGGGACCCTTAAGAGCCGCGAGAATGCAGTTACATGAGGTGTCAAGGTGTGTCATGACCGCCGTTGGATGTCAATGCCCGCCCGTCTACTCGCAGGCAACTGCCACGGCAACACTGAGCGGCAGTACGTGAACTGCTTGCCAGGGTAAGGCCGGTACTTGCCAGCAAGCATTTGCACTATTGAATCGTCCATAAGCACATGGGACAAATCTTTGTGGTGCTCGAACTTCGTCATGTTTCTTCCGTTCACGCTCGCAATCTGCGTTGCCGAGACCAGGAAGAACAACCATAAGACACGGGAGGTGGCAACAGGGAGCAAGAGATCATTAGCCTAGAGCGGTAGAAGGTAGTTAAAGATGGCCTAGTGAAACAGGGTTTGTGCTGAAAGCCATGCTAGGTGCCACCTCACCTCCTGCAGCACCTCGACGCCATGTTGAGACGTCGTACTGTTCAGCATTGATTTCCCGATGGCTGCGGCTGGGTTTAGCGCATGTGGCCGATGCACAACCCATGCGTTGGGCAGGGTCCTGAACTCCACGCGCGCATGATGCAGAGAAACAACCTGCGTTATCTTGTCGTTATAGCACCCTCGGAACCGGGCGTCGTACGGCGCCATGAGCATTTCATCCCTGTCATGTTCAAGGAGACAAAAACACGGTAAGGTGAAATAGAGACGGCTCGTGTTCGGGCCTCCTCGAGGCATATTGCCCTGCCGTACCTCCTTACGATGCCCCAGGGTTCGTACCCCAGACTGTAGCCAACCTGGTATGACCGCCGACCTAGAAGCCACCTGCACGCGGGTTTAATGCCAACCGCTTGCTTGTCGTGTTAGGGTGCTACACACTGTTGGCCGTGCGTGGTTGTTGGGAAGCAAGCATCGGTTCTCACCGGGTATAGTTCGTCGGAGCATGACCGCGCTGGAAGTAGGACTGGCCAAACCAGCTCAGCTGCCCAGCTGCCAGCAACTTGACCAGGTTCGACTTGTCACCTTGCGTAGGGCGTCACAACGCCATGTTAGCATGCTTGGAATGTCCCGTTAGCACCTGCACCAGCCAGGGTGCGGGTGCAACACAAGCAGCGTCCTGTCAGCATTCAACGTACCGGAGATTGCAGACGTTGCAGCTGTGTCCACTTCACCAGGAGCAAGGCTCTTGCTGACGTCCCATGCCGGCAAGACCCAAAACATCTTGTCGGTTCTAGTCATTATCTGTAGCGTGTTGCTAGGACTTGACAGCAGCTGCACCAGAGTCCGGCTGACGCATAGGTCGACATCAATCATCATCACCAGCGGTGTGGTTGCAGCCAGGAGCGCAGCGTTCCGTAGGGCGTTGATGGGCGTGAGGTAGGCTAGCGCCGAGTCGCTGGTAACTTCGTACAAGAGATGAACACGCATGTGACAAGCTTGGGGATCTGCCTCCATTCGGTGAAACAGCTCCTGATGCAAGAGGAAGGCCGTACAGTAAGATTGCGTCAAGTCCAACGTCCATGCCGCAGCCGTTCCATACCTGTATCCGTGCCTCAGCTGCCAGCAATGTCTGCTCGTTTTCGTAAGTCAACTTATCAGCGCTATTGCTTTGCACCAACGGCAAGTATACCGCTGAAGCATGCGGGCCGCCGGCGTAGTTCCGGCACCTGCAACGAGCTTAACTGCGTCAACAGAAATGCCCACGTGGCCCTGACGTGGCCGGAAAGTAGTTGGGTAACCAGGCCAAAACACAGCCGGTGTATGCTTACTGTGTCTCCAGCATGTCAAGGCGGTCCATCGTTGCCGTCGTGAACATGGTGACGGGAAGCCTACTCGACTTTTGTGACCACCAGGCACGCCCAAGGCGCAGGCTGCAAGGTGGAACCAGGGACCGCACTCAAGAGCGCTACATAGCTGTTCACCCATCCTCTTTGAGGTGCGCCATGTTCACCTCAGCGGGACGCCCGACATAAAGGACAGGAACGTCGTAGGCGTTGGCTCGTAGACCTCGTTATAGCTCGCCGCAAGAAGCCGGCTGGCATTACTTGCGACTCCGCCATCGACAGCTGTCCGTTGGCTACGACCGATTGCAATGGTAAACACTAAGTAAAACAGTAGCAAACAACTACTTAAGCTAGAACGTGCGTAGTGCATCTTATGGAGAGCATCCTAAGCTTACATCGCCGATGGTTATGTGCTAAAGATCCCCAAAGTACTGATCATCCACTAAACTCAAAATCGCATCGACGGAAAAGGTGCGGAAGCTTGCAGACTTTGCCTGCGGCCATAACAACGCTAACCGTTTCCGTACATGCAAAAACGGTGCACGCCATGCCATTTTGCACATATGTCGTGACTTTCCCTGTGACGAAACTTCTCCTTGGGTGATATTTCGTTTGCACCTAGACCACAAAAGGGCAGGGGTTCCACACTATTTGTATGAACGGAACGATATATAGAAAGCAGCTGTAAAGGCACGGGATTTGTCTGCCATGTCCTGCGTGGACACCGCAAGCAAGGTAGAGACACGTAGTTAATTTACGTATTGATGAGCTTTTGGTAATGTGTCGTTCTTATGTAGCAATCCTCGCCAGACAACTCCTAGCGTTGGGCACAAAATGCGCCAAGGGCTAAGCGCAGCATCAGAAGCACCCAGGGCTCAACCAGAGCAAACCAATGAGCCCACATTAGAGGAGCAGGAATTGGAGGACGAAGATGGCATCGGCGATGCGGACATGCGCCTCGACGAGCAGTGGGACCCGGGTGTATTTCGAATTAGGCCTCGGGTAGGACTGAGGCTTAAAGCCAAGTTAGACACCGGCGGAACCTGCTTGGGTTGTGGATCTCTCTGCACCTCTAATGGCCCCCTTCCCCCTGCTTTCCTCCACGTCTGTATAGCTGATCTCCCTCGCTCTATCCCTCCCATACCCAGCTAGTGGCACGTGTTAATCCCACACCTATCCCCTTTTTCCACGCCCTGTCCCTGCCACCGCATAAAAGCGGACGGCAAATGTCTACAGCGGCGTTGCTGCTGCAGAAACAGGCGCTTCACAAGATGTAGGGGGTGAAGGAGTGCCTGCGTTGCCTTCCTTCGCCAGTCCCACGCTGCGGATAGGAAAGCTTGTGGTGTCGACAACCAGCTGCAGTCATCCCAAACCCGGCATCATTGTCGGCATGGAAACCGCTGGGGGATTTCCAGTCGCATGGCCCGGGGAAGCCCGGCCTGGCAAACCTATAGTGCTCAACCGCAGACCCGTCGCAACCAGTTCCCTCATCGCAGTCCCCCTACCTGCGGGCTACCCTCAGCGCGTGCCGCCACCGGGGCTACCCCCAACCTCCCGTCAAGCGGTCCTTGTGACAGGTGGCCTTAGGTGCAGAGGCGTTGGCATCCTCAGCAGCACCGGCGGGCAGCGCGGTCGCGTGCTGCTGCTTGGGGAGCCCGGCAGCACGGAGGCCCGGCCTGTCTTCATCCCGCTGGCGTCCCTGCACATGCTAGACCCCAGCGAGCTTGCCGCGCCTAGACGAGCACCGCTGGGCTTGTCCTCCGAGCTTGCGGAGCGCCTACGCCAAGCGATGGACGTGGTGGCCCCTGCGCCGGTCTCCTCCACGCCCAGTACAGCTGCTACACAGCAAGGCCCTGGGCCGGGGCTGGTGGGCGCACCCAGCGGGCATGCAGGTGCTGCTTCCTCCGCGGCTGGTCAGGGGCAGCAGGCGGCACTGCAGCTTCCGCCCCAGGCACCGCTGCCATCTCCCAGTCCACCTGAGGAGCCCCCACCGCTGCCCCAGCCGTCGCCCCAGCAGGAGCCCCTACCGGTGCCACAGCAGCCGCATCCACGGCAGCCTCCGCCACAGCGGCCACAGCAGCAGCAGCCACAGCAGGTTCCCCCGCCATTGCCCCAGCAGACGCCGCCACCTCCACAGCCGCCCCTCCGTCCGCCGTCGCCGCCTCAGCTGCCTGAGCTGCATCAGCTGCTGGACCGGGATGTGGCACGCAACACGTTGAAGTACTACAACCAGTTGACTCTGCAGCCTGCCGCCGCATCGGACGAGATAGGGGCACGTGCATGGAGTGTCCCCAGGGGAGAGGACTTCTCACGCCTCCTCAAGTACATTCAGTGCAGGGGCGAGTTTGACATCGCGGGCGTTAAAGACTGCAACCGTGAGGATGTGCGCATTATGAAGGATGCCTCTCTTCCCCTCCCGGCACCAGCGCCGGGGAAGTCGACCCTGCTGTCGGCGGTTTTTGGCTGCAGACGTGGCCGCCGTCGGCGCCCTTCAACCTCACCGACGCCCATCGCTTCGGCCTGCTGCGGCTGCACGTACCGCCTGCTCTGTCGCATCACCGTCAAGGACCCCACGCGTGTAATGGTGGAGGAGCGCGCACCTCACTGGGGTCACGTGCTGGGGAGCAAGGAGGATGCGCGGTACCTCAGGCCGCTTCCAGAGGCCGAGGCGCTGGCGTGCGAGCAGCTAAGGTAAACCGGGAGCGCTTGGGGAGATGGGCACATACCGGGTGCGCACGGAAGGGCGTACGTATGAGGGAACGCTAGCTTCTTCCTTCACCTTGTGCAGGCAGAACATTCCACCCAGCAAGACGATACAAAACATCGAGAAGCCGCTTCAGGCGTTGCTGAAGAAGTACGTGGACATGGGTTGGATTGGCGGCGAGGCGGCGGCTTGCTCCCGACGGTTTGTCATAACCGCCGAGCACTGCGCCACCCTGCAGAGGCGGTTGCAGAGGGGCTCGGTGCTGCCCCCTACCGTCGAAACCACGTGGGACCTAGCTGGCCAGGGCAAGGCGGCAGGCACGGCAGGGGCAGAGGCAGGAGCGGCAGCAGCAGGAACGGCGGCAGCAGCAGGAACGGCGGCAGCAGCAGGAACGGCGGCAACAGCAGGAACGGCGGCAGGAGCGGTAGGTGGAAAAGCAGGGGAAGCAGCAGCATCGGCAGCAGGAGCGGTAGGTGGAAAAGCAGGGGAAGCAGCAGCATCGGCAGCAGGAGTGGTAGGTGGAAAGGCAGGGGCAGCAGCAGCATCGGCAGCAGCGGCGGCAGCAGTGGAAGCGCCGATGGCTGCCACGTCCGGAGCGGCGGCTGCGGGACTGGAAGGAGCGGCGTGGGTTACCCCACAGGAGGGCACGTCGCGTGGCAGCCGCGACATGGGAGTGCGTTCCCCATTGAAAATTGGAGGCCTGGCGGGTATCGCAGCTGGCACACCTGCAAGTGGGGCGAGGAACGCATCTCAGTTCAAGGCCTGCGCCGGGCGGAAGAGGAGGGGAGCAGGGGATTCGGAGGTAGATACGCCTGACGGGATTGTGGGAGACTCCGAGCAGGGAGCAAAGAGAGGAAAGGCGGGGGGCCTAACTGGCATGCATTGGTGACGTAGGATGGAGGGTCGCTTAAGGCTGGTCGTTGGGAGGGAGAAGCGGATGACCTAAAGGGGCTGCACATCATATAGGCTGCTGGCATACATTATCCACAACGTTCTTTTTATGGTTGGGAGATCAGTTCCATCATTACCGTACATGTTGTACAGCCACTGGATCACCAGCACCAGTTACCTGGCACGCCCAAGTGGGACAAGTAGGGAAGCTAACATTCGGGGTGTTTGTGTACAGGACTTTGCTGAGTCTGTATCCTGAAACATCAAACGCTCTTTCAAAGGTTGCGTGCGGCATTGTTGTCAATCGTCCTATGCTGGTAAAAATGGCTGGAGGTTCAGGGGAGGTTGACATTCCTATTCGCTGCCCCTGAACGGTTGAAGGGTTGCCGCAGCTGAAACTACCCTCACTCCTGCTATTTCCTATTTGGACAGATTTGGAGTACAAATCCTGACATGGCTGTTGCTGCTGGCGTGGTGTCCTGGGGTTGGGTTCGCCGGGCTTGCACCCATGCCTCTCCCCAGCTCCACCTTGTTGCGGTTCAGTCGCTGTCCTCATGATGAGCGGAAGGTGTCCTGTGCGCCCACGAAGCGGTCCGCCTCTGGTGCGCTGCAGTAAAAGGGCCTCACAGTCGCCCGCGTGTGTGATGCTACACTTGGGCAATGTCATACTAATCAAAGCAACGGCGACGGTTGGTCGCGCACCAATCGAGAACTCACGAAGCGACCTGTTGAAAATACTTCAATTCTTTTCTAATTGTATCCAATCAAACGTTAAAGTCTCGACGATAGACACACTATTTTCTTCTTTCGATGTGCCGTGCGTGCCAACTTCAATTGTGCTGCATCCCACCTTCCCCGCTTGAACGCTGGCGCGCCTTCTAAAGCACAATAAAAGGATGGTTCGCTAGATACAATTACACCTTCTTTTTGTAGCTTTGCTGTCTCAGTAATGTCGAGCACCGACGCACCTGTCCATCCCGGAGGCGTTCAGTATAGACTGAGGTTCTTCCACAAATGCAGGTACAGCTTGCAAGCTTGTCTTTTCGGCGCCGGCATATGTTTAGTCAACGGCTTGTCATCCGACCTCCGGCATTCGCTTTGTTGCTTCGAACCCACTTGGTAATGACCTTGGTTTCATTTCCGCTGAACCTGTCCTACTAGGTTACCAGGCACCTGCGATCACGAGCAACCAGATAGGTAAGCAATGGTAGCAGCGGTTGATTGGTGTGCATGTTGGCAGACAGATTGCTCTTCCTCTTCTGTAGCGCGCAACAAACATCTGTTTTGGGAGTTGGTCATTATATTCTGGTGCTATGATGCTACGCGCCTGTGCTTAGGCTACTTCATCCTACCTGGCTTTCCGCAAAAGTGGTCTTGCTTGTTCCAGATACCAAGTCCAAGGAAGTGCCATCGAGTCCACGTGTGGCGCTCCCCTCGTTGTCGTGTTAGTCCGCTACAAGCATGACCCAGAGAGCGGGCTTACTAAGGAGTGCCGGCGTGCGCAGCTTGCGCCTGGAAAGTCCCAGTTTGCAATTAAGGTGCGAGGCAGGAATTATCAAGCCACGAGTATGCCTTGCTCAACGCCCACTAAGCGCCACCTAAGCACCTCATGCGGCAAGCCAAGCACGCTAAGCTTCGTCCAGGCAAGCCTAGTAACTTCTGCCCGCCTTCCCATTCCGTCGATTTCGCTGTTTCGGCGCACCGCCTACTGGCTCCCCTCACTACCGGTATACACCCACTTCCCCATGTCTCCCTCATTCCCCCCTCCCTCAACCGCTGGCTTCCTCAGACGGTTGTGGTCCCTTCGGACCGGCTTCTGGAGTATATGCAGCAGCCGCTGCTGCAGCAGCCGAGTCTCACAGACCCACAGGTGCGCACCTGGAGGCGCCAAAACGGGAGGAGGGGGGCGGGGCATCAGCGCCCTGCCTGCATGCATGCATACGCAGACCAGGCGATGGGCCCTATAGCAGCATAAGTAGACGAGGCAATGGGCTTCTATAGCAGCATACGTTGACGAGGCAGCACCTGCTGGTACCATGCGGCTTTGCGGACCTGTTGTTGGGTTTGTCCTGGGCTCGCGCTGTGCATGCTACCACGGGGCTGCTGACGTGCTGCGTAAGTGACCCCACGTGTCGCACTCAGGTTCGGCAGGTAACCCAGGGCACCGGTGCAGGTGTTCCTTACCAGGGCTTTGCTGCCTGGCTGCTTTGTGAACCGCATGGTGCAGACACGGTGTGACTTCGTGGCCCATGCATGACCCTGTACGACTGTGCCCCGCACACAGGGCCGAAACCTGCTTGGTGGTCCCGATGTCAGCCCCGACGGCTGCATCTACGTGACACCCCTGGAGGAGGTAGGCAGCTGGGCATGCCGGCACACTGTGCGTGCCTGCCTACGGCCTAGGCCCTGGGCTGGCCTACTAGGCACCAGGGTGGCAACGCTATGCGATGTTGCGTGGCGGCATGTAAGGGTCGGCATGCATGCCAACTGCCGTGTCTAACTTGACACTGGACCATGCCGGATAGGGCCTCCTGACTCCACTACTAGGGACATTGGTTACATGCCCAGCTCATGCCCAGATCATGACGCCAACCTTACACCCTCCCTCCCTGTCACCCGTTGCTCCCGTTCGCTCCGCTTCCCCAGAACGGAATCGCCCCCCTGGACAACTTCACCTTCAACCTGCCCTGGAACGACACAACCACCAACCACTGCTCAACCGCCACCGATGTCAACGGCTGCTGCACCCACAAGAGCTTGCATAGGGGCGAAGGTGAATCGAACAACGGCGGACAAGCCGCTGCAGGCCTGAGGGGGAATTGCGGCGCCGGTGGCGGCGGCGGCGGAGGAGGAGGAATGAAGGCTGATCCCGGGGCCTCCACCTCCACCCCCCGCCCCCAACTGTGTCTGCTGGTGCAGCTGCTGAGGCGCAGTACGGACCAGCCGGGCAAGTGGAACGTGTACGGCATGCCGCACCTGGCGTCGCGGCCCTTCCAGGTGAGGTGGAAGGGAGGCGGGTATACTGCGATGGGCGTATGCCGGTGCTGGTAGGTCCCCGCAAGTCCTTGAAGCTCACACCGTCGGGCTGTCGTTGCGTTTACTTTGTGCTGCTAGCTGGTCTAGGATGTGGGGAGATGACCGTACATCTGCTTCAGGCTGACCCACTGGCCCTTCCCCACGTCCCTCGCACCGCACCTCACCCCCGACAGGTCATTTCGCGCTTGACTCTGCTCAAGCTGCAGCGGCTGCAGGCCATGCGGACCCAACAGCAGCAGCATCACCAGCTGCTTCAACAGCAGCGGCAGCAACAGCAGCACCCAGGACTAGTAGCGCAAGACCCGCTCCGCCAGCAGATGCGACTCGGTCCGCAGCAGCAGCAGCAGCTGGGCATGACTGCGGGTGGAGGTGGCGGAGGGGGAGTGCGGGAGCGGCGGCGTTCGTCTTACTCTAGCGGCTCGCCGCATGCTGCTGCTGGGGCCGCGCAGCGTGTGTCACGTAAGTTGGAACCGTACCGAAGAGGAAGCGAAGGGCAACGCTGTCCTTATTTTTGGAGTACTTCCCTTCGACGCCCGGTACTTGCCCCTCACATACTCCAAACCTTGTGTTGTGGTGTTAATAAACAACACTTTCTTCCGTGTCATAACCCACACAGGGCCTCGCCGGCGCTCCTGCCTCTCCAAGGACACCGCCCATGATGACCTACCCGCCTCCGCTGCCGCCCTTGGGCTCAACCCCATTCGAACACGCGACGGCGGCGTAACGCCCGCCACCGATGCAACGCCCGCCTCCACCCCCATGGGCGTCAGGACGGCACCGGAGACCAGCCCCGGCCCGCTGTCCCCACACAGCAGCGGCAACAGCAGGCTGCCCCCTGTGCCGCCTCGGTCGCCGCTTGCCGCTAGGTCGGGGACGCCGGTTGGCAGCTCCATGGCGGGGTGCGGCACCCTGGGCGTCGGGGCGGCTGGAGAGGTTGGGTCGCAGCTGCAGCAGCAGCGGCAGCACACGCCGGAGAACAGGGTCGCGGAGCTGAACACCGCGGGCTTGCAGGTTGGTGCTTTGGGCAGTACTGGTAGTGCAGCATGACTGGTGGCTGGCTTGCTTGGGATGTTTGGAAGCTAGGGTTGTCGTTGTGTTAGGGTGGGTTGCGGTTGGGTGCGTAGGCGCGTGAGCGTCGGAGTTCCTACGTTACGGCACGGTATGCTGCAGAATGAATGCATTCACCAGTCCGGGGTTGCCCTATGTCCGTTGATGGCTCTCACAAAGTATATTGTAGGGTGTTGTCACCGGCGTTTCTTCACTGCTCCATGCAGGACCTGCTGGACGGGCTTGCGGCGCAAGTGCTGGAAGATGAAGACGTACGTTGTACAACTAGGCTTTTGAGGTCTGCCTTACCCTTTACTCGCTAGTCCTAGTGCTTTGTACTCCATGCGTTGCTTCTTACTGGGAGCTTGTGGGTCCTGTGCGCGCATACCGGTATACGACACACGAAGCCCCCAGGCCTGTTGAGCACACTACTCGTCAACCCGCTTTACCCCTGCGGTGCACTCCAAAGCCGTTGCCCTCTTTGCTTCCTCACACACCGCCTTCTTCCCCACCGCTCCCTTCCCTCACACCGAACAGTTCATGGAGCTGAGCTGCCCCCAGAAGCGAGTGCGATCCAACGTGACCCTTCCCGACGTGGCAGCCTTCGCCTCAGGCTGCAGCTCAAGTGGCCTCCTCTCACCCGCACACACAACCACCATGTTCGCAGACCAGCAGCTGCTGGCACGTGGAGGCGGCATGGGCAGCAGTGTGAGCGCCCCGCTGCCTGTGCTGAGCCAGCACCTAACCCAGCAGTTCTTACAGCAAGGGCAGCAGTACCTGTCCCACCGGGGGGGAGGAAGCTGGTCGACAGAGAACTCAGCCGAGCGGCTGATCACCCTGGGAGGGCGTCAGGTGGGTGCGTGGCGGTACGGCAGCTGCAGCAGGTCAGGGCAGGCAGGGTTGCCTCCGCTAAACCCTCCACTGCTACGGCACAAACGCCATCCGGCTTGCTCTGCTGGTTTGCCTTGTTGCTGAGGAGCTTACAAGCTAAGTGTTTGTTGATGCATGGTGTATTGCCGCAGGCGGTATTGGGTACCCTTCCCGGCATCTCCTCCTCGGGCGGTCTCCTGCTGCCGAGGGAGAGCGGCCTCTTGAGTCCGACCTCACGAGCTGCAGCGGGGCTCATGGTTGTGGGAGACGGCTGTGACGGCGGCGGCGCAGGTGAGGGAGCCAGCAGCGCCGCCGTCAACGGTGGTGACAGCGCCAGCGGCCATTGCATCACCGGAGGCCCCATGCACGGAGGCCCGCAGCAGCAGCAGCAGCAGGTGGTGGGTGACTGGGTGCAGCAGGCGCTTCAGGCCATGGAGCTGGAAACACAGCTGGAGCTGGAGCAGCAGGAGCAGCGGGGGCGGCAGCAGCAGGAGGGAGGTGGTCCGCAGGCGCTGGGGGGGCAGCTGGGGCAACAACAACAACAACAGACGGAGCAGGAGCGGCAGGGGCTAGGTGTTTTGCCAACAAGCCTAGCCGGTGGTGGTGTCCAGGAGTGTCAGAGCAGTGGGGCGGAGAGCATGGAGGTGTAGAGGCTGGGGCGAAGGGCAGCTGGGTACATGTAAATATATGCTTGTGCAGCAGGGGATGGCGATTGCGAGTGAGCTACCGGTAGGTAACATGGGCGCGGCGCGGGTGGTGGGGGCTTATGCGCGATACAGCTCTCATTCGGATTTCGCAGCCGGATTGCTTGGATGGGGTGGCGGGGCCAGGTCCTCGTGTCCTCGTGACAACCTCTTTATTACCGGGTGCGTACAGGAGCACCGCATGGATGATGAGCATAAGCCTGTTGGCGTAAACTGCTGAGAGGGACGAACATGTTTCCCTGCTGGATTCAGTCCTGCTGGTCATGGCGTTTGCGAACTCCCAGGCTACTATATAAATTCCGGTGTGTGTACATACGCAAGGCGACGGCAGCGGAGCTCCAACGTTTTTGGTTATAGTATGAAAGGTGCTTTGGGGGGTCGCCTGTTAAGGCTCGCAAGCAAGGTCGGTGTTTCTGTGTTTCACCGGTGTACATATATGTGTAGTCGTAGCAATACTGGGAGCTTGAGGCCAGTAGTGCACCTGGTGCGCGTTCCGCTAGTTCGGTGCCAGAAAAGTCATGGCAGTAGTAAAGCGCTTAGCGCCCGTGTTGGTAGTGTATATGGCACTCGCTGTGGATTAGAAAGAGTGGGGTCTGGGGTGTGCTCGCCCCTGCGTGTCTAGAACGTGGGGGACCGACTCGGGTTACATTATTATTTTACACGTGTTAATGCATACGTTGGCTGCACACGTGTTTAAGTCCCTTCCTTGTTAAGCATGCGGCTTGAGAAGAGGAAATTATTTAACATTCGGAGAGAGGGGGGTATTTATCCTTTGGGACGGTGCCCAGCGCACATTGAAATGTGCTGCTACCGGTATGCGGCAAGCCACCTGTTGGTTATTAGTTAAGTCGAAAACGCTGACAGCAGCACTGGACTGTTACTCACGGTTACACGGCTGCTGTTCGTCAAAAGTCACGCCTCCGAATCGGATCGCGCCTGTAATGACTAACAGCCGGCAACACGTCGTGACACAGCATTAACCATGATTTCCTGCGTTGCATAACGCCATTGGAGTCTTAACCCGTACTAACCAGTCGGGCTTTTTCTGTATTTGGTATCAAGGCTAATCACTGAAACGGAAAGATCCGTATGCTTACTAGCGGGCTTCGGCGTACGAGAGAATTATTGCCTCATTGAGTCATCATCGCCAATTGCTTGCTTCCTTGTACGTAATACTACAAAAATGTAGATTAAGACAATGCAAGCGCATTAACTTAATCTACATCGCCGATAAGGTCCCGGCTGCTACTCGGGCAGAGGCCGCAAAAGCAAGCAGTGCATCGTATACCCCCGCGCCGTCCCTTGCGCCATTAAGCAGCCAGCCATTCAGGATGGCAAACGATAACCGCCCACGGTTGCTGGACAAAAGGTGGTCACTAAGATTGCCATCCGTTGTCCTTCGTTGCGGCATGTTACCACACTTCTCACATCCACCTTTTCACACCGAACGCAGGCGGGAGACCAAGGGTGTGGCGCGATTCGGGCTGCCGCCTGGGGGGTGGCTCCACCACTGGTCAGTCGCGAGCGACCGTTCGTCTTCCACCAGAAGCGTTTTTCCTGTGCTCGTCTCCTTTAATTGCGCGTTGCTGGATCATGGCCATTGATGATGAGCAAGCAGACGAAAGAGCCCCTGCTTGAATGACGGTTAAGGTCACGTTTGTTTGGAACCTACCCCAAGCGAGTAAACCCCGTTGTTCCCCTTTCGCCTCCACCCCTCGATAGCCCCGGTTATGTGCATTTGGCCGGCGTGCTAATCCCCTGACCTGAACCCCCCCCCAGGAGCGATACCTACCACACACTTCTAACGGTAAGTCCCCTTAATGCAGCTGCGTGTGTGCGAGCGACCCATGGGTCACTTTGTCGGCCTTTAGCCAGTCCTCCTCAAAACTGCAGTTGACATTAGGCGTGATAGGGCTACGGTTTGTACATTATGCTCCCAATTGTCTGCTCTGCTCACCCTCGCCCCTAGTTTTACAACGCCGAAAGCACAGCTACCACTCCTGGCGCACGCAACACCGCATGCACGCGTGCCTCGCGCCAACCGCACATGCAGATGAACCGATACAAGTTCCTGCTGTTCTTCTTATGCGTGTTCCTAATCATGGTGAGTGAGCGGCGGCAGGGTTGCCGCAGGACATGCTGCTTCCCGGGCGAAGCGGGATAAGCCTTGCCCCCTTCCCTCACTTCCCTCGTTCCACTTCATGCTCGTACATGCGTGTTGCTTTGCATTTCGTGACCGGCGGCGCGGCGCATGTCTCTCTAGTGTTACCACGCAAGGCGGCTTCTTCCTCAAGTCGTCTCGGTTTACGGTAAGCAACGATTCGGTAAGTAATTTGAGATGCGTGTTATTAGTGCCTCCGAATGCGCTTACTGCATGAGTCGGGATATGGGATTGGGATTCGTTGTTTCACTTGTATAATTTTCCCTCACTTCCCTGGCTGTATTGCGTCCGTGCTCATAGCAACTCTTCGCAGCCGCCTGGTTCCCACGCGTCGCCCTGACCCCACCCTGCCCCTCTCCTCCCCGTCATTCGTCGCGCCCCCCCGCCAGTACCTGATCTTCGCCCTGCTCTACATGACCCAGCCGGCCCATTGCACGGGCTCGGCGATGCACCTGCCGCAGGCGCTGTGGCTGACCATGCAAACCACCGCCACCAGTGAGCCATGCGTGCGTGCGTGCGTGACTGCGTGCGTGACTGCGTGCGTGCATGCGTGCGTGCATGCGTCGGGGCATCCTAGCTTGTGCTTGTGGACTTGCTAGTGCGGGTGCATCCACCCATGCAACCATTCAGCCAGGGATTCAGCCACTGTTTTATGCGTGCATTGCCTTGCCTAATTGGGCCGTCATACCCAATGTCCTAATCATGTGCGGGGGCGCATGCTGCACTGTGGCGTTAGCGAGGGCCGCTTTCTGGTGAACGTGCGCCCCGGTGCGTGTCTGCCTGTACGACGGCATGCATGCATGGCCGCGTCTTCACCTCTCCCAGCCCGCTTACTGGTGCCTCACACACCCTGCCTACCTGACCTCCCCGCCGCCCAGCCTACACGCACCATCTGCAGCCGGAAAAGGACTGCGTGTCCGTCAACATACTGTCGCTGGTGCAGGTGCGTGTGGGGGCGCATGCAGCGTAGCTGGGTAGCGCGGGGGTGAGGCTTGGGTTGGATGAGTACTCTTCTACAGCTAGCTAGCCTGGTCAGGACTTGGAAGGGATGCTTCGCACAGGTCTTGAGAACCGAACCTGTAATTTTGTTTGGCTGCCTGATACCGGTATCAAAGCCGGCATCGGCCTGGACAACCCTCCTTGCGCCGCACAAGCACGAAGCCGCTCCTTCATGCTCCCAACCCATTGGAGCAGGTCCTGGTGAACATGCTGGTGGAGTTCTGCATGATGGGTATCGTGTTCGCAAGGTGGGGTGGGGGGCTGGGGACGGTTGTTAGTCCGGTAGGATTGGTCGGCGTGCAGGGCTGCCTGGCCGGTATGTTTGCTTGTTCCGCATGTCATGTCACCCTTGTTTTCACATAGTACCGTGAAATGCATGCCCCCGCTGCTGCTTCGGGCACTGCGTTTACAGCTCCCTAAGCCATCCACCTTTTGCCTTACCCTGCCTTACCCCGCCTTACCCTGCCTTGCCTTGCCTTGCCGCAAGCCTCGCAGGTTCGCCAACCCCAACCACCGCTCCCGCACCATCCGCTTCAGCTCCTCCGCGGTGCTCTTCCGGCGGGCCCGGGACGGGCTGTGGTGCCTGTCCTTCCGGGTCGCTAACATCCACCGATACAGCCTCATACACCCCTCGGTGAGATAGGGAGAGGAGGAGGGAGCGGGGGGGCGCTAGGACTTGCCCGTGTGCTCCTGTCCCTACGTTTCACCTGCATCGCTTAATGGGTACGGAGATGTGCACCGCGTACCGCTGTATACCCGTTGTTTGCAACAGCTGCATGCCTTGGTCCTCGCCGTTCCTTCAACGTCCCTGATCAACCCTCCTTTCCGGCCCAACCCTCCTTTCCGGTGTCCCCCCAGGTGTCCCTCATGCTAGCCCTGCCGGCCGGCGGCCACGACTGCCTGGGAAACGGCTTCTCCTCCGCCTCCTGCTCCTTCCCCTCGGGCTCCGACCTGCACTGCCGCAAGCTCGGCACCCCGGACACCTCCCCCGTCGGTCCTTTCCCAACCTCGCCCTCTGGAACGTCACCCGAAAACGAGAAGGTTGGTGCCTCTGGTCACGGTGCGCCGGGCAGTCAGGGCAGTGCAGGGGGCGGCGGCGGCAGCAGCCGTGGCGCCGGCCACGGGGAAGGTTCTTCCTCCTTTTCCTCCAACGGTGGCGGTGGCAAGGGTGGCACGTCGGACCCCGCGCACCTGCGCTTCGTGGGGCTGGAGGTGGAGGACCTGGGCTCGCAGCTGACCCACCTGCGGCTGGGGCTGCACGCGCACATCGACCATGTCATTCGGTAGGGCGGGACAGGCTGGGAGTGGTAGGGATTTGGGGGCATGCACGTGGTTGCACGTGCTAGGGAGGTGAGGACTCGGTCATACTGTAGTGTGATGGCAGCATGAGCATGCGGCTGATGGCGGCGGTTCCCATTGAAGCGACCCATGCAACCGGATTTCTCCCTCCCGCCTCTCGCCACAAAGCGCCGCCCCTTCCCTTTTCGCGCTGCCCCTCCTCCCCCCTTCCTGCAGTCCCGGCAGCCCGCTGTGTGACCTGTCCCTGGAGCAGCTGCGGCGGCTGCGCGGGGAGGTGCTGTGCGTGCTGGAGGCAATCGACCCGTCCTCCTCCGCCGACATTCAGGTGGGGTGCGGGATGCGGGTTTAGGGGGAGCAGCTGACCGCTGCCCGCCATACACCACCACAGACATCCTGCAGGCACTGGGTAAAGGACCACGAACGCGTCCCTGTTTTGTGACGGTTAAGAAGGGTATTGCAGCCTGCACCCTGTTTCCTGTACTCATTATCAGCCGCTGTTTCGTCCCGCTGTCCGGCCATGCACGCCTGCATGCTCGCCTGCATGTCTCACCAGGCCTGGCATGCCTACACGGCCGCCACCATCCGCCCCGGCGAGCGCTTCGTGCCCTTGGAGCTGATCACGCGCCGAGGCGAGCTGGTGAGCGACCCGTGGGTCGTGGGTCGCGGTTGGGTGTGGACTATGTACGGCGTGAGTTGTATGCCCAATTGCCTGACCCATGGGCCGATCTCCCAGAGGATGAGGAACATGTTGGGTCTTGCCGTATGCCAGGTCTGCCGCACAAGAGCGTGTAGTGGCGGGGTAAGGGGAACTTACGGTGTTGTAGGATGGACGTGTTGGCCGTTGTCCAACCATATATCAATGCGTTGTTAAATGCTGCGAGACGCTTGCCTAAATACATTGCATCGATTTGCCGGCTGGCCCGCAGGGTCTGGACTTCAGGGACTTTGACGCCACCCGGCCGGCTGAGGACACATCGGCGGGAGGGGGCGCGGACGAGGTGGGGGCGGGAGGGGGTTGGGCATTGGATTCCCTAGTACGTAACCCCTGCTGGATCTGCCCTACCCAGGCTACGGCAGGTGCTTCACACCTGGAAGCACAGTTTGCAAAGTCTCGGTGTAACCTACATCCGCCGTCCCCGCCCCCAACAGGCTTGCAAGTTCAGGAAGGAGGTCGGAAAGGAGGCGGCCGACAACGCGGGCGATGTTGAGATGGGCGGCGGAAGCAGCCGTTGGCATTAACTGCCTTCTTGTACAGCGGGGTGCGAGCGGGACCGCAGCGAGGCGCAGGGGCGGCGGATGCACAGTATTGCAACGGCATTGCATGCACGACAAAGTACAGCTATGACGGGCATGATGCAACGGCAATGCATGCGCGACACGATTTGACCAATCAAGCACCTGCACACCCAAGCAGCATGTCGTGATGCTGGCGGTCTCTTACTTCTTTTGCATGTCTTTGTTAAGGGTCCTCTATGGCGCTACCCCTTCAGGTAGGGAGGGTGCTGTTGTTGTTGTTGTTGGCGTTGCAACCGCTGACTGGCTTTGGTTATAGTATGGAGATAGTGGCACTGGGCTGCCTCAAATAGATAGTAACTTGGCGAGGTTTGGGATTACGGCTTAGTCATTAGCTAGTCACTGTTATAGTAGCTATGCCTGCAACGTGATCCATGTCACCTAATTTTGTCCCAGAACCCCAATGGCATACATGTGCTGTAAGTGGACCGGGGGTGTGGGGGAGGGTAAATGGCGTATTGCAAGCTTTGTAGGCAGCAGAGGTAGACGCGTGAAGCTACGCCCTGTCCTATGCTACTGTAAGATTGTTGCCAAGGTGTCACCCAGCTGCATGAGCCGCTGTTGGGACAAACCAAAGATTGACAGCACTTGTGGCGACTCCGTTGCACCCCATTACCAAATTTCCCGAAGTTTCGGTTCAAGAGAAACTTCACTAAGCCAATACCCGCCAACACCCGTCAACACTTTGGTTCCGGCACGAAGAAGGAATGGCTGTCCAACCGACCAGCAAACCATGCAGTGACCAAGAGCTTAATATGGTACACGAGAAGGCCTTGGTTGGGGTCCTCCTTAGCGCTGTGCTGTCGTTTGGCAAGCAGCCTCACACGCTGAAGGCGCTTAAACGGCAGTATAGAGCCGATGGACCCGGGAGAACCTGGCGTTGGTCGTAAGCACCCCCTTTATCGCTTGCGGCACCAAAGGCTGGCGCTTGTCTAGATGCCGCTAGGCGCAAGAGGGTATGAGAGCGATGGCTCCACGGTATCGGGCCGGTCAGAAATGAAAATTGAGCACGTAACATTCATTGGATATGAAAGGGGGAAGTCCAGAGAACCAAAAGAGGGTGTGGGGAGCAAGGCCGCAAGTGGAACGATTATGGATGGGGATGAACACAAGACTTGCTGTTTACTATGTCTTCCTGCCCAGCACAAGCCCGGATGGTATGAAATCTATCAGTCGTTCAGATTTTTGGTCGTGCAGCTTGTTGTTTTGCCAACCATTCAATAGTACGACTTACGGCGCATTATGCGAAGACGTTCCTTATTCGTGTTCTCACGCTTACGAAAGGCAGAGTGGTTGTTTAGGGTACGCGCGGACAGAAGGCGGAATTTATACACCTGTCCTAGTGATTTCCGAAACTCCGGCACCATGCTGGCACTCCTAGGCGTCGCTCGCCGGGTCGGCAAGCAGCTGCCGCAGCCTGGCTTTCTGTCTGCCTTCATTAGCACCACCAGCGAGAGCCTGAACGCTGCGGCCGCAAGCACGCCAGCGCCGTCGAAGCCTGCTCTGGGCAAGCCCCCGCTCTACAAGGAGTTCCAAATCTACCGGTGGAACCCTGACAGCGATGAGAAGCCAAAGTTCGCTTCTTACCAGGTCGACATCAACAACTGCGGACCCATGATGCTGGATGTGCTCCTCAAAATCAAGGATGAGCAGGACCAGACGCTGTCGCTGCGCCGCTCGTGCCGGTGAGTGCTAGTAAACGCTATTGCTGGCACCCTCTGCTTGCTGCTGTGGCGGCGTGATTTCGGCAAGCTTCCGAAACTTGCGTAAAAGCTGACGAAAAGACCGGACTCTGACCTGCAGCGAGGGCATTTGCGGCTCTTGCGCCATGAACATCGACGGGAGCAACACGCTGGCGTGCCTGTGCAAGGTCAACCGTGACCCCGGGCACGTTAGCAAGGTGGCCCCGCTGCCGCACATGTTTGTCGTGAAGGACCTGGTCGTCGACATGGCGAACTTCTACTCTCAGTACAAGTCCATTAAGCCCTACCTGCTGAAGAAGGAGGAGCGGAAGTGAGTGACCATCTTGGCATGCGTTAATTTACCGATTCTTGGGCTGGGGACGTTTGCCGAGCATGCTAACAGGAGCCATTGATAAAAGTTACATACTGTTTTCTCATAAGGGCCGGGATACATCCTGCTGCTTGGGCATACACGCACTGTGCTTCCAAACTCTTCCGCCTGCTACCTCAGCGCTGTCGTGTGCGGCTAAGTACTTGCCAATCGAGTGGCAAGGAATGCCATGACGGGTTGGTCCTAGGGGAATCTAATTTTTGGCACATAAGCCTCTTCAATGCACAGGGTATGACATGCGGTCGCACAGCTACGTAAGCTCGCTCCGAATGCCATCCCTGCTGGTGTTTCGCCCGGACACACTTCTTTACTCAGCACCAGCAGCCAGCAAGGCAGCATCCGGGGGGCGTGCCGCGGCATAGGAGACACGCCAGGAGCAGCAGCACCACGGCAGTTGGATGTGCCGCGCCCCTCGCCTTTCGAATCCCCCCGTTTGCGTGTCCTGTCGGCTAGCACTTTATATGTTCCGCGCTCCTGCCCTTCCCTCCCTCCCTCCTCTAGGGGCAAGGAGTGGTACCAGTCCAAGGAGAGCCGCGCCAAGCTGGACGGCATGTACGAGTGCATTCTGTGCGCTTGCTGCTCCACCTCGTGCCCCTCGTACTGGTGGAACAGCGACAAGTACCTGGGCCCCGCCGTGCTGCTGGCCGCCTACAGGTGGGGGGACTGAGGCGGAGGCTGGGAGTCTGCGGTAATGCATGCGGGGGGGGGCAGCAAGGACTGGACAGTTAAGGTGGCCGGTTGGGAGTCAGCGACCAGCCCTGCGATAAACCTGGGCATGTGGCCTGCGCAAGGGAGCTTGCTTCTTGCGGTTTGTTTGTTGGGTGGGGCTTCTGGACAAGTAGCCCTTAAAGGAGCGCAACGCATAGGAAGGCGCTGAAGTACTGGTGTTGTTGATGCCGCTGTAAGCTGGGCAAACGAATGTAGCATATAGCCTCGTTCGTGTCCTTGTTCCTTTCCCTGAGGTGGATCCTTTCCCCCTCACCCCCACAGGTGGATCATCGACAGCCGTGATGACGCCACCGCTGAGCGCATGAAGCACATCGACGATGCCTTCAAGCTGTACCGCTGCAAGACCATCATGAACTGCGCCACCGTGTGCCCCAAGGTATGGCCCAGTCGCCGCGTGGTGCCTCGTGGCTGACCCTTTTGTCTGTCGTGTTCGCCGTGCGTGGGTTACCCAGAGCGCTTGAAGTTCAGTATCGCAATTCCATACCTCATCCTGCCATGCCAATGCGCCCCCCCCCAATAATGCGGAATCTTCATCCCTATTAACCACACACACAGGGCCTGAACCCCGGCAAGGCCATTGCCAAGCTCAAGCAGACCCTGCACAAGGGCCAGCCCGTGTAAAGGGTGTCCCTGACTCCCTCCTCGGCCGCCTTCAAGGCACAGCGGCACTGCATGCTTACATGCTGCGGCCGTAGCCTGGAATGCGGCGCGAACGCCCACACGAGGACCTGGCGTGATGGGCCTGGCTTGACCTTACTCGGGACGCGTTTGCGGCGGGATGCCACGCCTATTGAAGAGGAGGCTACGGAGACGAGGCGGCGCCTTGTGGTGCAGCGTCGCTCCTCGGGCGAGGCACACAATAACGGGCAGCCATCAAAGCTTATTTTTTGTTAAATAGTGTCGCCGTGTGTGTGATGAGACTGGCAGCTTGTGACATTCCGCTGCGTGCAGTGAATCACTTGGTGCTTTAGGTTTGCCAACAATCAATGCTGGACGTTCAGGAAATCGCGGTTGCGGTGGGTCCCCGCCGACGCCCGTGCACGGTATTTGCTATGCCTTGCCCGGTCTCCGTCGCGCGTTGGCTGCTGGGGCGGTTTTGAGGATGCCGCAGCTTGGTGCATGGCGTGATGGCCTGGGTTATGTGGATGCACAGTGCGTGCATGCCATGTGTTTGGAAGGGCTACGCCAGGGGTCTGCGGGAAGTATTACGTTCCGACCCGCAGGGGATTGCTGACCTGTAAACTTCCTTTCCCTTTGACGCCCATGTTAGTGGACAAGAGGGTCCCCCCAACAGCGCCACGTCTCGTCAGCAGCAACGGCCTGAAAGACACATTCCCCGCCAGCTGGGGCGCGAACATCACATAACCTGCTCTTTAGGAAGGAATCCAGGGCCTTCGCTGAAAACAAGTGCAGCTTGCAGCGCATGCGTCGACCTTCTCTGGGGTCTACTCGGCTGTTTGAAGCCAGTGCGTAATAGTAAATTGTTGCGCTGTAAAGCTATAATTAATGCGTTTTGTGACAGGGCCTGCATGTGTTGGGGCGAAGGTTATGAGAATCGCCAGTTGGCCTCAAACAAGTTGGTACCAGACGCTTTTTAAACCAATACCGTGAGATTGACGAGTGCAAACTGAAATGATCACAGTGTCTTTGTTATCGTAGCTTATCCATGTGCAGGGTGTGCGTTGTACGGTTATTCCAAGGCAAGGAAACTAGGAAAGCCTCACTGATCAAGCATAATCCTCAGCGTTGACTACTGAGATGCTTTATAGCAAAGCGACTGATCCATAACTACTATAGCGGCGTCGCGGCTGCAAAACTTCTTTAGACCATGGAAAGAAGCCATTGCCGCTTTAATATGGCTCTGCCCGCGCTATTACTACTGCTATGCATAGAAAGGACAGCTCTTGGAGCTGGGCTCGGCGTCATAATAGCAGGCACGTGGCGATGAGTAGAGGATCCTTGCTACCGTAGGCCACATCTCAACTGAGGCTATGCATATGGCCGCAGATGCCCCTAGTGCGTTTGCAATGCCAAGCTACCTGGAGCCCAAGTACATAGTAACCCTGGCGGGAAGAGGTGCGCAGTGGCAGTTGGTTTTCGGGGGATTCTGCCGTGGCTCGTGTGGGTACTGGGCACGTCAGGCTCGTGGCACATGCTGGTACCTCTCCTCCCCCATGGGAACTACCTTTCCAGCAGAAGCACCCCTGCCCTGACCTACAACAGCCGTTGCTGCCGCTACCGCTTCCGTACTGTCGCTACCGCCTCCCTTTCCTCCACTCCAGGTGGCGCAGCAAGCTCCTCAGCCGGATTAGCAACCCTAGCGCAGACCTCATTGCAATCGTCACCTTCCTCAGCACCGTCACATGCAATCCCCGCCTCATCTGGCGGGTCGGCAGCCGGGGCTAGACGTGTCCGGGTGACCGCTGCTGACGGCACCCGCTACGAGTGCACCCTGCCGGAGCCGGAGGCGCCAGCAGCGGCGGCAGCGCCGTCAGCAGCAGCGGAGGAAGCGGCGGATGCCTCGGCAGTGGTGGCCGCTGTGGAGGCTGCGGCAGCGCAGGTGCGGCTGGGCTGGACGGAGGTGGAAGAGGAGGGAGAGGGGAATGTGGAGGAGGGTGGACAACTATTAGAGCGGCTGTGGCCGTAACGGAGATCCAGCGACACATCAGGAAGCCGTGAGGACACGGAGGAAGGCACGAAAGCCCCAAGCCCCGTGACTGCACTCTTCCTGTGCGCTTTCTTTCTTGCCCCCCCACCCCGCACTGCGTAAGCCCTAATAAGCGTGTAACGCTGCATGCCACATCGCCAAAGTTGACAACAAGTTGTTGTGCCAACACACACAGGCGGCTGGCGGCGTGGTGGGGCGTTTCCTAGCAGCTGCTGCTGCCTCGGCCTCAGCGGCTGGCGCCAGCGGAGCTGCTGCTGCCGGTGACCAGCAGAGCCCTTTCGAGCTGCTGGAGGCCATGAGTGAGGAGGCAGTGGGGGGCCTGGGAGGGAGGCTTGGGGGGGGATAGGGGCTTCGTAGGGCTCTAACACCATAACAAGGGGCTGGGGCTTACGTAAGGGCCGCAGGAGCGGCGAGGAGCAGTATTAAGGAGCGTATGCGCCGGCTCCAGGTGGTGGGGTCGGCCCGGGGCGCTGGGGAGGCCTGTGGGGTGGAGTGCAGCGGCAGACGTACTTGGTTGGGATCGAATAACCCTGGGAGTGCCACGGGGAGGGATGGAACGATGCATTAGGTCATAACGCACATGCAAGCCTGCATGCCCCTGTCGTACGTTCACCACCTAAACGGGCCCCCGTACATCATTGCGCTCCTGCACTGCGTGCTGCCCTCTCACACCGACCCACTCTCTGGCCGCTGCCGCTTCCGCTGCCCTCGCCACCCTGCCCCCTCCCCTCCTCCTCCTGCTTCCCTACCCGCAGCCGCGCTTTGCCTGTACCGGCAGGAGGGGCTGTGGACGTACGAGGTGTGCTACAAGAAGCAAGCCAGGCAGTTCCGGCAGGTGCGTGGGGCCCCCGGGGCGCCTGGGTGTGAGGTGTACCGGACTGTGGGGGAGCAGCCGGCAGCTCGGAAGACCCTCCCAGGAGCAGTACCCGCGGCAGCGGTCTCCCGCGGCCCGCGCTGCTGCTCCGGAGCTGCTCCCAGCTGCGTTGCGAAGCGCATGCGTTCCTGTCCCCCGGCTGCTTAAGAGGCGGTGTGCCCGCCTCTCACCTGTGCGCACCTGCTGCCGCTCCCTCGCCCCGTCCGGACCTCTGCTCCTCGCCCCGCGCAGGACGGCGCAGGTCGTGGGGAGGACTTCAGCTGCGGCACATACCCTGGGGATGAGCAGCAGGAGGAGACGGTGCAGGTGCGGGCAGTGTGGGGGGCTTGGCTAGTTGGGGCGCTCGGGTGGTGTGCAGCAAGTAAGCCATGGCAACAGCAGTCTGTCCGTGTCGTGCCACCTACCGGCACTCCTCTCGGTGCTCATTGTGGCTAGTAGCTACCACGCGCTACCACACGCGTCCACCCACCCTGGTGCCCGGGCGCCAACAAGATCTCCTCTCTGTCAAGTGTTGACTGCTGATTGCAACTGGTCTACCCCTTCCCAAGCCTTCATACCCCTCCCGCCCGCCCCCTCCCCTTACATCACACGGGTTGGGCTTCGGAATACTGGTGTGTATGTGTCATGCAAGTCCATGCAACACCTCCCCCCCACCCTCCGATTGCGCTCACTGCATGAGTCGGGATTCGGGATTGGGACTCCGTTGATTTATCTATTATGTCCCCCCCCCCTACCGAACTGCAGTCGGATTCCAGCTCCACCCCCGTTCCCATCCGCTACGTACGACACGTGCTCAAGGGCGGAGCGCGCTGCGAGCTGACGGGCGGCCCGAGGTCCGCAGAGGTCCGCTTCACCTGCCTGCCGGGCACCTCCGACAACGCGATTGTATCGGTCAAGGAGTTCCCCACCTGCAACTACGTGTTTGTGGTGTCCACGCCCTTCCTGTGCAAGCACCCGGAGTTCAAACCCGAGGTGAGGGGGGCTGAAGGGGTGGGGAGCGGGTAGGTGGGATACCAGACGGATGCTGCCGGATAGGTAGGAACGAGCGAGGAGGCGCTTCCTTTTGGCTTCTGCTGGTTGGCCGAGTTGTTCAATACTGGTAGCAGCAGAGATCCTAACCACTTCACCCACCTCTCCACCCACCTCTTCACCCACCTCACCACCCACTTCACCCACCACCCCCATGCAGCCCGAGAAGCACCTGACTATCGGGTGTGTGCCAGTGGAGGAGGGCGAGGACGAGCAGGGGAGCGCTGGAGAGGCAGCACGTGAGGAGGTGAAGCTCGGGGAAGTGCCAGAAAGAGGTAGTGAAGGGGAGGGAGGCGAAGTTGAGGCGAGTCGAGAGGAAGACGTTCAGGAGTGAGAAGGTGTAGGCGGTGCTCGCGAAGTGAGATTGGTTAGCAATTGGAAAGTGGTTGGTATGGTTGGTTCGTGCCAACGTGGCACCAACACGTACGGAGGAGGCGCACAAATGGTTCGAAGTGCAACAGGAGAGGCTACAAATGGATGGTTGCTAAATAGCAAACAGGACGGTCCTGAAGTGTGCTGTGTGTGATGATACAATGTCCCATCACTCACCGGCCGATTGGTGCGCTCCTGGTAACACTCTGTTCCTGGTGTCGGCAGAATGCATTACATCACATCACAGACCTGCCTGCCACCGCTGCTGTCCCTGCACGCGTCCCTCTATTCCTCCGAGAACACATCGCATCACCACCGTACGTGCCCCACAACCAGATAAAGCCACCGCAGCCCATGCTTCATGCCTTTATTGGCCAATTCCAAAGCCCTTTGCTTCTTTCAACACAGAACCAGCTGGCTTACTGCCCTTACACCACACCCTGCACCCCCCGGGTTTCAGCCACTGCCGCTACAACCTATAGTCCTGCCCGCTGCCGTACTCCCAAGCGTCCAGCCACCGGTTCACTGTGTACCGTTCCCGCGGGCTGAGCAGCCGTGTCGCCGCCTCTCGCAGCCGCAGCAGCGACGCGGCCGCATGCAGGGCGGTGTAGGCGGCCATGCACGCCATGTGGGCGGTCCACTGGAGCAGGGACAGCGGGCCCACATGGGCGATGAGGGCGGGGATGGTGGCGGGGTCGGAGAGCATTTGGGCGGTCAGGGTCAGCATCATGGGGCCGAACTGGATGATGTCCTGCGGGATGGATGGCGAGAAAGGGGAGAGACAGGGCAGTTTGGGAAGGCCAGAATAACGTGCAGTGCATCATTGAGGGTTGATGTAAACGCATGGAGAAACGAGGTAATTGTGAAAATATGAGTTTGGTACCGGTAACCGGCGATGGATAAAGGTATAGACCAGCGAACGCTACCTGCAAGAAAGGCTTGAGGACGGGGTCCCCAAGCCGCTCCATAGCTCGGAAGTTACCCGCCTGGAAGAGGGCGGGAAAGCTAGCAGGCATCCAGGGGGCTTAGAGGAGAGGACACGAGAGGAACACGTCGTGCTTCGCTAGCATGAAGCACCACCGAACCATGTATGATTCATGCGCTGATGAACCGTGGGTCACGCCACACCACTGGCGCCTCGCAGCCTGCCCGCGACTCCTCTCCCACATCCCAAATCAACATACCCGCAAGTCCTAATAACCCATTCTTCAGCTACAGGAGCATCTCCCGAACCCTGTCTGCCCACAGTCCTCAACCCTGCCAGTCCTCACCAGCATGCGGTTTATGAGCTGCGGCGGCGGCGGCTGCCCCTGCCGTACACTCATGGCCTTCTGCATCATCCAACTGCTCGACAGGCCGGGGTTGTACGAGGCGATGAGGCCCAGCGAGGAACGATCCAAGGCGTCCGTGTCAACCGCCTCGGCTGCACGTAAGGCGGATGAAACGGTGCACCGTAAACAACCATAATAAACAACAACATCCCTAACGGCTTAAAGGATTACAAGGTTACCAGGTTACCCATGTCCCCATGACGGCCCCAAGCTGGGATAGGGATAAGGTCGTCTTCCATCCGGATGCACGTACACCTCGTCCATCGGCCCCGACCCGTGTAAGGACTCACTGATTGCGGCGGTGAGGCGGCCCACATGGCGGCTGAGCGCTGCCAGGCCGCCGAAGGAGAGGGGCGACTGCAGCCCGCCAGCGTCACCCACTTGGAGTACTCTGTGGGGGGGGCCAAATTCAAAGATAAGAGAAGTAACGAGTGGGGGGGGCGGGTGCTCGACATGGTAGCGATACTGGGCTAGGATCGGGATAGGAGCGCGGGGGTTGGCGGGGCGTCTTAGGCGGGAGTAAGGCACATGCACGATGTAACGTTACTTGCACGGCAGGTGTAAAGTGGAGTACGACGGACCTGTCGAATGCCGGCTTGAGGGGAGTGTCCTTGTAGGCCGGGAAGAAGCCGAACAGCACGCGCTGGATGTCAATGTCCTCCAACCGAACGCCCTGCGTTTGGGCGAGGGGTTCACAGAAGAGAAGTAAAACTAAGCATCACGTCCGATACCAATATCCCACCCATAAGCCGCCGCCGCATCCCACCAGCGCACCCACCTGGTACTGCGGCATGAGTCGCCAGTAGTCCTCGAGCAGGGCCCCCAGGGAGCCCCGGTAGGCCTCCGCGGTGGTGTAGGTGAACATGTAGGTGGTGCGAGCGGAGGAGGGGGAGGAAGAGGAGGAGGCATGGTGAGCGGCGGGGAAGGCCTCCCAAAAGTATTGCGCCCTGCAGAGGGCGCGTGTGTGGTTGGGGAGCGCAAACGGTTAGACCTGCGAGCTGACCCAGCCGCGGTGTATGTGTGGCCGTAGCGCAGCATGAAGAAAGGGAATTCTTCGGACAGGAGGAACGGTCGGGGCTGCACACTTCTACCGTCTGGCACGCGACGCGCCTGTTGAAGGGCGCCTCCGGGGGTTGCAGCGGTGTGGTGGTCAGGATGACGTCCGCGGTGGTATTGGGTGGGAAGCCGGTGGCCATGCTGCCCACCACCAGGCACACACCATCCGGCCGCTGGCCCCAGCGGATCTGGACAGTAATCGAAGAGGGAGAATGGGGGAGTAAACGGAAACACAAACCCGTTCCTAACATGAGTCCAAGTATGGGGGGCTCCTGGTACAGCATCTGGGGTAAAGAGGAAACAACTGGGGAGTGGAGAGACCCACGAGGAGGGGCGGACAACACGCACATGGGCTACAGAGAACTACAATTGTTAGGCACGCGTTTGCAGTTCCGTACGCTTTGCGAGTGTACGGATGCTGCCAGCGACATATGGCATACCTGCCGTACAATGGGGCTGAAGTGGCCCATGCAGTCCAGAACCAACCGCGCTGTCAGGGGCGGCTGCGTGGAAGAGGCTGATGAGTCAGCAGCGTCGTCGCCAGGGGAGGCTGTTCCCTTGCTGGCTTCAGGTGAGCCGGCGCTCTGGGGACGTATAGAGAGGCCGCAGCCGTTCGGATGCACGGATATCCCTGTTGGAGGGAGGCAGGGTCCAGGTGTAAAGCCCAAATGCAGGGAAGCTGACGAGGGCCAAGGTGCGCCGTCATGCCAAGGGCATGCAGCAGTACCGGAAACCTTCCCATGCCAACCCCAGACGTCTACCCAGTCACCGTTGATCACCAATCGTTCCAAGGGGGGCTCACCGTCGAGTGCCGTACGCTCCAGCACCACACCCCCGTACGATTCCAGTTTCCGCCGCATCAGGCCCACGAGTGCATCGGGCCGCACCCCCAGGTTCAACACATCGCGAGTCCACACCTCCGTGCCCCTGAAACCACCACCGCCGGCAGCAGCGCCGAGGCTGCCTGAGGCGCCGCTACTCCTAATAGTGGCGTCACTTAACCCAGAACCAGGTGTGGATGTGGGCGTTGCAATGCGGGAGTATTGGCGGCTGGTGGTATCGGGGTTCGGGGTCACAGCTCCTGCGGTGCCGGCAGCAGCAGCCGCAAGGGCGGAGCTGCTGCCGGCGGTGGCTCCGGCAGAGGCTGGGCCGGCAGGGGTGGGGCTCGGAGCGGCGCCGGAGGTGGCGTGGGTGTCATGTCCCGGTTGCCATGCGAATCCCACTCGGACTGGGTTGAACTGGGGGAGTGAGCGGGATCGCGGGAGGGTGTGAAGTGAAAGGGGTGCATTGCAGGTACCGGTATGCAGGCTTCCAAACAACACCTCTCCACCTGAACGCCCTTCCTCACCTCAATCGCAATGCAGGCCTCCAGCTCCTCCCTCGTCGCCACCCCCACGTGCTCCAACTCCAGCAGCTCCTGCGGACAGAGGAGCAACGGCTGTACCGCATCCGCACACATCGCTCCGTACTGTGTGCAGCACGTATGTCAACATGCATTCCTAGCAATGCACATGCGTTGGCTGCTGACGACGCACCCAGCGCCAATCCCAACCTCTGCCCCTGCACCCAACCCCAACCGTTCCCGGTTGCCCTCCACGACTTTCTCCCCTTCCTCTACACGCCTTGCGACTGATGTTCCACTCCTGCTCGCGGCCCCGCAGCGGCCCTCGTTCCACCACCGCCACTCGCAAGCCCCGCACCGCAAGCGCGGCTGCCATGAACACGCCTGAAGGAGGGAGGAGGTGAGCCCGTGACGCGAGCAGGTGAGCCAGCCAGCAACACCATGCGGCGCCAACACATACCGGTACGCATGCAAGTAACCACGGTTGCCGCGTGCCACCATCGCCACCAGCGGGTACCACACCTCCTGTTGCCTGGAGGCATGGCATCATGCGGCGCCTTCCAATGCGAGAAGCGCGTCCCGCTAGCGCAAGAACCCCGTCCTTCCCCCTCATGGTCGGCTCTTCAGCAATCATCAGTACCACCTACCTGCACCCCGACAGAGCCCCAACCCCGCCCGGTCAGGGTCAGCGTTTCCGCGGCTCAGTTTATCTAACCCAGCCCCGCCCCCACCTACCTAGCGTGCCCCCGCACACCACCACATCAAACTCGGGCGGGTCTGGGAGCGGCCGGGGGCTCTCCCGCACGAACTGCGGCTGGGAACCCCTGGCACCTCCCGCCTGCGCAGGTACGACAGGCAGACAGACACTCAAGACATGGAACCGTCAGGTACGTGCTGGAGGTAGTGCAGTGAAAGGAAGGCACCTCCTTAGGTAGGTGCCTCCTTGGCCCCGTACCACAGCACCCTGCTGCCCAGTGCCATTGCTGCAGTGGGGGAACCTCCCGGAACCTCCCGGCGGGACCTGGTGCATATCGGGCGTAGGGTGCCTTCCTTCTGCTACCGGCGGTGGTAAGGCACCTTCCATTCTTAGCTTCATGGCTCACCCTCATGTGGGCCCACTGCTCCTCTGCAGCCAGGAAGGCCGCGTAGGTGGTCCGACCGCCGGCACCCTGACCCTGCGCCTGCAGCCCGCTGCCAGCCTGCTGCAGGGCGTCTACATGTGCGAATATGCGCTCGGTAAGGCTGGAACAGGGAGGCTGCTGGGAGGCAGCAGGGGCTGTGTTGCCGTGGTCTGGAGGGGATGGAGAGGAGGAGGAAGAGGCGGAGGAGCGGCATGCGACGGACGGCATGGGCGCCTGTGATGGAAGCAACACCTGTCGATCAGAAGTGGGTGAGTTGAGGAAAAGGGGTATCCCTATTTAAACCCCTAGCATAACACTAACCGAGAAATGATGGCTGTTGCGACGGCTGCCATTAGCGGCGACGGGCCAACGGGCTGCATGCAAGGCCGTATGGCTTGCACGTTTACGAGCGAGGCAAGGGTTTGCCGTGCCACGCATGGTTTGGGTATACAATGTCATCTTAACTTTCCCTTTAAATTCATCTAACAAGGAAGCTTCGGCCCAACGCTTGCGAGAAAGGTAAGTTGTCGTCGACGAAAGGGTGCAATTAAAGTAGAGAATCTAGGAAGAGGCGATCTTCAAATAGCTAGGGTATACAGAAGAACTAATAAGTTAAGTGTGCAAAGCAAATTGATTGCTTCGTCGATGACGGTTGGTGGTTCCTTATCGACTTTGGGTACGGCAAATCTACTTCAGGTTTCAACGCCCTACAGAGTTACCGTGAAGCTATCTAGTAGCTTGGGTAGGGATGCTTTCACCCCCTGAATGCCAAAACGAACTTTGTAACCTCGGTTAGCTCCAACTGCACTTCTCGTGGTTACCGGTCTGTCGATAAGCGCTCGCGACGGCGATGAAACGATAGAGGCACAAAGGGACTTCAACCCTGGTCCTCCTTAAACCCCACGCCTTCCCCTACGTCCCATGGCCCTGTGGCTTGGTGCGCGGGAGGCTGTTGCTGCCGTCTCCAGCCCTGTTGGGTGGGGCCAGCGGGCCATGGCGGGTCAAGGCAGGTGCGGTACATCGTGGCGCTCAGTGGCTGATTGAGATGCTGGGAGACGTGCCACTTGTGTGTGTGAGGGGGGAGCAGGGTTGTATGCTGGCGGGGGGTGGGTGTGTGGGGGGTGGGTGGGTGCAGGATGCACGTCGGGTCGGAGAGCAGCCGCTGCGATCTGGGGAAGCTGATTCAGGGGTGCAGGCGCCATTCCATTGTCACAGGGGTGGCGCTGCACCACCAAGTGTGAAGTCGAACCCAAACAAAAGCGCAGGCGCCGCTGCCGCCGTGATAGCAGCAGGCAGCCACCCATGCAGGCGGGGTCACGCAGGGGGCCTTGTGACTGCTGGGCCGCAAACCGGCTACTTGACCGCTGCCGCCGCCATCACAGCAACGGCGCTACAGCGGGCAGTTCTGGGGCACGAAAGAATCCATTGCGGGCAATGCCTATCGGTGTTGAGGGACGTTTCAGAGTTACCGGTACCGGACGGGAAACAAGAACTTCCAAAGTGCGGACGGGAGGGAGGCAAAGCGCTTCCTTGCAGCACCTTGTGATCCCGCAGCCTTCGCTCCTAGCTAGGTGCCATTGGACTCTAGAGCTCTGCAAGATAACTAACGGTGAACGTATGCAGCATATTTCCATACGCATAATGCTGCACCCCATGAAGCGCCAGTAGCCGTCTGTACTGCTTGGGCGCTTTGCTAAGCGAATCAGCTGATTCGCTCAATCGCCCGACTGGATCCAGGACCCCACCGCTAGGTGGATGGCACATTCGTCGTGTTGTTTTCAGACGAACAAAAATCTTCTTCTAGTGCTTGTCGTTACCTGGCTGTTAGCATTTCACACGGCGATTTGTGCTGCGTCGGCTAAGGTTCAGGTTCTCGCTCCTAGCAGTCCGTAAGCCTTGCAACAGGCCAACTGAGGGACCGTAAGCAAGTCCAATACCGAGTAGTTATTTAGTGCCGAAGCCGGGTCGCTCCATTTCGCAAAGAGAGTTCTATCGGCGGTGCAGCTAGGTGCAAGACGGAAGCGTAAGCTTAGCATAGTCCCGGGCTCTGCAACCGAACCACGTAACCCAACGAGGCGTACTTCCAGGGGCTTCCGATTAGCAGAAGCGACAGCGGTTACCGCCATGGAAGGACAACGAGGACGCGTTACCGGCCAGCCATCCAAGTCGAGCAGTAGCCCGGAAAGGCCGCCGCTGGAGGTCACCGCTGAGGCCACACCGCAGGACGCAGCAACAGGTGATGCAATGGCAGCTGAGACAGCGCCGCCACCGCTTAGGCCCGCCTCCAAATCGAAGGGACCGGCGGGTCAGCTGGGCGACCCATGGGTCAGCGCGCGGGACACAGCCCCACGTGACGCTTTCTTTATAGATCCTGCACGGATCCTGCGCGGCGGCATCGAGGCTGCTGCTCGCGCTGGCAGCGCTGGCAACCGGGTCGCTGACGGCGGCAGCGGCGGCGGCGGCGCCGATGGTGGCGGCGGTGTAGCAGGAGAAGGACATCCAGCTAACCGGGAGCTCCCAGAACAGCAGGCAGCGCAGCGGGCCTCCCCCAACGCACCCCAGCAGCCGCCGTTTCCCGGCGCAGAGCCGCAGGCTGCGGCACCCATTGCAGCGCCGCAGGCCCAGGGAGCAGCTGCTGAAGGGCCGGGGATCTCATGCAGTGTCAAGCTCACGGAGGCTGCCTTGAGAAACCGTGAGGTGTGCGTGCCCATCCACTTTATACGAGGGCTGCTGGGCTCAGCAACACCGGGAAGGCAGTGCTTCCCTGTCCTGTTCAGGGACAAGGAGACTGAAGAAGCCAAGCCGATACTAGGCAGTAAGGGACCAGCCCGGATTCGTAACCATCCATGGAAAGGACAATCTAGCTACAAATTGAAGGGCATCGTGCCGTACCTCAAACACATACTGCGGGCTAAGCCAGGCGACAGGCTCATCCTATCGGCTGAGCCGGCGGCTGGCGGCGCGGCGGCGCGGGTTGGGCAGTCACCCGCCACCGCCGCTGCTGCTGCCACTGCCGGACAACAGAGCGATGCCAGCCACGTGGTGGTTGTCACGTTCCAGCCAGTACGGCAGTCGGGCAGTGAACGCGACGGCGACGGCGATGCAGCGGTGGCGGAGGCAGCTGCAGATGTGGTCGTTGCAAGGCCTCATAGAGACGAAACCAAGCGGCAAGAAACGCCAGCAGCAGGAGGGGCGGAGGCGGCTGTAGCGGCTGAAGCTGGAGCAGCGGCTGGAGCGGCAGCACTTGCTTTGATGGCAGCCTCTGCCCGAATGCGGGGCGACAGCAGTGGCAGCGTCGGAAAGGGCGGCAGCGAGAGCGGCAGCTGCAGCGAAGGTGATATGGGTGATGTTGATCCTGCACGGATCCTGCGCGGCGGCATCGAGGCTGCTGCTCGCGCTGGCGGCGCTAGCAACCGGGTCGCTGACGGCGGCAGCGGCGGCGGCGACGTAGCAGTAGAAGGACATACAGCTAGCCGGGAGTTCCCAGAACAGCAAGCAGCGCAGCGGGCCTCCCCCAACGCACCCCGGCAGCAGCCTTTTCCCGGCGCAGAGCCGCAGGCAGCGGCACCCATTGCAGCGCCGCAGGCCCAGGGAGCAGCTGCTGAAGGGCCGGGGATCTCATGCAGTGTCAAGCTCACGGAGGCTGCCTTGAGAAACCGTGAGGTGTGCGTGCCCATCCAGTTTATACGAGGGCTGCTGGGCTCAGCAACACCGGGAAGGCAGTGCTTCCCTGTCCTGGTCAGGGACAAGGAGACTGAAGAAGCCAAGCCTATACCCGGCAATCTTGGACCAGCCAGGATTTGTAGCCATCCATGCAGAGGACAGCCTAATTACAAATTGATGGGCACCGTCACGTACCTCAAAAACATACTGCGGGCTAAGCCGGGCGACAGGCTCATCCTATCGGCTGAGCCGGCGGCTGGCGGCGCGGCGGCGCGGGTTGGGCAGTCACCCGCCACCGCCGCTGCTGCTGCCACTGCTGGACAACAGAGGGATGCCAGCCGCGTGGTGATTGTCACGTTCCAACCAGTACAGCAGTCGGGCAGCGAACGCGACGGCAACGGCGATGCAGCGGCGGCGGCGGAGGCTGCGGGCGCGGCCGCTGCAAGGCCTCCCGAGGTCGGGAGCCCTCAGCGTGGAGGGCCCGCAGCGGCAGCAGGTGCCGCAGCAGCAGCAGGAGGGGCGAAGGCTGCTGCTGTAGCGGCTGGAGCTGGGGCAGCGGCTGGGGCGGGGGCGGCCGCACTTGCTTCGGAAGCAGCCGGAGAGGGCGGCAACAACAATTGCGGCAGTGAAGGGAATGAAAGGGACAGCGACGGCGACGGCGGCACCGACGACAGCGGCGGTATTGGTGATGTTGCCTGCAACAGCGAAAGCGACGGAGGCAGCGACGATGGCGGCGATGGCAGCAACGTCAGCGGCAGCGGCAGATTGGAGCAACGACTGAGGTCAAGCCTGCTGCCGCCGACGCAGCCGCGGCCGCCGGAAAACGGTCAAGGCGATATTGAGGGCGGGTTTGCGCCCAACACTGCTTACCGTGCTGCCGATGGCAACGGTAGTGATGGTGGCATTGATAGCCGTGGCGGTGGTGAAGGCGGCGGCGGCGGCGGCGACAGCAGCGGCGGCGAAGCCAGCGGCGGCGGCATGACGCGCCGACCGTGGAAGCGGCTAATACACCCGCAGCAGAGGCTTCAGCTCCGCGCGGGGCAGCCGCAGCGGTGTCCGGAAACATGTCATCAACCAGCGCAGATGGCCGCAGCCGCGGCTGCTGCTTGCAAACCACGTCCTGGTGCTTCCCCCAAGCGCCCACGGAATGTCAGCACCGAAGCTCCTGAGCGCTCAGCGAGGGTGGCGGCTCCGGACATTGCTCGTCCATCGTCCGTAATCACGGGCAGAGGCATCCAGGCGCGCTCCACCGCCGCCGCCGCCGTCACCAATCCAGCCGCCTCCGCCGCCTCCGCCACCGCCAGCACCGGTGCCCCTTACAACGGTGACATCTGCCATGCCTCCTCCATCTCCCACCTGCACGGCCACCTGCCCCCAGGCACTCCCCTGCCGCACTGCCAGCGGGGGGAGATGCGGCTGTGTGGCGTCACCTACCACCCCGACCTGCGCGCGCGCCGGCGCATGCGGATGTGGGAGGGCGGCGCCTTGCTGTGGTACGGGCTGCTGCCCCAGCAGCTCAGCCTGGCCAAGCAGCAGATGGTCATCCCGGGGGTCATGACGAGCACCTCACCCGCTGCTGCAGCGGCTGCGGCTGCAGCAGGCCTGCAGGCCGGCATGGAAGCAGGAGCACGGCGGGGAGCAGCAGGGGAGGAGGATTGGGTGGCTGGATTCCAGGCTCACGGCCTGAACGGCAGCGTCATCTGCCACAGCTTTGCCAGGCGGCTGAGGAGCCGAGCGATAATGTCCCCGGCGTCACGGACATCAGCAGCAGTAGCTGCTTCAGCTGGAGAGGAGCTGCCGGAGGGTGCGTTGGATCCGGAGGGGGTGGAGGTACGGCGGGACACCCGCCGAGGTGGCCTGGGGCTGTTCACGACAGCGCGGATCGGGAAGAATGAGGTCATTTGCAGCGTGGGGGGTTACCTGATGCC